GTTTGTATTCTATTTTACTAAAAATATATCGAATAATAGAAGATGATAAAGGATTTTTGGAACGTAAGTCAAAATTTAATTCCCACCATGTTGAATGTTCAGCGGAAAAGGAAGAATCGGAGTAATGAATAAACTGGCATTTGATTGGATAAAAATACCCGTGCAGTAAAATCACTCTTGACAACCAAGACTTAAATACCGCATTCTTTTATCCAGACATTTACGTACACCGAAAACGCATCACAAATTTTGGCTCAACTATAAACAATTAAATAAACTATACACATATTTATGGAAGACAGCTACTGATTTATTTAGGCGACGCTTCGAAGAGTATTCTCTCAACGTTTTCAAGTTTGTTATTGTAATTTTGTCTATGTTGCTTCAAATTTTGTTATTGTATTAGCTTAAAAACTTTGAGAGAATACTCTTCGAAACGTCGCCTAAATAAATCAGTAGCAGTCTTCCATAAGTATGTGTATAATTTATTTATCTACCCAGTTACTAAATGCCACTTAAAGAATATAAAGAATTACTTTTATTAATGAAAGAGTGTGAGGGTGTTGGTGTGGTTGGAAGAAACAAAACATAAAAGAAAAATGAATATACAGCCTAACTCTACAAATAAAGTTCAAAGGCGGATCTAGTGGGGGCACACCGACGCACGCCCCCACCCCGGCCAATTCATTATTTTTGAACCGGACTCTTGTCTCAGATCACTGGAAATGGAATTTCCGGGGGAAACCACCCGTGCCTCCCACCCTGGTCTTTGGATCCACCCTTGAAGCTTATAAAATAACGCAAATGTAAATTTTTATCTGTCCTAAAAAAAGAAAAGGTCTTACAATGAAAGAACCATACATAGCTTTCCATTTATTTATTTATTAAAATAATTATCTTAGTAGACTAAACCACGATTCGGTAATTAAACCCCTATAAAGTACATAGATACCATATTTATAAGTCTAGTCTGGGAATATAAAAGCTTTTCTACCAGATGTAGTCTATAATTGAATAGGGTGTAAAGGTTATGTTTATGTATCTTCAGGCAGTTTCTATTTGTACTATGCTTCAACGAAATAAAGCTATTTGTTTGTTAGACCAGACGAAATGTTAAGTAAAGACCGCCAAGATCTAAGTCAAGAATATAAATGTAAGGGATAAAAGCTCCGATTGCCATTCCCGTTTAATATCTAAAAGGCGCATAAATTGTTTATCATCGCGACCTTAGATAGTTCGTACTGCCCTATACTAATATCTTTTTTTTTCATTTCATTTTATTTATTTTTTATTCATAATAACACAACGTTATGGATTTACTACTTTTTAGTTTATTACATGCAACGTTTCAGTACTCTTACAAGTGTTGCATATAATACAATCATGAAGTAGTAAATCCTTAAAGTTGTGTTATTATGAATTTGATACCTTTGCTTCTGAATGTCGTTTAAGAAAAGAAATTAACGTACATTGTCCTTCCCAGGCCCTCCATCCTACACCACTGACAAAGTGGAGGGGGGGGGGGCACACCGGAAAATTAAGATGAACTTCTTAGCCAACACCGGGGACGAACACTTGACCTCCAGGTTAGCTGGCCAACGTCTTACCCACAGAGCCACCGCAACTCCTTTGTCATTCAAGGATGTTATTTATTTGTGTTTCATATCGGAGGTGAAATATGAAAATTGCTGGTTTTGCAGCGGGTTGGGGCTTGTCTGACTTATTATGCCTTGACATTTTTAAGTATTAAAATACTCACGTCTTAGAAAAATTCGGGTTATTAATAAAATCTGTTTATTAGCTGTTTATAAATATACTATTCAAAAAAAGTAGGGGATATTTGATTTTGGGGGCATAATACTAAAATATGCAAATGACTACGAAAAAAGTCACTATAGAACCTAACAGAAGAAACATTTCCAGTTACATGTGACGCCCAAACGCACCAATAGCTACCGCATGGAATGCAGGTGATGCTTGGGATCATCATGGGGGTCCAACCCAAGATTTGCACGACTCTGACTTTGAATGTTACAGTCATTGTGGCATTGAATTCCAGGGTGGAAACATCAGTTTAATTGTTTTAGTGACCAGAAAACAAATTTTGATATGCGTCGGCTTACCCAAAATGAAAGGTTACGTGCCCTTGGCATGCTACAGATCGGCACAACACAGGCGGTTGTGGCGCGGACGATGAATGTTTCTCAGTCTGTCATAAGCAGGCTATGGTCCAGATACCGTGATACACAATCTGTACAGGACAGACCACGCTCAGGTCGACCAAGGGCGACAACTCAAGCCCAGGATCGATTTATCCGTACCTTGGCCTTGAGAAATCGTGTCATCACAGCAAATCAGATCAGCGCTCGTCTTCAAACAGACACTGGTGTGAGAGTGAGTGGCCAGACGATTCGGAATCGACTGCATAGGGGTCACCTTCGCGCCCGACGTCCTCGCGTGATCCCTTGTTTGAGAGATCATCACATTCAGGCAAGACGTCGTTGGTGTAGGGATCGTCAACACTGGGATAATCGACGCTGGAGCAATGTGATGTTTTCAGATGAGTCAAGGTTCACTGTTGATTTTTTGGACAGACGTAGGAAGGTGTGGCGTCGTCGAAACGAGCGCTTCCAAGACGTTAACGTCATCAGACATGATCGATTTGGGGGTGGTTCTGTTATGGTGTAGGGAGGCATCACTGTTGCTGGAAGAACGGCTTTACATGTTGTTGCAGGGCGTGTTACAGGCCAGTACTACCGGTACAACATCTTGGCAGTCCATGTTGTGCCGTTCGCACGACGTCATGGCCGCCGTTTCATCTTCCAGGATGACAACGCAAGATGTCACAGGGCCAGGATCGTTACAGGTTACCTCCAACAACAGAACATCACCACATTACCTTGGCCAGCACTGAGTCCCGACCTCTCCCCCATCGAGCATGTCTGGGACATGCTTGGACAGAGGTTACGTCAACGTCAACAACGTCCTGCCAATGTCCAAGAACTTGCTGCTGCGTTGCAACAGGAATGGGACAATCTGGACCAAAATGACCTTAGACGTCTCATTAGGAGTATGCCACGTCGGATCAATGCTTGTTTGGCAAACAGAGGAGGATTTACCCGTTACTGACTTGGTTGTGATGCTGTGGTAACTTTGCTGTTTGACCCCGGGTATCATTTTACCCTTATAATGGTCAGTCTGTGCCTTACTTAGTCTAACGATCATTTGGAATAAATCGATGAATGTGAACTTCATTTCATTTTGTCATTTGTTTCTTCGTCAGTTTCATTAGGTGACTTTAATAACACTTAAAAATCAAATATCCCCTACTTTTTTTGAATAGTATACCAAGTTTATCACTATTTGATAGTAAACACTTTCTGCTTCGAACATACACGTTTCAATCAACACAGAATTTGAATAACAAAAAACAATACTTCAGATGAAGTTCCTTATGTTCCTTTCAGTTTCTAAGCGTTGGTTCTTTTAGTGTTTGTTCTCGTTAAATAGATTTGCCTTCAAAAGTGATTTGAAGATGTCGATACGGTTTTTTATTCCAGAGAAAATGTGCTGCAAAATGAAAAGGTTTATTTCGCATATTATTAAGACTCCTGCAGCTGCCATTGATATATACCATAAACCACACACAGCATGATGATAAGTCAGCCACGAAACAATCAAAGCAAGAACAAGGAGTTTTGGGTTTTTACACGTAAGGTACTTCTTTATCTTCGCTAGTTTGTGAATCTGGTAAAAACCTGAAGAACAACTGGGTCTGATGGAGGTCTCTCCCTCTCTCTCTATAATGTGGAATCGACGATGTCCTTTGCCTTGTTGGTTGGTTAATTGTACTCCCTGTATTAATACTCCCAGACCGTATAGGTATCATGTGACATACCTCAACGATCGTATATGACATGGGCCTACAGCACTATCTGTAGCGGTGGAATAGTTCTAGATTTACACCGACTAATATATCCGTTCATTTATTATGCCGTGAAGGAAACCGGGGGAAAGGTAGGAAGTTGCAACGATTTTTTTATTTTTTGAATATTAATATTATACAGGCCATTTTGATATAATTTAGAACAGAATGGGTTTAATGTCTCGCCAACACAATACATCTGGTATTTTGAGACTAATAATAATTATATTTCTTTGGTTGCATTTGTAATGACAAAGGTAAGGGTTTCTGCCCACTATTCTTCGATTTGCAATCGTTAAGGGGTCTTTTACGTGCACGTTAATGTGTACCAGAGTTAACTTCGAGTTAACCAAATTCCTTAATCAAACGAAATCTTCGAGGAGTATGATTAATAAAAGACAAAAGAATACCCAACGATAACAAACGTGTAGTTCTGGATGTTTCAGCGATGGAAAAATAAAACGGTGGAGTAAACAAAATTCTATTTTCATCATCAAGGTGTGATATCATGTCTGCATCTTCTCGGTGCATGCAGATCAGCCTTTTTCATGATTGACTTCAGGAGGGGAAATAACTATTAGTTGGCATAAAATTGGCTTCCCACAATCTCACGATCTGGACACACGTTTCTTCAATCGAAACAACAGTCATATTTTCTTTTTGTTTGAAAAGTATAATATTTAAAAGAAATTTGTGTCCCGGTGTGACCACAAACTGTTCGTGAACATATAGAAATACATAGATCAACATCGTCGTCATCATCTTAATATCCCTACCGACACCACCTTTACCACCATCTCCCCACAATCTTATCAGATTTAGATTGTTATTCTGTTTTAGTTCATAATTATCTTTTCGACTATTTGAAGATCTAACCACTCCCTGATCATTTCTTTTTGACGTCTGCTGTAGCCAATGTTGATTAAAACCATTATTGCCCCTGGCCGCAGTCCGAGAGAATTTGTAGGTGCCGACACAAGACAACAATCTGCCCCCCCCCCAACACACGCCTGTGTAAAGATATTGAAACCATAAAATAAACTATAATACATTTATGTTCAACAATCTTTATTTCTTAATATCTGAAATATATTTACCCACACTGAACTATAGAGCAATGTACCCCGGCTGTAACCCCCTCCCCGAATTCTCCTTGGGCCTGAGGCTATAGGTGTTAAATTGTACGGAAAAGTCCGAGTAAACCCACGAGGTTAGGCAGCTAGCGACCCTACGCAGAAAATGCTAATTCAGGTCATCTTCTATTCTAGACTGAAAAATCAACAAAGATGGCCATGCAAAAGGGGGGAGAGAGAGAGAGAGAGAGAGTTTAACACTAGACACGAGAGAGAGAGAGAGAGAGCAATGAACACCACATTTGTTTATGCACTTGGTGAGCCAAATACGTCTACAAGTAATTTAAAAATAACAAAAAATAACAGTCAGCTTAACGCGTTGTGGTTTGTTTGTTGACAAAATTTACATAAAACGCAGCCCACAAAATACGCGCATTGAATCCCGTATCAGCAAAAACCGTTATGTCACCTTAAAGGGACATTGTTACTTTCACAATGAAATTAAAAATCATTGAACCTAATGTCAATGGTGCAGGACAGGGTTCTAGCAAGGACATTGTTTAGTCGTTAGGATGGGACGAAAAATCGAGGCGTGTATGGAATAGATCCTAGGTAGTAGTTGGAATTCGATATAAGAGTAGGCCGTAGCGCCGCTGTCAGGGCAAAGTTTCCCTCATAGCACGAATAGATCGATTAGATTCGTATAGAAATCGAAAACAATTGTTCTAATGATCGTAATCAAATACGCGAGCTATTGATTAATATCACTTAAGTCGATAAGTGTTAGAAAAAATCTGAAATGTCAAGTTGTCCCTCTCAGTGATAGTCAAAGTACCTGAGCAGTAGGCTACTTGTGTAACATTAACGATCGTGTGGCCTATATTTCTTTATCAAAAAGATTATCAATTTACAGTCAACATAGCTACTTCAACAACACCTACAGCAGGTGAGATACTACTCTTATGCAACAGACGTACGCGCTTTTCGATGATATCTATTTCTTAAATGGTTTGAAATAGCTGGATATAAGAAAAGGACACCTTGCTTAATGGATGAGTGACCACAGGGCGCTTTACAGTCGGTTTTCTTTTTATAGCTCGCTCTTTTGCTTAGCGTGATTTAGTAAGCAAAATAAATACCCAGACTACTTTTTGTAGCAGTGTATCTATATATTCTATAAACAGTCTTGACCTACATGTGAAACGGTGATCATGCATAAAGCTTTGTGTTTATTATCGGACAGTGTACGTGTAAATAAACTAGATTTACATTGGTATATTGTTAGCTGATCTTGACTGCACGAGACTCCATTATACATGTACCTAGGCAATCAATACAGACCGTGAGTGGTATAATTGACAACAAACTCAGTAGGTAGGTCTGTAAATGAGAATAGATTCTTTGTCGGAGATTACCTGTAAGTGCAGGACATCGTGTTTTCAACTGTGTTGGAGATTTGAGTTAAAAGTACAGTACTTCATACCATAAATGCAGTCCCCGTTTATAAATAAGCTCCTTGCAGGATAATAATAATAAAACATATTATGCAGATGATCTGATAGATTTATAGCAAATGAAATAGGGTTTAACGTCCTATGAAATGGAATGAAATGAAATGAAATAAGGTTTAACGTTCTACTGTTCCTGCTAATGACAGTGATGTTAATGAAGACCACACGCCTTGCAAAGTGCTATCATGGACATTTTGTCCTGACATTTCGAATTCCAACTTTCAAGGTTCTTTTGTGTGCACGCAAATGTGCACACGTGACCTCGGATTTTGGTCCTTGGCAGGCCCTCATTCCTGCACTAATCCTGTGGAACTTTCTCGGGCAACACCGGAAGCGATCTCAAGACGTCATGGTTATGAGCCAGTGCCTTAGTCCCTGAACTAACGTGGCTCCCACTACTTGTGTGACTGTTAATAGTATTAATATAGTTCATTATATACCTTATAGAAATTAGTGATCATCAAATGACATATTGATAATACATTTTCATAAAGTACGTATAAAAGTGACTTGATATAACATCCATGGATAAAGTTATAATTGTATGAATCTTACCGCATAGCAACACCTATTACTCATAAAGCGGTTTCACAACGATAAATAATATACATAAACCGATAAAAACGTTAAGATGATGTTTATTTGATCCATATAAAACTTTATGATATCTACGAACTCGTAACTTCACGGACGAAATTTATGTTTGAAATTCTGTCAATGTTGCCGGTGTCGTGATGTGAAAAAGCAAAAAGTGAATGAATTATGTTAAACTTAAGGGTAATAAATGAAACTGATATCCCTTACCAAACACATGTATGTACAATATTAATAATATTATGTTTGCTTATAAGCTGGTCATAGACGGGCATTCAATTATATCACATATGTCGCAATATTATCTGCTGTATGATTAAAGGGGAATTCCTAGATTTTACAGGACACCATAAACAGAAGTGGGTGGACGGACGTGTAAATCGAACGCCAAAATGTGTAATGTGTAATTTGCATTACGGAGTAATGTACGTAACTCATTTAATTACATTCGTCAACTGCACGAGTGATTCAATAATAGTGACGATCATCGTGAAACTTATGTTCAGCTCCACTGGCAACTCAAAGTTTACATTACCAGTACTTAGAAACAGTATCACATAATAATATATTAAAATAGTTACATAACTAGAATAAAGGTCTGCAAGAGACTTTCAACCCGAATTGATCAGTTTTTTTCACTAAAATATATCAGGGGGACTGTTTCTTTAAGGTTTGTTGCACTGTAAAGGTCATCCACATAATAAGTAATCAATAAGTTTATATTATATGTTTGATGGGTATGGCCACTATCTGTCGTTCTAGCTTGTGGCCTTATTTGATTAGCACAAGGGGCAGTTTTCTTAAATGTAACCAGTGATAGAACTCTTCAGCTTGACCAGTCAATATTTCCTCCAAAACAAATCTGATTGCTAATTGCATTGAGATTTTACAGAGATCATATGCTGGCATCGACATAACTAGCAAACATAATCTTGCTCTGCAGTGTGGGACCGTCCTTACGCCCATTTGCGAGAAACGACCTAGCTGCATCAAAGCACTATTGACATCAGCATCTTTGGCATCTGTGGTATTAAAGATTTTGATTTGCAACTCTTCGAACCATTTAGATGGCGGCACTTCTAATACTTCGATGATTTCTTTATTGGCAGTTGAAATTGGGATCAAGCTAGAAGTGTCTCTCATACGTTTGCAATGTTTTTCAAATATTGAATTCAACTTCAGACCATCAAAACTATTAAATTTGTATCTGAAATACTGAAGTGTCTGTCTGTCATGCTGTTCCACTTCTGCTTCGCAAGTTCTTTGTAAATTGGCTTTAAGTTTTTCTAAATCCCTTCGCGCTCTGTGGGTAACCATAGCTATATCTTTACCGGTGTTCGTTTTTTTCTTATCTTGAAAACTATCACCCGACGTCTTTTCCATAGCAATGACTTGCCAAATTGTGTGTTTAGGTTTGTCTTCTAATAATACATGTGATTCTTTGGCAACTTTGGACCATTTCAGCGTTCTCGTTGCCATCTCTGTTGTGATATGTAAATTCATCGCCGCGTCATGCTGATTGTGTGTTAGTTTGTCTTTATTGTCTAGATGGATTAAATCTTCCCACGTTTCCATCCGCATCTCCTCTGCATGGGCCACCTTAGAGAATTTTCTGCCACTGAATAACCCGAATGTAGTGGGTGTCGGCATGATGCGAGTGCTTTTTGGTGGACTGCTTGGTGAATCAGGTCGTCGATCGTTGAGCATCATGTTAGAATAGTCAATTGATAACAGCGTTTCGGTTGATTGTCTCTTATTGTTATATTTATTAGATTTAATCCATTTGTTTTTCCGGTTAACACTTTCTGGCTTCTTCAAGCTCCTGATGAGTGGTGCTGGTAAGGGTATTTTGCTCTTGAGATATTTGGATTTCATATTGTGTAGAATGACGATGATGTCTATGATGGATCGGATGTACTCAATGTTATCCTTCTTCAGTCTGTCTAACTTTTCTGACACAGTAGTATGTGGACGTAAGTTTATAGTACTTCTAGAAGGATCATTACCAGAATATGACTCTGTTCTAGCAGATGAAGCACGACTTTTGTCATTTTCTAGGAAACTGGGGGAATCGCATTGGATATCACAAGGCGTTGTGGTTATAGAAGTAGTAGACCGCTCTTGATTCATAGCCCCTTCTATTTCAATATTAGAAGTCGACATGAGAACCATGCTCTCTACCGGTTTAACCTCAGCAGTGTCTGCTAACCTTTTCTGAACTCTATGAATGTGTTCCTCGTACGGGAGGCCACCCCTAACAACGGCTCTCCTCTCGGCAACAACCTTCAAATAATCCAGGATTCTCTGATAACCTGCCCTATCATTGCCATCACTAACAATTGCATCGCCTTCTAGAGCATCGCCATCCGCTTGTATGATAGGAGTATAGACCTCTGGTTTGACCTCCGCTTCTTTCCTGCTCTGTGCTACTTTGTCTTTGTCAATACATTTTAAATTACCATACACCAGATCATGTGTATCCAGAATCACATTTCCTCCCATGCATTTGTAACTCTCGTTATTAATACTATAAAATCCTCGTTTGAAATTATCTCCTCTGCGGATAAAGTGAGCCTTCCAGTAATCATCTGGCCGTTCCACCACCAGACTGTTCTGTCTTCGTTGCCATACATTCTCAGGTTGATATTTCGGATTCTCTGGTTGAAGAAAGTTAACTTTCACAGTTTTATATATTTCGTTTGTCAGATGAGATGACTTGTGGGGTGTTGTTAGATAACTGGAGGCCATTATTTACGTTCTGAAAGTTAAATCGGCGAAACGCTCTTTTGCAGCTTGTAATTAGCAGCTTGGCAACGTCAGAAGAACAATAGCATGACGTCATTATTAGCAGTGTATTATGACGTAAATTATTTTCTTTGTCATTCACAAGAAACAAAATAAATTATGATAAAGGACTAGGTTGGGAGTTGTGCCCACAGAGATTGCATTAATATGTTTGATACATGTTATAATATTACTTATTATCTGGTAAATATTTCAGTATATAACACGTCATGTCATTTATTGCAGGCTACGTATCTACTTTGTTTTTATTAGTTTTTAGCACGTACTTAGTTAAAACACTGTCATTATTAGAAATCAATCACACCGGGGACACAGTATAAACATGGATGACAGGATTAGAATTAGTAGAAGCAGACGATATGGATTAGTCCGTCCAGTGGTACTGCTTAAAAAAAAAAAAAAAAAATCATGTGACTTTGCGGGGCCAAAATTGCACACTATTCCAGACATGCACGTTTGACCATATTGATCCAAAAATTATTCAAATCGGTCAGCCATCACGGCACTATATATCCATCGAAAGTTCTCATTATAACTTTCTGTTGACTTTATGCCGCGTCATCTTGTTTTCTCCGAGATCTTTATACGACGTTGTCGCGAACATCAATGCTTTAAGTTTAAGCATAAAAATATGGTTTAAGCAAGGAATCGTTGCGGTCACTCTGAATTGCTACTCGAACGTTGGGAAGCATATCCGAGACAGTTTTCCATCAAAATACTTAATGCACATCTCCAGTTTATCGAAGTTGTCCAAGGCAGGATTATTCATTGGAGGAGACGGAGATTATGAGAACAATTTTAAATCCAGTTTCCAGGGCCCGTGAAGGGGGGGGGGGTAGCTGGGACCCTTTCCAGGGGCCCGGGGCCAAGACGGGCCCGGATGTATGCCGAGTAGTGTTTTTGGACCAAGAACTGGTCTCTAACCGCTACTTATCTTGTACTTCTTGTTCTTGGGGTGTCACTCTACGAAAAAGCCTAAGGCTCCGTCAATTCAAGTCCGTTCGACATGATAATTGGCATTCTTGTTCTTTGAACAATTCTGCATCGATTTGGTGAATTAGATCTACAGTGCGATCGTACTTTTTTAAAAAATAAAAATTGTTGGTATAAATTAATAAAACAAATACACTGTTACTTGATCGTAAAGTAGGAAAAACAAGAGTGACTTTTCTGAATGTGGGTACCTAGTGGCGTGGGTAGGATTAGCATCAGATTTTGTCAGTTTCCTTTGTTTGGAAAGTTGTGAGTTAAAAACTATAGGCCACCTTCCCGGGCCGTCGGGCCTAAGGAGCTTTATGACGCGGAGGCGGCATGACGTCATTTTGGTGAAGCCATCGACGCCATTAATTTTAACCCTAAACAGCGTCTTTCTAATTATGTAATTGATATGCCTAGGATATAGACTACTCTGTTTGAGATGATATGTTTAATTCTGGAAATTAGGGCCTACATGATTTATTATAACTTATTAATTTATTATTTATATCTACACGTGTTGCCTTTAACATATTGTGTCGCGGACCTTGCCAGATCCATAAATCCGCTATTTATTGAAAATAATTGCAGTTTATAACGTTTCGACAAATTATATATTTTAAAATCTAACACGTGAAATCAGTTTAATTTTAGCCATAAGAGCATTTTCCCGTCGGTATTAACGCGAGACTCTTTATAGATAACGAATGGAATTACAAGATTTGTTTTGCGGAAACGAATCCTGGCTGTATTGCGTACAATCATATTCGACCACATTATTATTCTAGTTTTAGTCTGATTCCATGTTTCTTTTTATTTTCATAGTTTTTGATACTTTTAAAGATGCTTCTTTGGTTACTGGCAACACTACTGTCTCTGGTACTGATCTCTGTGGCTACCATCCATTTCTTGTTTCCATGGGTTCTTCTAGATATCAGATATATCCTCACGGCTAAAAAGGTCGTCCAAGACATAAAAGATCGTGTCAAGAAGCGGGAACTGATTATTGATACTTTCGAAGCCACAGCTAAACGTTGTGCAGATCAGACATTTATTGTGTTTCAAGATCAGAAATTTACTTATAAATACGTGGATGAACAAGCAAATAGAGTTGCAAGAGTTTGTTTAGACTTAGGTTTGAAGAAACGAGATGCCGTCGCCATAATGATTCAAAATGAACCAGCCTTCCTATGGACATTTTTAGGTGAGTAAGATCATTGAGTTCGATTATTAACCCATTTTAACGGCTCGCCTGTTAACAGTTCCTTCCCATAGATGTACAGTAGGCCTAGATCAAGAAAGTTTCTTTGATAGACTAGTTCAGCGAACTCGTGGCTTAGGATTTGTATCTTATACTTCAATTGTACCTTTTTAGGAATAAATTGATTTGAAAATTTTCGCGTGCATTTGAAACAAAATACTTGAAATGTTGATAATGAAATTTTGAAATATTGTCCTAAAAATCGCAATCTTATCGAAAGCTTTCATGACGAATCATAAAAGGCATTTTGATTAGGGGTAGGATTTGGTTAAACCTATTGCAGGTCTTTCTTTAGGCCTGAAATGTTATCTAATTTATTAATTGGACATTAATTAACTTATCCAGACCATAATCAACTCTCGATGTCATCGCGAGCTGCGATGTTTATTGGATTAGGTTCCGATTTGCTGTTCGACTTCATTCATGATTTAATCATGAAATGGATAATCTAGACTATGTTTTTTTCTCGTATCGACTTTAGTAATGATGATCGAGGCTAGGCCGAAAATTCAATCTCTAAAATCTCGGTTCAGAGTGAATCAATTTGACTGAAATTTTCAGCAAATTTCCCTTTTAACTATTATAGTTTGGGCTGCCAGCTCTTTATCTAATCTCCCATAATGTATCTTTAAATTAGTACCTATCGGATTACATGTACGTTACTTGTGGTAACGCCCATTTGCTGTACTTAAAAAAACAAGTCTCTAACTATTTCAGGTTTACAAAAGATTGGTATAAAAGTTGCGTTGATAAATTACCATCTACGTGGACAAGCTTTATCACACTCTATACATGGTTGTCAATCCAGGGCTCTAATAGTTGGTCAAGGTAAACTTTATGATTTTAAATATTAAATGCCCTTACAGGCAATAAGACCGTACACAATAATTGTGATCCACGAAGTCTGTAATATCGCAGACGTTACACGACCAAAGTACTGCGTAAACCGTTAACCGTAAAGAAGTTAGTGTTCTCGTGTGGCTTGGGGGACCATTTTCAGTCTTGAGGTAATGCGAAAGCCTTCTTCTAACCCTGTGTTGGTATAGGTGAGCGTGGGACATCACATCACACGGCGTTGATAGCGCGAGCGTTGTTTACTTACAGGACGTAGTAACGTAAACTGGTCCAGGTAAAATGGTTCCTTTTACTCATATTTTTTTATCCAGATATACTTCCATTACATTTATTTTTTTTACTTAATAATTTAAAAAAAAACATGCTTTAGAATTTAATTTGCAGAAGAAAAAAACGTTAATATTGAGATGTGCTCAAGCTAAACACATCAGCATATACTCTTAGTCTAGGCCCTATAGGCTTTTTCACTGTTGACGCCCCTCCCAATCCCCCACCGCCACGACTAAAGGATGATATTTTACACTACAGTGCGTCTAAGAAAGGCCTAAGTACAGTTTCAAAAAGATTATTATAACCTTGGCCGGAGACTCCTTAGATCTTGAGGCCCAAGGTTTCAGCCTATGCCGAGCCAGTAAGTAACCCACCCACCCCCTGTTCATTGTTAACAGCTTGAATAGTTATTTACACAATTTCTAATTTCCATTTCGTTATTTTAGGTGATGAAATTCTATCAGCTGTCGAAGAAATAAAACATGATCTGAGTGAATTACAGATATTAATACAGAGTGACGATGTCCAAGGAGCAGGATTTAAATCCTTCAATAAACTGATGCAAGAAGCTTCCCCTGATCAAATAGATATATCAATCAGAGATGATTTACACTTGAAGGATATATCAACGTTTGTATTTACATCAGGAACTACTGGTAAGTTATCCAAGAACGGGGAGTTGCGGTGGCTCAGTGACCAATGCGGTACTTTCTCGCTAGTCTGAAGGTCCCAGGTTCGAGCCAGGTGTTGGCGGAGAAAGTGCCTTGGTATTTTTCGGTGTGGTTTCTTTTTGTGAATGGTGCAGGTCGACGGGGGGTCTGACAAGGAACAACATCCATCTAGTCGTTCGGATGGGACGAAAAACCAAGGTCTTGTGTGCGTACTCATTGGCATGCACACAAAAGAACCCCTGACTGTTGAAATTCGATATAAGAGTAGACCATAGAGCTGCTGTCCGGGCAAGAATAGTACGGGTAGAATCATAGTATCTCGGTTGCCATCAATAAAGCCTACGAAGGTAGTAAAGCTAGATCTAGTTGTTTGAATGGGATGCATACCAAGGTCACTGAACGCATATTATGCTTAACATGGCTCTGTGCTAAAAAATAAATTTTCAGATGCTTAATTTATTTCTTATGTGAAATTTTTGTTTAATTTCCAGGTTTTCCAAAGCCAGCAACTGTAAGCTTATTGCGAACAGTCGCCAGTATCGGTGCGTTCACTTTCTTTAACTTCAGTGAGAAGGATATATTGTATGAAACACTACCTTTGTACCACGCTTCGGCCTTAAACCTGGGAGTCCTTAATGTAATAAATAAAGGTAAGGTGTGTTTCCAACAACTTTTCTGGGTTTAACCTGATCAAATATCACCCCCGAAGATCTTTGCCGTATATTAGACGCTACGTAGGAACGTGCAGTATAAGTTTTATATGCCAATTGTTTTATATTATCGGGGATTAGTTTGAATTGATTCTTGCAATGTCCATGTGGTACAATTTTAACCCTAACCCTTCGGAATAGTTTTACATACAATCCAATGTTTTTACAGCTTCAACTTGTACGTTTGACATGTAAATTTTAAACCTAATCCTTACCCTAACCATAGAAAGATATTTTCCAGACTGGTAAAGATCTAGTATTGTGCGATAAAATCGTTTGTTTTTGTTTTACAGGAGCAGTGATTGTTCTTCGAAGTAAATTTTCAGCCACGGCATTCTGGGAAGAATGTCGTAAACATGACGTGACAGTAATTCACTACATAGGAGAATTATGTCGTTATTTAGTGGCTAAACCAAAGGTCAGCCGATAGAATGTTTTTTATTGTCTGATATCGTTAATTTACGATTACATAAATAAGTACACTAATATTCATTTCATTAATAACAACAAATCAGTTTCAGAATTGTTTTTACTGTGGAATGTTTTTCCATTTCCCACTTGATATGACTAAAGCCCGACTGTTCATCACCGATACACCAATGCTTGTAATTATTTGTGTATATAGAAGTATTGTGGCTAATAGTGTAGCAACTGCCCAGAAAACACCAGAACAGCACAACGAATGCAAAATACGATATTGAGTGACAGAACCCTTATGAACGCCAAAACAACCCAATTGACGGATTACTGAAATAAACCACCTTTCTAGATGAATACAAATATATCGAATTCCAACTGTCAAGGGATCTTTTACGTACACGCCAATGTGTACACTGACCTTTGTTTTTCGTCCCATCCGAACTACTAGAAAGCTGACCTCGTCAGGCATCACTGACAACGGGGAACTTTCTCAGCCAAAACAGGGATCGAACACCGGACTCCAGGCTAGCGAGTCAGCGTCTTACCCACTTAGCCACCATGACCCCCAGATGAATACAAAACTGCAACAACATATCTCTCGCAGATAAACCCAGTGACGATGTTGACGATGCCGTTGGTCCTTTGTCGACGTCCTTGTTCTTCTGAAAAAAAAAGTTATTGCTGTGTGTAGTGTGTTACTCCTGCACTTAATAATAAATGATATCGTTTGAAATCTGTTATAGTGTTGAAGAATGTAATATATTCCAATGTGCATTGGTCTAAGCAGGGCGGTGTTTCGTTACTTAATAATAATTAATAAGGTCAATTTTGAATATAGTATGATTTGAAATGAAAGATATTCAATTCCTCAGCGGAAACATAACACCGCCTCTTTATATCAAATCATGACTAATGGAATATAATTATAAACATTACAAAACGTTCTCATGATTTTTATATTACAGCAAGACACAGATGGCAAACATTGTGTACGGGTTGCCATTGGTAATGGTTTAAGACAGGATATATGGGAAGAATTTCAACAACGATTTAAGATTCCTCAGATTATAGAATTTTATGCTGCTACCGAGTCACCAGTGGCCTTTCAGAATATATTTGATAAAGTGGGTAGTTGTGGAAGAAGTTCACCGTTACTGGTAAGTTCCTTGTAAATTATTTCCAGACTTGAAATAAACTCGTTTCAACCAGGATTGCGGGGATAACAATAATAATACATTTGTGCTTCTGGGCGTTCCAGAAACCCATCTTTCATGACTCTTTTCTATTTTTGTTTGATAATGGCTTTCTTGTAGTATTCTATATACATCTAATAGATATTTATTGAGTTAACGAAACATGATTCTTATGGAATAAAGTGCTACATGAAATTGACAATTTGGTCTATACATTTGAAACCAGGACCCTCATGTTCGTGAAATGTTCTTAAATTAGAGATCTGCAACATAAAAAAATGATTGAAGTTTACAGGATACCTGCTGCAATTGTACTTCTTTTATTCATATTAGATTGATATTTTGTACTATTTTAGAGAAAATTGACCCCCGTTACATTTGTAGAATTTGACAATGATACACAATCAGCAAAACGTGATAAAAATGGTCGATGTATACCAGTTAGTACAGGTTAGTAATGCACCATTTTTTTATGGGGGGGGGGGGGCGGGGGGTGGATGGCCGAATGGTTAGCACGCGCGCAATGTATCATACGGTCTGTCATTGAGTCAACCGGCGGGGTTTCGATTCCCCGGTTGTACTTGACAAGGAGTAGGGTCGTCTGTCCAACGGTTTCCTCCCACTGCTAACGACCCCTACGCGCAAGCGAATGATTGAAATAAAATTGATCCATGTTTTAGTCCCGAAATGACCTAGTTTGTGTCGAGTGGACGTTAAACCCCATTTCTCTCTCTCTCTCTCTCTCCACCATTTTATTTTATGGAAAACAATTATTTTCACACTGGACAGATATTATAAGCGCGATCTGAGCCTCTTGGATACCACCTTCGTATCATGGTTGCTATCATCGGTACCATAACTGTTAACGATGACTGCAATAACAATGACGACAAATCTAATGAAGCATTTTATAAACCAACCGGTGTCAGAGAGTAGGAATCGAATGGTCTTTTCGGTAAGTTATGTGAACAATGGACAGCCGTTGGAAGGAACAACTCACTGAAGTCGTGCCTTAATCTTTTCTCCACAGCACATCGCCTTTTACACAGCCGCCCAGAATAACATCGGGCCAATAGCCACCCGGCGACATGCTAGGAGGTTACGTGACCGACGGAGACCCATGGGACAGAGCAACTCACCGTAATGGTCGCAAATTTGTTTTCCGCTTAATGCTTTTTGCGCTGCTGCCGCCGAAACTCCAGCTTGAAATCACCTTAATTTATTCACAGGTGACACTGGTCTGCTGCTAGCACCCGTGTCTGGTTCCCTACCATTTGAAGGTTACTATAATAAACCCAAAGATACCGAGAAGAAAATAATAAAAGATGTTTTAAAAGAAGGCGATGTTTTCTATAATTCTGGAGATCTATTTTACATAGATAAAGATTATTTTTTATATTTTAAAGACAGAACAGGTGATACATACAGGTGAGACATTCCCTATATATAACATAGACCTCGACGAACAAGAGTTAGTGTTGGGACTATAGTCCGATCTTCGTTTTCTTTGTCAACGTATGTTGTTTATTTTCACTTCAGTAAGGTATAACAACAACATAGCCTGACCTTTCATCTTGCCAATGAACCGATGTTTTGGGTTTGGCAAGCTAGATTTGTAACCACAAGATTTCGTGTCCCATTGCGAATAAGGACAATTTGGGAACAGTAAAACATTATTATAGAGAAATAACATTTATTTCAATGGAGATAAGAACATCACATATATATGTTCAATTCTCTATTGTGGAATAATATGTAAATCGGGTGGTGGCTGTTTGGAGTCGTATCAATTTAAAATGAGGCAGGAAATGCTTGCTTTTTCTAGCAATAACACCTGATACTACCCCCCCCCCCCTCCCCTCCTCTCACCACACACACATTCATTGAAGGTGTTCACATAGCTGACCCATATTTGTATAAACACTAGTTGACTTGATTATTAATAATTTTGGATGAGGATGGCGGGGGATTCGTTTCTAACTATTTATTTTGTAAACTCTAAAGAACACGCCACTCAAGACAACTAACCTGCGCGTAGGAAACACGGGTCGTTTGTGAAATCCGCAAAGAATTTATATAGGATTCTGTCTGTTCTCTAATACAGTTTCTGTGAATGAATATTGTTTAAAAAATAAATCTACAGTTGTTGGAAACGGCAGTATTATAATATTGATAAAACTGGAAACCATTCCATCTGTCGCCTAAAATTGGTTAAATATTATTTGTCTCTTGTTTAGGTGGAAGGGTGAAAATGTTTCTACATCAGAAATATCAGAAGCTGTAAACAGTTTAGATTTTGTACACGACACTAACGTATATGGTGTTAACGTACCAGGTAATCAATTCATACATCTTGCTGTAACATGCATGTGTCTAACCAAATTATCACACTTTGGCTTTTCATTTAACATGTCGCCAGTGACGGTTTATAGAATAAATGTGATCAAGGATACGTCTTAAACTGTAGCCATTCATGCAAACATTAATGGGTGCAAACATTAATGGGTGCAAATATTAATGTGTGCTGTATACCATGCAGGGTGTGTGAATTATGATATAATTTTCCTCTTAGTGAAACTAGAAAGCTCCAGGTTGTGTCCTGTTGTAAGATTAGTTATCCCTCTCTGCACTGTTATGGTTTTGTAACTAGTACTTGTGTACAGTTGGGGGGGTTGGATGGCTGAATGGTTAGCGTGCGCGCGCTGTATCCCAAAGTCTGTCATTGAGTCGACTGGCGTGGTTTCGAATCCCCGGTTGTACGTGGCAAGGAGTAGGGTCGCCTGTCCAACCTCGTGGGTTTTCTCCGGGTCCTCCGGTTTCCTCCCACTGCTAAAGACCCCTACGCGCAGGCGAATTATGTAAATAAAATTGAACCATATGTTAGTCCCGAAATGACCTAGTTTGTGTCGAGTGGACGTTAAACCCCATTTCTCTCTCTCTCTCTTGTGTACAGTTTTCCTGTATTGTCTATTACATAATGGGTCGATCGTCCTTGTTATTTGTAGCCGCGGTGGCTCATTGAGCAAGGAGCTGGCTTGCTAATCTATAGGTCACGAGTTCGATCCCAATATTGACCGATATACTTCCTCGGGATGTTCCGGTGTGGTGTTTCCCTGTCAGTGGTACAGGACGGAGGACCTGACAAGAACGTGCGTCTAGTCATTTGGATAGCACGGAAACTCCATGGTCATGTGTACACATTGGCGTGCACGTAAAAGACCTCCTGATGGAAATCTAAATGAGAGCTGGTCTTGAAATATACCCCTTATAGTACAAGGATGTTGTATGTCTGTCTTCATAAACCCGAATGGAGCAGAAAAGTAATACGTCAAATCCCATTTTTTTCCATGATATAACTAACTCTTTTTAAAGGGACAATAACACTCTTGCTGACTTGACAGCCCCAGAAAATAAAAAAAATAGCCTTATTCTAAGTACTAGATGTGTTAGTGTCCTACCTGTTGTGTAAATTATCCATTAAATCCTATTTTACTTGTCCAGAGGGTTCAAAAATATTTTTAAATCCAAGTCACATTTGAAAAGCTTTACGTCAGGCTTTTCAAATCATTTAGTTGAATTTTTCCATTTTTTTAAATTAGGTGTGTTAAGATGAAATTTGTATCATCAATTAATTGGAATATTGTAAAATAGTACAATTTGTTGACCAGAATAAAGATTGGGACATATTATTCAGTTACAACAAGAGTGGTATTGAGCCTTTAAAGTATGAATCACAAGGTTTAAAGAAGGTTTTTGTTTATCTTTAAGGTTGTGATGGTAAAGCTGGTATGGCCGCCATACATCTTAAAGAGGGGGCTTCCGTGTCACCACAGCATATACATCAGATCAGTCAACACTGTAGCAAACAACTTCCGGCCTACGCTAGACCCCGATTTCTGAGAATACAACGTCAGATGAGTTTAACTAGTACGTTTAAACAACAGAAAGTTGATTTAATCAATGAAGGTTTTAATCCAACTAAAATAGACGAAGAATTATTTTACTATGACACTAAGCAAAACGAATTTAAACCTCTAGACGAAACGTCCTATGAAGGAATTAGTGCTGGGAAAATTCAACTTTAAAAAATGAAAATCCAATGTGTTCAATTTAATTTTTATTTTTGCTTTAATAAAGTGTATTAATCTGCTTTGAGACTATCTGCTGAATGGCCGCCATGTTGAAATATTAGTGCACAATTTGGTATGCTGTTGTAATCCCTTTACACCTTCTATACATACAAAGACGACAAAAATATTAATAAATATTTTCAGTCATTGAATATTAAAATGAAAGCGGAAGAATAATGCTCTCAAAATGGAGGAATTAAAATGTTGGTCAATTAGCTTCGTGTATGTTGTCAAGCGAAGCTAATGGTAGACAGGCAGCGTATAGGTCATAATAAAAAAACAGGCAAGGTAGTAAAAGTGTCACGAAAGCCTGTGTATAAAATACGATGACTGAACATTAGGCTTAAAATATCGTGCATAAGAAAGGGTAATGTATTTTTCGTGGCAAGATACATGTATAGTCCATAAACATATAATGTCTCGGACCATAATAGGCGTGTGATTTTGATAAATTGACTGGCCCCTATTCTATTACTAATAAGTTCCTGGTCTTTCGTCGTCGGATTTTGTATGTTTTTCATATTGCGGTTTATGTGAACTGTTTTGTGTGAAATTAAAACGAACCGAAGGATTAAAAATATACCCACGGACTGGACACAGTTTTCCGAGCAGGATGTTGTTCATAAAAAGCTATAGTTCACAATTGGCCACAGATCACTAAACATTTGCCCATTGACTTTAATGCAAAATCTCGTCTCTTAGACCGGCTCTAACTTTTTCCCAAATTTTCGTTGGGTAGAACGCTTTCTACCACAGATGGAGCAACATGTGGCAACCTCTTGCCCAAAAGCACGTATGAGGTTCACCATGGAAAACTTAAGATACACAAGCTGGAAGTAGAGACAAGAAAACATGCAATTTTGGACCCTACATTTCAACCTAACCAACCTCTCAACTCTTGTATCCTTCCGCCTCAAAATCATGAATATTCACCAAAACCTGGTAGAAAATGTATTTTCAAACCCTTTTCTTCGATTCTACACCAAAAAGTCAACAAAAATCGCCATGCAAAAGGGGGAAAAAGGGAAAGGGAGAGAAAGACTAAAAATAACTTTCGAGATATTTGGTGAGCTGTGTCCTATATAGCAACTGTATTTACCCTGGCAAGATATAATTCATAAAAAGCTAGTGTCTATCTCACAACATAATATAATATGGGTCATAAAGAGCTAGTCTTTTTACTCAAGCAATATATAGTTTATAATCAGTTAGTATTGTGAAACACAATATCATTAATCTCTAACTGAAATGTGGTTTTAACTTCCTACTTTTTTACACCAACCGAGATAATAAAGATGGGCATGCAATATACAGTTTTCTATGAGGGAAATTGGCCGGACAGCGACCCATGGCCCATTCTTATTACGAATTCCAACTGTGTGAACAACGGACCTCTGTATTTCGTCCTATCCGAACGGCTAGTCACTGTTCCCGCCATATCATATGTTCTGCTGGAAACCACGCCGGGAAATCCCGAGGTACTTTCTCGGCAAACCCGAAACCGCCTGGTTAATGAACCAGCGCCTTACTTACTGAGTCACGGCGACTCACTCTTTATATAGTGTTAATGTTCATAATTATTTTCCTCACTGACTTTCAGTTGTTTATTATATAATATATTTGTTAGTTATTTTAGTCTAATTGTAGTGTAATATATATAAAACGTAAAGTTTATATTTTGTTATATTGCCATGTTAATAAATGCTCTTTTTTTTCTACATGACGTTTTTCCTACTAGAAATATTTATGCACTGCGTATTACGAATAAGTGGCTAAGTGGGTAAGACGCTGGCTCGATGGCTTGCTGGCTTGCTGGCCAGGAGGTCGCGTGTTCGATCTCAACATTGATCGAGGTGGGGCGAAAAATCGAGGGCCCGTGTATACACTGTCTTGCGCGTAAAAGGTAAAAGATTGGAATTCGATATTAGAGTAGGCCATAGTGCCGCTGTCTCCGCAAAATTTCCCTCATAGCACACTGTATGGCGTATGCCCGTCTTCATTAGGCCAGTTGAAGCAGAACAATAGGACGTTAAAGGACAATATTGGTGCCAGTCATTATCACATATGTGATAGATCTAATTAAACACGTTCCAAATATAATTTTAACTCAGAGATCATTGCTACGATAGCTGAGTTATACAGGATTCCTGAATCGGAAGTGACGAACGTCAAAGGAAAACACGAGACATACCTCTATATAACTGGCTGAAGTGCCAACTGATAACAGATACATAGGCGAATTTCTGCTCACTAATAATTCCTTCGAAGACTAAAAGTTGTTTTGTGAGACCGTGAGAAGATATCTGACAATTTATAAAAAGAATTGACTGCCACTAGATAAGAGAACACGAAAGAAAAACAGAAAAAAAGTCCGTGCATTACCATGTTTTTATAAGGTAGGGGAAAGCGGGTTTAGTCCGACCCCATTCATATCTCGCGCCCACTCGGCCAAACCTCGGCAGATTTCAGTACCCTACATCTAGCCTCGGCTGTATGACGAAGTCCGCCATTGGGACTACTTTCAAGTTCCGGATCACCAACGCCGTTGCCCATAACGACGCATTTGAAGAATGTTTTACCATACAAAGATTTCAAAGTCTGAAGCTGTTTTTCTTTCAAGTTTATCCTATTTCCTTTAAACACGGACCAGTTTGAACTGAAAAGTCTACATACTCTTCGAACGACGCAGTTTTTAGAACTTCTTTCTAAAAGCGGCAAGTTTTCCTAATAATACCCCAGTCAGACCGGGGTAGCGTACTTACTTCGCTGATACGGCGATGGAAAATAGTTTTAGAGCGCGTTAAGATCGCCATAAGCGTAGTGGAAACGCCAGCTATCGTGCTGTAGTCACCATGGTCGCCAATGATCGCCGAGTCACCGCGTTTATTTTGAGCATGTTCAAAGCAAACGCCAAGGTTCTGCGATCTGAACTGTAAAACTACGAGAATACGACTTTTTTTCAAGTTTGTAGTTTTTGGGGACATTTTCGGCTACCTTGTGCATTTCCTGGTCGCCGTACGGTCGCAGCAGCGCAGTAAGGACACCACCCCGGTCTGACGGGGGCATAAGTAAACCGGTGACGCATCGCAATTGTATAGGCGTAGGTACATATCACTTACTGTTATACAGCCGAGGCTTGATGTTCGTCCATTCGGACATGGTGACTTTGAGATGAAATTACTTGTATACGCCTGTCAATAAAACTATTCAATGTATGCCGTAAATTAGCCAACTCCACTGTCTTTAATCTATTATGGTCTGTTGCAGTGGTTCTCAACCTTTTTGTGCCAACGGCACACCTTGAAACACATGAAAAAACAGCGGCACACCCGACTTAATATATATGAAAAATATTTGATTTATTTGCAAAATAAAAAACATGGCTAATCATAGACGCCATACAATTGTAGCCACAGACTTGTCATAGACACATAGTATGGCTCAAACTAAACGGCACACATAGGAAGATCTCACGGCACAGGTTGGGAATCACTGGTCTACGGTAACGTAGCTTCAAAAGTTATCGAGCTATGTTGGTTTTATTATTTTATTAAAAATGGTGCGAACTAGCCCCGCTCTCCCCTATAGAATGAATATAAACAAGGGAATGTACGGAATATTTCTATTTTTCTCGTGTTCTCTTATCTAATGACATTCAATTACTTTATTGAATTGTCAGCTATCCTCTTACAGTCCAATATAACAACTTTTGGTCTTCGAAGGAATTATTAGTGAGCAGAAATTCGCCCATGTATCTGTTATCAGTCGGCACTTCAGCCAGTTATATAGAGGTATATCTCGTGTTTTCCTTTGGCGTTCGTCACTTCCTATTCGGGAATCCTGTATTACTCAACTATCGTATCAGTGATCTCTCTGTTAAAATTATATTTGGAATGTGTTTAACCAGTTCTATCACATATGTGATAATGACTGGCACCAATATTGTCCTTTAAAGCCCATCTCATTTCATTTCACGAATAAAATACATTTTTCGTTCACTCGATTAAACATACATTATGCAATTATGCAATCGATGGCATCAGATTTCTACAATATTAAATAGGTTAGAAAGGTTCAGACATATTCTGATTTATTTTAAAAATGGAGGAGCGAAAAGCTTCGAAAAACCAGTGGTTGAAATTATTGCACACGTCTTGTCAAACCGTCAAAGGCTAATATCTTTGCTCGCAATAAAGTAATTTGAATAAAATTTTCAAATTATTCATTTTACATTATCTATTTGTGAACTATTATAACAAGAATGGCTAGCTCTTTATCTAAATCTTACATTAGGTATCTTTAAGGATTTCAGCAAAGAAATATGTTTTTAAATTGTTTTTTACTTCGCCTACATTGCTACAGAATTCAGTTAGTAGCTTTTACGACTGCTATTGGGCTGCATAGTATGCAATTATATAGCGAATACAGTTGTGTTCAGAATTAGTAGACATATTATAAGTGGGTTGATCCAGTGTTTGTGTATACGTAGCGATGATTAGGGTCGCCCGCTTAACCTCCTGGGTTTAAATTTCAATTTTATTAGCTGTGGATATGATGTTTACTACGCCTACAACAACCACAGGGTGTGACCATCTAATCCGTTCAAAGGTTAAACAAACAGTATGCTAAAGGTCACTATACACATGCATCTCCCAGTTTTATTTACCATTAAATTCCCGTTAGTTACGAATGATGTTGCTGTGTAATGCTGCAATAAATTCATGCTACCAAGAAGAAGTCTGGAATAATTGGCCCAATTTGAGGTTGAGTTGGGCGGAGGACTAATAGCACTACGAAATTTTACGTCCGATCATGACTTTTCATGCTATATGAACGACCAGAAACATTTTCGTGCTCTCCCCACTAGTCCTAAAGCTAGCAAGTAGAAGTTGGATGGTAACGTAGGGCGCATCCCCCCCACTCTCTTTCTGTTATACTGTCAACACTGTTTTGGTATATTTTCATTAAAATAAAGGCAGTCTTTCTTTTCTTGCATCAAATTGTTTGGAAATTCGTGGTGATTCCTCCCATCAATGTGCATTCCCAACTACGCACCGCCATAAAAATAACCTCAAAAAACCTCAAAAAAACAAACAACACGTATCCGGCCCGGTCACGTACATCAAGATAGGTTGCCAGGCAACAAAACATACGCCCACAGCAGCTAAATCGTCCGAGCGGTCGCTTAGGGTTGTCGCATATTTATTTCTTTGTAGGTAATTGGGGGCCTTTACAAGACAGTTCCATACAGATCAGATTATAAATTTTGTCGTTTGAGGGTTTACAAGGTTCTACAAACTGAAACAAGGGTCTCAACTCTGGAAGTAATCTACAGAAATTGTTGAAATTTGACAGGCTTTTTCATTTTGCTAATTTAAATAATGCATATAAATTTCATACAGATCACATGATCACTTTTGTCATTCAAACGTTCCCAATCGCGATAACTCTAGAAATTATTGACGGAAATTGCTGAAATTCAATAGACTTGTTTCACAAATTTAAATGATGCATATAAATTTCATACATATCGGATGATTTCATTCATCGTTGGAGCGTACACAAGGTTCAATAAAGTGAAACAAGGGCCATAACCCTATATGTAATAAACGGAAATTGCTGAAATTCAATAGGATTCTTTGTCTCACTAATTTAAATAATGCATATAATTTTCAGAAAGATCGAATGATAACTTTTGATGTTATAACGTTCACAAGGTTCAATAAAGTGAAACAAGGGCCATAACTCTAGAGGTAATAAACGGAAATTGCTGAAATTCAATAGGCTTCTAAACAATGCATGTAAATTTCAGAAAGATCGGATGATAAGAAATTGTGGACGACGGACGGACGGACTGGGCGACGGCAATATACGTCCACATTTCAATGTGGGCGTATAAAAATTGGTACCACCCGTTTACTTCAACTGTATAGTAGTAGTTTGTTGTATTTTACGTCCGCTTCCACCGAGGTGATATCGCAGACAATCACGTGTTATGTTTGATTAAGGATTTTTTTTTTTTTTTTTTTTTTTTTAGTCGATAGCAATAAAACTGTCAATGTTCGGATCAAAGCTGATCTCAAGAGGTGTTGAGGTTGAGGGATGGTAGCTGCATTCTTGGATGTTAAAGCTGCTCTCATTTATTTTTATTGCAGGTGGTCTTGGCTTTGTAAATTCGAAGCTTGTTTCTTTTGCTGCTGTTCTACCTCCCTCTTCTCTCCTTCGTTTCGGTGCCTTTGGTTCTATTGGCGGAGACTGTGTTACTGGCGGTGACTGGGTTACTGTTTCGATCACTGTTTTACTGTCCTCGACTGGCTTTGTTGCTTCTGGAACTGGGTGTTGTGCTGGCCGTTTGTTCTTTTCCCTTTCTGGGCCTCGAAGAGGGCACTCCTTGCGTGAGTGGCCCAACTTCTCGCATCGGAAGCATGGAGAAGCTTGGCCTGGTGTTACGACTCGGACTCTGGCATCTCCGTGAGGGGTCTTCAGAACTATTATCTGTGGAATATTTTTCATTTCCTCCGTCTTGATTTCTATTTCCACCTCTCTTACTCTCTTGTAAACTCTAGTGCCCGGCAGTCTTTGGTCTTTGAAGGATCTGACGTACCCAATATCGGTCATAATATTATGAAAATAGTCGTCTGAGTAAGAGACTGGAAAGTCATATACGGTGAGGGTTACTACTTTCGAGAATCGTCAGAAGAATCTGTATTCTATCCCCATGTAGGTGTGGCTTTCTTTTTCTAGTAGTGTGGCTTTGACCTCTTTCGTCTTCACGTGGACATGCCATTCTTCTTTAACCTGATATATTGTTAATATATCGTCCCACTTGCCGAGCAGGTCGATCAGGCACTTCAAGATAGACCTGTCGGTCAATCTCTCTGTGCTACTGACCGCCACGTGGTAGGACACCCTGCTGGTCTCATCTTCGGGGACTTCGTAGGTTTTGATTATGGGGTTCATCGTGAATAGAGTACTGGTGAATAGAATACTGCTGAACTGGAGAATAGAATACTGGAAAACTGGTAAATAGGATAATGGAAAACTAGAGTCTGGAACACTGGATAACTGGAGCACTATAAGACTGGATAACTGGGATACTGGATCACTGGAGTCAAGGGTTAACAGGGCGAACGATGCATGATTCAACTGTATAGGCTTTATATGCTATATATAGCATTATACTTGGACCTAAATTTACACACATATATATATAATATCTGTAATGTGAAAACACTTATTGTAGTTGTATACCCTCTATATACTCGCTTTACCAACCAAGGGGGTGACACGAATTGGTCAATACGTTAATTGCGGAAGGATGTTCATATAATTGATGAAGTAGATAGCGCGATATCAAAAGTAGATTTATTTTATATACTACGGAGTTATTTATACTACGGTGGCAGCCAGCCGGGAACTTTAGAAGTTAGGAATAGTCAGTCTTTTGTTGAGTTTTCAAAAGGTAAATATCTTTTTTTTTTTACATTTTTTAACAATTTTAATATCGTAATCCATTTTACATTTTCGTATACATTTTCATATCAGAGGCTTAATTCTGCACCAATTGATTCTCATTCTTTACACACTTGTAAATAAATATTAAGCTGACTAAATTGATATTATTAATCTGTTATTCTTATTTGTCTTTAAAGTTTACTTTTAACTGTTTGATTGAATCGAATTTTTCTTCCAAAACCGAGCCGCAGTGACTCAGTAGGTAGGACGCTGGCTTGCTAGCCAGGAAGTCTCGGGTACGCTCTCAGTGTTGGTTTTTTCCGGTGTGGTTTCACTATGTCAGTGGTGCTTTACGGGAGGGGGGGGGTGGATCAAAGAACAGTGTCTATTCATTTGGATGGGACCAAAAACCGAGACCCAATACACATTGGCGTGCACGTAGAAGAACCCTTGGCAGTTGAAATTGGAAATAAGAGTAGGCGGTAGTGCTGCTGTCTAGTCAAAATGTTCCTTTTAGCACATTTAGCCCAATATTTACAGAGGTTAAACTCTATTTTATTTGCCAAAGCGACGTCTTATATCTTTCACTGAAAGCAGCAGTTTTCTTGGCGCATGAATTAGACGATTCGCTTTAAATAAAGAAAATGTGACACATTCCTGTCAACATGACGTTAGAAGCTTACAACATATTTTGGAATGTTGACGAGCAATGAATTATATTAAAGCGGACGGGGATGTAGGATTTAATGGAACAAAATATAAATACACGAGATTCTATGAAACGATAAGCAAATACTTTTTTTAAAATAGGAAAAAATAAAGAATTATATCGTACGATTACACATTGCCTCTTAATTTATTCTTTAAAGGTCCACGTGTTGATTGAATGTTTAAGGATGAATTGAAAGGATGGAATTCTGACTGTGTCGGAACATTCCATCCGTTTTATTGTGCATATTGTATTCAATTACTTGGCTGTTTGTTATTTAATAGTAACTTTAAAATGACTACACAACAAACTAAAAACAAAAAATAAAATTAAATTTTAAATGGCCCTACCTGAACATAGAATTGTTCGATTTCAATCATTTTTAAGTCAAAATGTTGTTTTAGAAGCACGCCTCTGTATAATGTTACTCTGTAAATTTAACGTTTTTTTAGGCATACTATCGTAATAAGCTAATGCGGTGCCTGTTTCGATATGTTATAAAGGGGTCGTAAATTAAAATCCCTGGTCGTTATTTATGCGAATTGTAATCACATATAATGGACAATCATGTTGTGAAAGTGGAATCTCTGAAAGCAATATTAGTCCTAACTGGTTCAATTCCTTTCAGTATTTATTTATAAAGATATTGAAATTTTCGCAATATTCGGCTGGAAAATGCCCGATCTGCTGTAGCCCCTTTGAATATCCGTTAGAGCAGTAAATATTTATAACACTTTTACGTCATGTACTACCGGAATTTGAACTGAATTAAATAACAGTGCCTTCAGTCATAAATCTCATAATTGCTGTTTACATTTCATTTAATTCAGGTTTACTAAAAGTTCTACAGCCACTTATATAATACATGTAACAGGCAGCTTGAAATTTGGACACTACCTTTTTTGGATTTATAAAAGGGTGATTAAATCTTTGTTGACGTCTATTAGCGCCATGTTGGAGACCATAGCTTTATTCGTGATCGTTACATTATCAGTTATCATGTCCTTGAAGTATTTTTATCCCTGGTTGAAGTATGATTGGGTGCATATACAGCAAATGTTGAAAGCAAAACGCAGATATGATGAAAAATTTTTACGAAAAGAATTTATTATTGATACCTTTGAAGCTGCAGTGGCAACCCATCCAGACAAAGCGTTTATAATTTACAATGATGTGAAATATTCGTATTATGAGGTGGATCAGATAGCTAATCAGGTAGCTAGAGCTGCTGTTGAAATGGGTGCAACTAAAGCAGATACAGTTGCTATCATGTTATACAACGAACCGGCTTTTATTTGGTTATTTCTAGGTAAGTATTTGTTTCTTTATTTTTTACGAAGTGTCGAAGACCAAAGGTATGCCAAGTGTCGCGGTTTGATTGAGAGCCTAAATGGAATGGGGTTTAACGTTCTACTTTCCTGCGCTTACCGGGCATGCCAAGGGTTCTTTTACATGCACACCAATGTGTATACGGGAACCACGCTGGAAAATCCCGAGGAACTCTCGCTGTCAACACCGGGATCGAATAGGGACGCCCAAACTAGCGATCTAGTGCCTTACTCATTCGGCCACCGCGGCTCCAGAGCCTAAATGGAGTAGGAGCTCTAGTCAGAATTTGAATATTTAGCACACCTTAGAAGACCTTTTTATTCCATTTTTGGTCTGCAACTGGTACGAATTTAAACCAATTCAAAAGTATTTATGATCATAAAATAAAATAATGGCATGATTAGAAGAATAATTGAACGACGCGATCAAATTATTTGTACATATTCCTAGTAGTTTTTAAATGCTGGACGTGAAAAACTAAAATTATTAATTAGATTATAGAATGAAGAGGTCTTAGAATTTCTCCCAAAATTTTCAAAGATAGAATAAATACAAACGTTGAATACGCGAATGCCTTTTCTATTCTCGCAGGACTACAGAAGATAGGAGTGACTGTTGCTTACATCAATGTATTTTTACGATCCAAATCCTTGGCGCATTGTATCCAGACTTCTGACGCTAGGTTCCTGATAATCGGAGAAGATCAAGATCTTGATGCCGCTATAGAAGATATAACCGAGATAATAGGAGACGTCAAAGTATATTCAATGTCCGCTTACCAATCGGACCACAGAAACAGTTTTAAGGTTACGATGGACGAAATGGATACCGAGTCAATGCCTAAAGATATAAGAAATGGCGTCAATATGTCTGACACCTGTCAATTGATATTTACATCTGGAACGACAGGTTTGTCCATTCTGTATTATTGGGAACTAATTGTGCAGATTCCTTTTATTTGCAGAAATAATCCAAACACCAATATGAAAAGGTACTAGTGTCATATGCTGTAGAAATATACAAAATGCTTTTACCAGTGTGCATGTAAGACATAACGCACTTTCCCGAAGCAATGTCAACGAATATTATCGGCTCAATTAATCATTGCTACAATAAATAAATATTGAAATATATAATCTAATCGCATTTGATTATATATCTAACGGTGTAAAAGAAAATGTTTTAGACGATATGACCAATTTCATAATGTACATTGTAGATTATATCTTACAGGATTACCAAAAGCAGCAAATGTATCCCATAACAAAGCTTTACGAGGAAGTGTGGTGTGCGCAACATTCAACTTGTCACCAACTGATGTTTTCTATGAAACCCTTCCTCTATATCATTCTGCTGCTGGTGAACTGGGTTTGTTTAACATCATAGATAATGGTAAGCTTTGAAAATTCTGAACTACTGGGCCAAAAGAGGGAAGACATTCATTGGCATTATAAAACCAAGTGTCCTCTATTTTATTTTACATGACTCTTTCATCCATGTTGTCACACTATATTGTCATTTAGCTTGTCCCCGACATATATCTATCAAGGGAATGGGGGAGATCAACTATTTCGGACTAGATTTAAAGATGAATGTATCCTACCACCCCATCCTCACAAAACCAGGGGTATACAATCCGTGCGTTTTCGGTTGAACGTATCAGTCGTGACAACGAGGTAATCAGATCACATTAAAGCAACTAGAATGCTCGTATCACATACAAGTACAAATTAGACAAATCGAATAAATTATATCAGGATTTCAATATTAAATAACCATGGTTTTATGAGGGTGTCCACTCTTGATTTTTTTTTTTCATTTTTTTACGGTAATTTATTTACATGTGATGAACACCTGTTTGATATTTACGTTAGAAAATTGAATTCTTAAACGTGAGATAGTGCTTGTTTCCTGTAATATAATGTGAAATTGGGTTGCCATGCAATGATTTTGATTTATTTTTAAGGTGCCACGCTAGTATTAAGAAGAAAATTCTCAGCGAGTTGTTTTCTAGAGGATTGTATCAAATATAACGTAACAGTCATACACTATATTGGTGAACTGTGTAGATATCTAATAGCACAACCAGAGGTATGTTAATATTTGGATGATATTAATAAACATTTATAAAGTCAATGGATGGGAATTTAGCGTCTTGTCGACACTGTATTTAGGTCGTTTTGAGACTGTCATACGATTTTCTTTTATATCTGTGGTGATCAATTCCAAATGACATCGGGTCTCTTACTGGCATTACCAATTTGTACAAGCGTCATCCCTGACTGATGATAACAGAACCGCGCTTAAAAGCCCACTCCGGGATTTGAACCCGAGACATTTGTGAACCCAGTTTCCTAACTACATAGCCACCGCGACCCTAAACCCATGTTTTAGTTGGGGTTTTTTTTATAAATTTGATTCAACTTTTGGTAAGGTATCATGTGAGGGAAAAACACGATTCCATGGCTACGTTGAAAAAGTAAACACCGAAGGAAGAAATCCGATGTAAAAGAAAGGTGATATTTTCTTGTAGGTGTACTTTTTCAGCATAACGAGGAAGGTGCTTTATCGCTTTTTCAGCAATATATTACTTAAACGTAATTAGTAAATGCAACTGGGTTGTTATGTATGAAAATAAAGTTATTCTGTAGAATATGAACACTTACACCATATAAAAACGGGTTTTTAAATCAACAAAAAAAGCCTCTTATATATAGATCAAAGGAAACAGCAGCTTGTTTAAAGCTATGTCTGACGATAATAATCCTTTAGTGGCATTTAGCAATTGGAAACATAATGTCTGACGAGTGTGTTGGCCCAGAGGAAAGGATTTGTCTTACGAAATGACCTAATAGCACTTCCCATGGAGCTCTGTTTTATTTTCAGTCTTCCTTAGACAAGGAACATAAAATTCGAGTGGCGTTTGGCAATGGTCTTCGAAAAGACGTATGGAAATGTTTTCAGGAGAGATTTAATATACCTCATATAGCTGAGTTCTATGGAGCAACAGAAGCACCCATTGGATATATAAATATATGCAATAAACTTGGCAGTGTTGGTAGAACATCCCCTTTATTGGTAAGTTACGGTTTATTATTCTTGTAATAATGGTGGAATAATAGATTTAATGGATTTAGGTCAAAATAAAGTGTTTTAGTAGTTTGATATGATTTGTTAATGCGATTAATTTGTTAAGTCGTTTTGTTTTACAAATCTTAGTTTGATTTGGGCTGACTTTGGTTAGATTAGAATATTGAGATTACCTAACATTTATGACTTCACGTTAAATAATGTATTATTTTCCTGGGATATATTGCTATTTCTTATTTAAACTTTTAACACAGAAAAAGATATTTAAGGCCGAGTTTTTAAGATACGATCATGAAACAAGAGAAGCGTTAAGAGACAAAAATAACCGATGTATAGTTGCTAAACCAGGTAAAGTTCTAACCATTATTTTTCTATAAATATCAATCATTGGATTTATTCTTTTCAATTCACTTTCTTCGGTGATTTATATATGGAAAGATCAAATACAGTTTAATTACAAAAGTTGAAAATGAAGTGGAATGGAGTTTCGTATCCTACTTTTCTGCACCAACTCTTATTTCGAATTCTAACTGTCAATGGATCATTTACGAGCACGCCAGTGTATACACGGAACCTCGGTTTATAGTGCCATCCGAACGACTAGATACTGTCCCGATCTTTCACCACTGACATAGAGAAATCACGCCGGAACATCCCGAGCCAGTGTCTTACCCACTGAGCCACCGCGGCTCCCCACAAAAAGTCAGTGTTACGTGTTCACCCGAAGATACACCCTGTCTTTCGCGGGTGGCTTTGATTAGTAATTGTAGTCAATTGAAACGATATTCTGCACGTGAAATTCAAAATGGAATAATGTTGCCTGAACACATTTTGAAAGCATTTTTTTGCAGTTTTTACGTTTGGAATGCGACATTCTCGACATCCCCACCTCACACAAATGTAAAAAAAAAACCCACAAAAAACAGTAGTGTGTTTCTGTTTTTCTAGGTGAAGTTGGTTTACTTGTTGTACCTCTCGTCCCGCCTAATGTATTTGAAGGTTATAGGGGAGACGACACTGCAAATAAAAAGAAGATATTAAAGGATGTATTCATAGAAGGGGATACATATTTTGATTCAGGAGATCTGTTCCGTATTGATACAGACTACTTCCTGTATTTCCGTGACAGGCTAGGAGATACTTACAGGTCATTGATCTACTTTATTTCCGTGTTTGAATATTTGTAAATATCATTTATGTTATACGCAATTCATGCTCTTCAGATATTTGTAATCATCATTTATTGTAGGACACGCAATTCATGCTCTTCAGTTTTAGGTCAATATTATACGGAATTACAGTGTAGGTTACTATATTATTGACGTGATATAAATTCATAATAAAGTAACGTCTATGTAAACACTATCAGTACCTTTTTCTATATTTCTAGAGGTGTTTACAAGCTTGCAGCAAAATTATATATATAAGCATCGTGCAAAATGTCCTTCATTTGGTTTAAAACAACGTTTTATTCAATAAAAAATGAATTGGGGCCGAGCCTATACAACCACCCCATTTTCACCCGCATCTTACCCCACCCTTATTGCTAAAGCAATGCTTACGGGCATTTCAGCTAATTAATCATTGTTAGGAAACAATTGCTAATGGCGTTTCTGATTTGTAAGCCCCCCTGCCGCCAGTTCCTATATGTCAACTTAGAGGACGCCTAAACTCGGAAATCCGCATCGTACCGAACCCTTGTACCCTACCGTATTTGTTACAACTTGTTAGGAAACAATTGCTAATGACGTTTCTGATTTGTAAGCCCCCATGCCGCCGGTTCCTATATGTCAACTTAGAGGACGCCTAAACTCGGAAATCCGAATCGTACCGGACCCTTGTACCCTACCGTATTTGTTACAACTTGATACAGTCGCTTTGAAATTTCAGCTTGTAATCTATCTGTTATTTTATGAGCCAAAGATCCCAAAGCAACCTATATTTGTCCAGCCAAACCGTAATTTATTAATTATAATTATGTAGGTTGTTTTTATATTTTAGATGGAAGGGAGAGAATGTTTCAACATCAGAAGTATCAGATGTATTAAATGATTTAGATTTTATACAGGATGCCAATGTCTATGGTGTAGAAATACCAGGTGAAATGTTATTGTTATTAATGTTGACTTTCAGTGTCCATGGTTTGTTATTGTATGTGATGCGGCCCTCCTACACTTACTATTACAGTCGATCCTCATTACTTCTTTGTAGAATAGAAAATAATTCACCCCAGTTTTAAAACAAGTGATTAATAATATACATGTACTCGCAATTCGTTCACGAAAGACCTAGTAGGAGGCCTGGATTCTACGAGTTCTGGCAGGAGTTTTTTATTCTTTAAAGTAAAAATCGTCCGTTACCGATAATCGACTTTACATGCAGAATGTTTAGACGTTGGTAATACAGTATAGGAAGTGAGGCAAACAAATAACAGAATTCGAGGGTTGGAATTTAGGAATGTAGGGCTATATCGTGACTGACTTTTGAAGTCCGGTTACTATTTTTCTAGGAAAAAACTCGGCAGGAGTTTAACGGTTAGGATGGCAGACAATTAATGTTACTGGCTTCCTTAAAGGAGCTAAACTGCTAATATTTGGGACCTAGAAATTGACACAAATGGGTCGCAACGCATATAATAATGTAATGTGAATGTATATAAACTGATTTACATTCAACCGTTTCTGTATTTACTGTAATTTCTAATCAGTTATGTTCGGCGAAATACCCCAGAAGTCTCAATTAAATGGCAATATTTAGCGTCTGGTTATTCCAGTCTACACCGATGATATTTATTGTGCATGCTCTCCAGATAAGAATATAGCGTTACCATTTGACATGAATTGTGGAATATGTCTAGCCGCGTTCTTTGAGTCCCTTGTTCCAAATGGCGCTGAAATGCATTTGGGTACACGATTCGTGTACCAAATGGTAAAATGTTTATTTTGTCTTAAATATTGGATATTGGAAGCCCCTCTTTTCCCGGTAAGATCACAACATCAATGTTGATTTAAATTGACAAATAATTCATGTTTTCAATGTCGAAGACTTTGGATAATATTGAGTTAGAGACTTAGCTACTTTAAAGAGACATTCTTTCTATACAGATTTCACGTGATTTTCTCAATTTATAATACCATTGTATGCGACATGTTAATATTATTTGAGAGCTACAGTGACTCAGTAAGTATCGCGCTGGTTCAATAACCAGGAGGTCTAAGGTTCGATCATGATGTTGGCCAGGAAAGTTAATCGGAATTTTCCAGCCTATTTCCCCATTGTCAGTGTAGCAGGATGGAGGACCTGATCGCAAAAAAAAGACGTCTCGTTCGGTGTATAGTATTTTCAGAATATTAACGATACTGGAACAGATTGAAATCAAAATAACAGTAGGTAGTAGCACCACTGCCCGGTCAGAATTACACCCATAGTACGCTGAATGGTGTATATGCCGGTTGGTGTAGAAACGTAACATGTTTTAACCCCATATTTCATATTATTTGTGACATTCACTGACCGAGCATTGCCACCCCAGCGTATACTTTATCCACTTTAAACACTGACACGCTAACTTTGGGTCCGTGTTGGATCTAGGTGTTGATCGAGAAAGTTCAACGGTACTTTCCGGCGCGGTACTCCCTTGTGACAATGGACAACGTCTAGTCGTTCGGATGGCACGACAACCCGAATAGCACACGGCATGACGTATGACCGTCTTAATTACGCCAGATGGAGCAGAAAAAGTAGGACGTTAAACCCTATTTCATTTCATTTCCTCTTTTAAACATTTCACTTACAGGATGTGAAGGCAGAGCTGGTATGGCAGCCTTATCTTTAAAGGAAGGAAATTCCCTGACACCAGAACAAATTAAGACTGTTAGCAGACAATGCAGTCAAGAATTAACCACTTATGCCCGGCCACGTTTCCTACGAGTTCAAGCACAAATGAGCTTGACTAGCACCTTTAAACAAAGAAAGGTAAAATTACCTGTATGACTAATTGTTACGGCGCATACATCGTGAGAACTAGATTTGGTTTAGTTTGTATGTATAATGCAGCGAGTTGTCTATGTCCATTTAAATACCTCTTAAATTCGAGTACTAGGGAGCAATAATTAAAACTTCGATTGTATTGCGAAACCCCCAAACGAGACAAATCTAGAAATTAAAAGGGGTGTTACGATTTACAGATCTGAAAATCTGGCTGGACTGAGTACATACTCCTTGTCAGCTCTACTAGTCCTACCACTGTCAAATGTGAACCGGGCTTAAAAATGTCGAAGTGGCTAGTACCGTTCCCAAATCACCTAAGAGTAGGTCATAGCACTCTGCATGGCATATGCCGGTCTTCATTATCCCGGATGGCGCAGAAAAGTGGGTATTGTAGGGCATTGCTCTGGGCCAGTTACTAAATAGCTCTAAAAGATAAAAAATTTTTCTAACATACTTCAGATAAACTTTATACAGTTTAAAAATCAAGTTGTAAATATTTTATTTTTTACATTTAGGTGGAACTAATTGATGACGGTTTTGATTTGAGAAAAACTAATGAAAGCATCTACTATTACAACCCATCCGAGGAGAAATATGATGTCCTGGATAATAATGTATTCACCGATATCACAACCGGAAAGATTAGAGTTTAGTTGGAAAATTCATGCCAAAAAAAAAACCAAAAAAAAACCAAAAAAAAAAAAACCCAACAAAAATCAGAATAATGTAGCCTACATAATTATATATTATTGTGTAAAATATCAAGAGATTAATTAAAAAGAATTAAAACAATAAATGGGTTGTTGAATTGTGCTGAAATGATTATGCCTCTGAAACAGCGCGGTATGTTAGTTTCAATGAAATGAGGACGGGCATTTTTGCTCGGACAGCGGCGCTACGGCCTACACTTTAGTTCAACTGGCGGGGGTTCTTAAAACGTGCACGCCAACGTGTACACGGGACCTTGGTTTTTTGGCCCATCCGAACGACTAGACACTGCTCCTACCTGGCTCAAGGGGAAATCACGCTAGGAAATCAGGGGTAACCTACTTTCTCTGTCAACAACGGGATCGGAAACTCCGAATATCCTGGTTAGCGAGCCACTGCCTTATTTACTAGACCACCATGGCAACCCAGGGTAAAAAGTGCAATTTTGCCCGGATTAATTGAATACAATAACGGAAACTCAAACTGAAAACTTCTACTACCAAGATTTTTACAACCAACAACAGACAGTCTGTCTTGTTTTGTTATTAATTTTATCCTGATTGAATGCCTTATGTCTGATTTATCGGTTTCGACTTAATGGACGCTATGCTGTGTGACTTTTAGATTTGTAATGCAAAAAAAATTTTTGTCATGGTAATAATTGTCGAGCGATGAATTCCGGAGCTAAGTGTGGGGAGGGGGGGGGGGCACTGTGACATGCTTCGGGTTTTGAGTTTTTGCGCGTCCACTCGCAACGGAAAAATCAACACTATGTCTATGGTGACTATGTCTATAGGCCTAATCATCATTCTCATTCTCAAGCCGAAAAATGCAAAGACCCCCTCCTTCCACGCCCCAATGTTTCTCTGTTTTTTGACAATCGCACAAGCCGTACGTGTTTCGTCCTCTGACCTAGTGAACAAAATAGGTCAATCCGTTAATCCGGAAGTAGATATATAAAAGAGGTCAAGGTCAATTAAAGTTCAATGGAAAACTCAAAAAGGCTCGAAGAATATACGCAAGACGTAGGTTTAATATGTCGTCTGAAGTGAATTTCAATGATTAAAACGCACCTAACATTAACACGGTGTTGTGATCGAGCAGAATACTGACACCACAAAATACACCCAAGTCCAAGTCAAGCGACGCCCGCAAACCGCCACCGGACACAATTTTTTGGCAGATCTAGTTTTTCTACTCAACTCAAAACTTGGGCTATTAGTATTAGTATTATTAGACGATCAACTCTGAATAGGCTAATATATTTAGTAGCTAAGTGTCACTCTGGTTCTCCGTAGAAATAAATCGTAGATTGAAAATATATATTTAAAATCAGGGACAACAAATGACTACACTGACAATGAAACTTTACACAACAGCCCAACTTAAAATTAAGGCACACTATCACTGACGTTGGTTTTATAGTTCTCTATCTATGCCACCATGCTTGACGTAAATCGAAAATGACAATGTGAATCAAGCTCTTAAATGGTTTTATTTGCCCGTGTCTATTATCTGTTTCTATGTGTGTTATACGGGCGTGTTGACCCATTGCCTTCCAGGGATAATCAGTTTCTTCTGCCCACCCCCACCCCCGCACCTTGTTGGGTTCATAATTATTAATAATTGCAAGTCAAATGATATTCCAAGTTTAAGTTCCTGGAGAGATCGGCATAAAGTTATAATTGGCCTTAAGTTCCTACACATTATTCTGACGGCCTAGACATCATAAATACCACGGGGACTAGACAGACTTTGAAATCGGTTCCAAGACAACCTTAAAATGGCTGCTGGGTAGACTGACATTTCCGCCACAACGTTTCTATTACAGAGGTTACATAGGTAATGACAGCCTGACAGGTGCTAATAAGAGCTAACTGGTTACGGTTGAAAAACTAATGTGATCGAAACGTCGTACATTCAATAACTAGGCCTCTTTAATCTGGGTTAAAAATAAAATTTTCGATTTAATTTTATGTTTTGATTTGCATTGGCAGATGACAATCTTTCTTCGTTTGAAATATTACATCCATATAGAAAATGCTGATGTAATGAATTCCAGGGAAAGAATAAATAATGGGAGCGGGTGGTGGCAACAGGTTATTTCACACCATGACCAACAATTGATGGAAAATTGTAGGGGGAGGGATTATACAGTTATACTTATAATCGACTTACTGAACTAACAAACTCATTCTTGATTTATTTTACAGGATGGACCAGTTTATGTCTTATGATATAGCCCCGTTTTTAGCCTGTATAAATATGCTGAAAATAAATACTCGACCGGAAGTGTTCAAAATGTTGATTGCAGTTTTATGTGATTTTATTCCAAACGACCACAACAACAGATTACGGGTAAAAAGCAACATTCATTAAAATATTGTTTTTTCTTTAAGACTAAGATTCTTGTTAAAATAAAAAACCGGGAATGAGCTTCAACTGGGCCTACCAACGAACGAAGAAATAAGTAGGGGGCCCTTGTACACGTTGGCGTGCACCACGGTGCACGTAACTAAACCCTTGACAGTTGGATTTCGATGAAGGGTAGATGGGAAGGCTGCTATCCGGGTAAAATGTCCATCATATCATTGCCTGGATAATGCAGAAAAGTAAAGCGTTAAACTCCATTCCATTCATAATTTCCTTGTCTGGTGTTGTCAAAGACAAGTAGCAACTTGAGCAGTCGGGAGTCCAATGCTTTCCTGGGGCGAACGTTCAGATTCGCTGTCCGTTACTGGACTCTCGAGCAGATTCGTATCCCGGCATAGGTAGAGAAGGTATAATCGAAATTGTAAAGCGGCCCAGCAAACGCATTTAGAGATTAGTGGGATAAGACGAGCCCCCACCCTGCAACTTCCATCCTATGCAACTGTTGTCATATAATAAAAACATTCTATGCTTTAAATAAAATAGTTTATGATTGTATTTATTCTTGATAAGTGTTATAGTTTTAATTAGCCGTATATCGTTTATACCATGCATTATGAATATTTCAGACTATTCGGTATGTTAAGCTTTTATTAGAAGATCAAGAAGACTTAGCTGATTGTGTTATAACATTTTTACCAGCAACAGGAGCAGACAATGCTGTTTTACCAGAACCCAAATCTGCAGTTACAGGGACATCAAGGTAAACTTCAAATTTTGAAACTGGAACTATACTTTTATCATAAACTTTTTTAATCTTTGATTTCATAGATTCGAAAATGGTCATAATGTTAATTGAAAGTAGACTGCAAATTTGAATAGTAAATTACATCGATACACGGCATATTTTGCTGCACAGATGTTCAACAAAATGGCTTACACTTCAAATGTTTAGTTGTCTTTATTTCCTATCTTTAAGCAATAGAGGGATGGGATGGATTCCTCCCCCAGATAATTTTAAGAAATCCTCGGAGTTTGTCAGAAATAACGAATACAGTCAACATAAATAAAAGCATCTCAGCATCGAGGTCTATCAGAAAGGAGGGAGGGTCTAGCTTTAAATAAAAAGTACATACATTAATTCATCGCAGAGCTTCCGAGTTTACCCCCTTTCGCTGCCACTGTTTAAATTGCTTGTATAATTTCCAGGTTAACACCACATCAAGATGGCGAAGAGGTTACAAATACAAAAACCAAGACAAAGACAAAGGCAGGTCAACTTTTAGCACAGGCAACCGCAAACAGAAAGTTAAAATCCACCACCAAACCGTCAACGAGTAAAACGGCTACTGGACAAAGTAGTGGTAAATCTGACTCTGTCAAAACCGTTGTCGTTAAAACACGCACACCTGTGGTCATTAAACAAAAGACGACAACCAGGACTCAATCTGAATCAAAATCTTCATCATCAAATCCTTCTCCGGTGATATCCAGCAACCCGGTCTTAGCCTCTGTTCTACAAACATCTTCCGTGCATACCTCAACCCATGGAAACATTCACCCAGTAGTATCGAAAAACCAATTATTATCTTTAAATTCCAATATTTTGAATAAGGGTCAATTCCAGGGTCAAGCTCTTCTTCGAGATAATCAAGAATGCCAGAATAACACCCCATCATCTAGCACCTCAAATACCAAATCTAAACCTCCTGATCAGACGTACACGGTGCCACCTCCTCCATATCCTTACGTCCTTGGGCAACGTGGACCGTTTATTACTCCGGGGAACAATTATTATTACGGATTTTCGGGCTTTCCTTTCCCAAGACCAAATTTAGCACCACCGAGTGTTAGGTCTGTGTATCTACAAGGTGTTGCTCCATATAGCACCACAATGCCGGTAAATACGCCAAGACTTCCTGTCCATAATGGTGTCTCCGATATTCCCCATGAAAGTTACTTAACGGCACACACAATAGAGAAGAGATTAACCGGACCCGAGTCAATCGCGCCTTACATAAGAACCAAACCAACCTGCATAGTAAAACCAAATGAAGATAATTTATCACCTGTTTCCAAGAAGAGTTCGTCCAAACCCAAGACACACAAGTCCTTTAGAGCGGTGACCAGCACAACTATTCAAAAACAGACTGATCCGGATCCTCAAAGACCCAATGCTGGTCTTCCTTTGCCAACTGCCACACCAGATCCATCAACCCAACAGCAACCACATGCAATTGTTCTGAACACTATTAATTCACCCAGTTCTACTTCTAACCCGAATACAACAATTTCGAGAAATTTAACATCTTTCCCATACATTCAAAAGATGACCCTATTAGATGGTCAAACACAACATCTTCGTATTCAAGGAAGCGGCAACATAGGTAGCTATCGACGACTGTCTGAATCTAGTTCACCAGCTAATCCAGGAAACCAACAAGTAGTGGTTGATCTAAAACAATCCGGAGTTCGTAGAAACACTTCCGTGCAATGTAACCGTACAAAACAGGCCAAGAGAAAAAGGGATAATTCTACCAGGACCTCTCCATTGATTCCGAAAAAGTCAGCTTTGTCAACGGACCATGAATCAAGCTGATCTTATATTTTGAATTAATTAATCATTTTTTGGATATTTACGCGCCATGTTACACTTAAGTCCCTGATTGTCATTTCCATTATTCGTACAATATCTATTTTTTCATGGCATGATTCACGCTAAAATATACACAAATTGATTATTTAACAATTAATTAAATCAAAATATACACAGTAAACAATCTTCCGGTTTCGATTCAATCAGATTAAAAAGGTGCCCGTGATGTTTTTGTCCATATCTTAATATATCGTCTGCAGCTAGTGCCGAATGTTTACAACTTTTATATTTGCATCATACATCATATCTTTGCAAATACTGAACGAAATTAAACCATATTTGGACTGAAATTCCTATTAGAGATGCAACTTTAACAATATTGTAGTTTGCAAAAGTTTCAAAATCCTTAAATTGACGACCAGAGACTTTAAAGTAGTCAAAGACTAATTTGTGTTTTTCACATTGTTATTGTTACCGTATTTTATTGTTTTTGTTCAAGGCAGCATGAGTTACCGACGAGATATATATACTCTAAAAATTAAATTGTGAGTCGTTTGTTCTTTACATAAACACCGATATACTTTTATGACATTGTTACCTATATTTTCATGACTTAATTATATTTTTCCATTGAATATTTTAACTGTTCATTGTTTTAAAATGTTCATGGTTGGATTACACATAATTTTACAAGAAAGGGTTTTCTCTTTTTTTTAATGGTGGCTGTAAAATGGTTATGACATTTCGACAGGGAGGCAGAGAAAGGACAGAGATTGGAAACATCTACTGCGCTAATTTTGGGTCTGACAAACGGTTATTTTATTTCCTTAACGTCCTACTTTTCTGCTCCGACTGCTCGCATGAAGACTGCTCTAATGAAGACGGTCATGTGTCATGCAGTGTGCTATTAGAGAAATTTTGCCCAGACACCGACCCTATAGGGTCTACTCTTATTTAGAATTCTAACAGTCAAGGATTATTTTACGTGTCACACGGGTCCTAGGGTTTTCGTACCATCCGAACGACTATACCATGTCCCTTGCCAGAGCGTCTGGGGAACCACGTCGGAAAATCCTGGGGAACTTTCTTGGCCAACACTTGATCAAACACGGGCCGGCTAGGTTGGCGAGCTAAGGTCTTACGGATCCGACATAGTCTGTATTTTTGACTAGATAAATGAAATTTCGAATGCGAATTTATGCGTCGCCTCAGTGGGTAAGAATCGCTAACTAGGAGGTCTCGGGCTCGCCCTCGGTGTTGGCCGAGAAAGTTCCTCTTTCTGAAAATCGAGTTCCCGTATACACATTTGCGTGATCGTAAAAGAACCCTTGACAGTTGAAATTTGAAATAAGAGTAGACCGTTGTCTGGGCAAATTTCCCTCATAGTACACTGCATTGCGTATGCACATCTTCATTAACCCAGTCGGCGGTGCTAAAAAGTAGGCCGTTAAACCCCAGTGCGAGTCAGAGTAGCTTCTGTTATGGAATAACCAGCTACTATTCCACAATTGAGTATTTCACATAGCAAAGATTTTTTTGTGTACGTCTGTACTAAATTATCTGTTTGATTTTTATACGTCCGTTCACATTTGTTTGTGGACACTCTACAAGTCACAATTTTGTTCCGATTTTGACGAAAAATGTATGTTTATATTCCAAAGATCTCGGTTCCTTTCCATGTTGGCGTATATCGGACCGTTCGTATGTATCACTGTTACACAATAAATCGGACCAAAACCTCCCGTCAAGATAGTAGCCCCCATCCCCCATAACGCAAATAGCGTAAAAGCATGTAATACCAAGGCTGTGGACCTCTAGAGGTCACAATGTTTATCCGATTTTGATCAAACTTAAAATATATGTTTATATACCAGACCTCGTTTCCTTTCGATATTGGCATATATCGGACCGTATCTTCATGAATGGTGTCCCATTTGTCCATTTTTGGCTTGTGGACCACGTAGCGGTCACAATTTTTATTCGATTTTGATGAAACTTAAAAACAAATATCTCAGGTCCATTCGATATTGACGCATGTTGGATCAAACCGCAAGGTCCTGGATTATGGCACCTGACTGTACGAAAAATCGATTTTATTAGCTTGTTCTCTGTCCGTCCCTTGCAAAATATGGTCGTATCGGGTATTAGTTTAGAAAACCATCAAGACAAAATATTTTTAAAATCTTTGTCCGTGTTCCCATTCTTAAAACCAATGAATCCTCAACTGAAAATCCTAAGGACCATTATTTCCTTTACTCCAGTTACTGACTACTAATGAATTCAAAACAAACATTCAAGAAATAGAATATATTTTTATTAAAATATGTATAATTATATACATTATAAGAGTATACTATATTTTTATATACATGTACATGGTTAAATACATATTATGATAAAGGAACATGATCTATGATAATATACAATGATCTTATTACAACTATATTGTATCATAAAATATACAATGGTCTTATACTATTGTAATCATACAATATACAATGATCTTATAACTATTGTAATTATATCATATACAATGATCTTATAACCTTATAACCATTGTAATCATATTATATACAGTGATCTTATAACAACTATTGTAATGCAATGATCTTATAACAACTATTATACTCCTATAATTGGTTCTCTAGACTAGGATTATTAGTTAAATGCAAACTATTAGACATCAGTTTCCTAATTATGTACAGTATACAATACACAATACAGGATTACATAACTAATTATGGCTCAGTTGTATGAATGGCTTGATAATGGCCATGATCATTTACCAAAATAACCTATCCAAGTATTTAGACATTGCTATCCAGGCACTTCGGAAAGGCTAAACATTTATGTGAACTGGAGGTTTCTATTTCTGTGAAAAAGTAATACAGAGCTTCAGATATTTGTACAGGACTAGGAATTGAGTTTCTAAGCATCATTAACTCCTGTGGTTCACTGAAATATATCTGGGAGGGCTAATTATAATTTATAATATAATGTTATATAATTTTATTATGAATTTATTAATCATCATTATTTTTATTAATATTTTAGAATTAAACTATTCGAGATTCATTAATTATCTATATATTTTTCAGTTAGCATCTAGATCTGATTTTCACACCAAGTCACATCCAGGAATTGGAAAATACCAGATTTTAAACACAAATTCATATTATTAATCACTAAATTCATAATATAAAACAAACCTTATAAATATTATCACAGACTTATATAAATGATAATATTTATCAATATAAATCATGAATATAAATCTATGAATATACAAGTATTTACTATAAATTATAATGATAACATACAAGTATTTACTAAAATTATAATGATGACATACAAGTATTTACTATAAATTCTAATGTTAACACACAATTCTAGCACTGCAAATAAACACTAATTATTTTACTAAAATAAATTTAAACAAATCTATCATGGTATTTGATTAAGTACATTAGATTTTAAACAGTGTTCACAGGGTAAAATCAAGGAAACTAAAATATTTGAGCACATCACCAAAATAGAATACATACAAAGTCATAAATACAGTCTCCATAACACACCTTTACCAATATATGTAGGGAGTAATTATTGCCTAGTGAACAATGTTTAAAGCTAGTCAGAAATATATGCTTCTTTAAATGTATTAGCAGACATCTGTCTGTATTAATGTGTTCCCTTAAACCATCATATATAAACGATAAAAAATATTCAATTAAATGATCTACATCTAAAGACAAATTATGGTTGATTTCAAAACATAATTCAATCTACCAGGAAAATAGTCTTTTTATCGATCAAATAAATTACCTCCCTTACCTATACAACAATATTTAGTTGAAAAATACAAACTGTTATCAATTTCTTTAGGCCTGTTAACAAAATAACAGTATGTCAATATTTTTCTCCTAAACGTTATCAAAACGATATCATTGCTTACATTAGAATCAATACACATTTCTCTACATGGACTAAAGAGGAAAAATTTAAAAAAACAAAGCAAAAATTTTAATCATATAAAAAATAAATATTCTGGCTCTCAGACAATCCTTCCAAAAATCTGAGGGAGGTTTTTATTTTGTCAAAACCAAAGGATCATGTAGCTAATTAACATCCTACTTCCAGCTTCTATATTTATTACATCATGTTGTTTATAGTAATGTATGATTATCCAGTATTATTTCTGATTGTGTATAACATTTATCAGGGTACGTGATAACTGGGAATACAGAACAATTCCAGTTTCATGTAAATTAGTTCCTTAACTTGGGGAAATATGAAAGTGCAGCAATTAATGAGATGGTTTTTATTTTTTAAAATATAAAAAACGTTCATGCGACCCTTTTTAAGTGATGCAGGAGCGGGAGTATGAGAACCAGAATATTTTTTTCATGGCTTATCTTGGATTGAAAAGAAAAAATTAAAACCGGGAACATGATTTTGTTTGTTCTAGTTTAAAATTTAAACACATATAAAAGGTCCACACGATTATTAAATAATTACATGCACAAAAACACTTTGACATATTTTAAAATAAATATTAATCACAAAAAATTTGGCATCATGTGGCTGCTCATGAATAGTTTAATTAGTTATTCTCTATATTAGCATAATCTGCAAGAATTACAACATATTGTTGCGGGTTTAATTATCCTTTGAACGTATATTAAAGTATAACAAAATTATGGCAGAAGTGGTAACAGATGTTCTTGACAAGAGTAGGTGTTGTAGTTGAAGGTACTGAGATTAATTATAATCTATGGTTTATTGTTTTAAATATACTTGTATTAATCATACCACTGATTTAAATTGCTTTAATTCTATTGCTTGGTTCAACATATTGTAATTTCTGGAAGTTTTGAGTATAATCTAACATTTGATCGAATGAAGAATTGAGTCCGGATAAATGATAATAATATAATTCTTTCTCTATTTGCACCATAATATTCTGTATTCCTAGTTCTTTTAATATAGACGTAACCTGCAATAAAAATTCATAAAAAATAGAGAGGGAGTTAAAATTCAACTAAATGATTTGAAAAGCCTGACGTGAAGCTTTTCAAATGTTACTTGGATTTAAAAATATTTTTGAACCCTCTGGACAAGTAAAATAGGATTTAATGGATAATTTACACAACAGGTAGGACACTAACACATCTAGTACTTAGAATAAGGCTATTTTTTATTTTCTGGAGCTGTCAAGCCAGCAAGAGTGTTAATGTCCCTTTAAGCAGACCTGATTATCAAAGACAATCATGAAGAATGTAATTGGCTTGTGTGAAAGAGATAACACAATTATTATTACTATCTGTCTAAGAAAGATAAAGATGGTGATGTGGCATCAGTAGAACCAATGAACATTTGATTGATTTAAATAATTGTTGGACCAAAACATTTCTTTGAGGTGCTTTGATTGTGTATGGTTTGAAACTGTATATCATTTAACATTTATTTTCATGTTGGCTACTTTAATTATGGCAAATTTTGTCCAAATCACAAATTAAGAGACAGGTTTGGGGAATGTTGGCCCTTCACTTTTGAAATCAATCAAGCAGCATAAATTAAAAATATTAATTGTATTTTTGGTTTGTCAAAACATGAGCTGAGTAAGAAAAATAAAAAGTCTTCTTCTCTAAAACAAGCTTGGGGCATGTTGGCCCTTTACCTATAAAATAAATCAGAATAAAATGAAAATTTCCATTTCATTTTGATTTGTCAAACCACGAAGAAAAGTGAGAAATTTTCTTCTCCATTCTCAAGTAAAAGCTTAAATATAAAACAAACCTGGGTTACAATTTTTTGTTCTGGAGTATCTGGTGTTACTTGTATATGTAACATACCCATTACTTTAGTTGATGTATGACTCCAGAAATGAGGATCTCTATATCCTATAACCCCTTCTATATGAATTATCTACAACAAAACAGTTCATATTTATGATTCATAAAACAATGAAGGAGAAGTGCACAGCTAAACACAGACAACGTTTATTGATCAAGTTCATTGAAAAAACTGACTGCACACTATCCAAGCAACATGCCTACCTAATTTTATTGAAATCCATCAATTTTGGAAAAATGAAATGAAATGAAATGGAGTTTAACGTCCTACTATTCTGCTCCAACTTGGCTAATGAAGTGTGCTATGAGGGTAATTTTACCTGGGCAGCGGCACTACCGCCTAATCTTATATCGAATTCCAACTGCCAAGGGATCTTTTACGTGCACGCCAATTAATACACAGGATTTCAGTTTTTTGTATCATCTGAATGACTAGACAGCCACCCTTGCCAGGCCCTCCGTCCTGCACCACTGACAAGGGGAAACCACATCGGAAAATCTCGATGAACTTTCTCGGCCAATGCACAATTGAAATTTCAGACCTTAGCACTATTGAAATTTCAGACCTTATATTAGCATTTCTATGGATGCTCGTCACAAGTATGAGTTAAAACTGAAGTTAAGAAATTATGCACGGTCATATAAGATGCAGACAAGACGGAAATCAAAATAATTCTTCTTTAATGACTTACCTTTTCTAAAGCTAGAGATAAATCTGTTTCTAAATGATTTGGTGTTCGCAATAACAATATCACAGATGTGGCTTTTAGTAAAGGTGCAACACTTAATAATATCATAGTAGCTATAAATAGGGAACACAGTGGATCGGCTATATTCCAACCAAAGTTTTCTATTAATAAAGTTGATATAATTACACCAACACTGCCTAGTGTATCAGCTAACACGTGTAAAAATACACCTGGAAAAAATATGAAAGGCATTTTGAATATCATATAAATTCATATGGCTAATCAAGAACTTTTCATAGATTTCACCATGGACGCATGAATGAATGAATTAAATGGGGTTTAACATCTTACTTTTCTACTCCAAATGAGGAAAGATGCTGCATGCTACATGAGAAATTTTGCCCGGACAGAAATTAAATGCCTACTGTCAAGGTTTCTTTCACATGCACAATAAGAGGTACACAGGACCTTGTTTTTATTCCACCACTGACAAGGAAAAACCACAACAGAAAACTCTGAGGAACTTTCTAAGCCAACACTGGGACAGAACCACTATTCAAAACAGATTTCATGTTAAGCTGCTTTAAACAGTTATATATTTTAGCTGACAGTCATGACTAGGGATTGTTATAGTATGAAGTGCGGTGATCCAATGTGTTATTATAGGCATGTTATCATTAATTCATGTTCGATATGGGATTAATGTCCCATCAACAAAATACTTCTGTCTCTCTGGGATGAGTTGATAATTAATAGAAATAATTTATCTACACCGACTCAAATTCTAACAATCATTTTAGATGAACTCGATATTAATTTACCTTCCATATTTGTATTGTGATGTACTGGTTCTTCAATATGACCACCATGACTATGTCCATGACCACCATGACTATGTCCATGACCACCATGACTATGACCTCCATGACTATGACCATGATTTTGTCCACCATGTGAATGTCCATGACCACCATGTGAGCTGCACTGATCCCTGGCAGGCTTAGCACCATGACTATGGCCATGTCCACCATGACTATGGCCATGACTACCACTAAAGGCGAATATGCCTATTAAATTAACCAGTAATCCTATAACAGATACTATCTGAAAATTGAAAGTATGTCTATGACTGGATTGCAAAACTCATAATTTCAGATTATTTTGGTATAAATTAATTTGCTGCTTTAATATTTGAAAGATATATTTGTGGATATTCTTAAAGATACATTATGGGAGATTCGATAACGAGTTGGCAGTTCTCACTATAATAGTTAAAAACTAGATAATCTAAAGGCAATTTGCTGAAAATTTCATTCAAATCGATCCACTATGAACCGAGAATTAATCGATTGAAATTTCCGCCAAGCCTCAATCATCATTACTAAAGTCAGTACGATAAACAGCATAGTCTTGATTATCTATTTAATCATTAAATTGTGAAGGAAAGTTATGCAGTAAATCGGCTCATAATCCACTAAAGAACACAGGCTAGCGATGCCATCGAGAGTTGATTATGGTCTGGATAGATTAATTAATGTCTAATTAATAATTTAGATAACATTTCAGGCCTAAAGAAAGACCTGCAATAGACAGATTTAGCTCTTGCATAATGTATGTTTAATATATAATCATTTAATTCTGTTCAAACAAAAACTATCACTTCACTGACAAACCAGTCCATGAATTTTCTTATAAATCTCTCCCTTTTCTATTAGGAATTTTCAATTTTATTTTAGTTATGTCTTCACTACAATGGTCACCTTAAGGATTTTTCAATTATGTTCAATCAATGTTTGTTGAGAATAGATATTATTGACTTACTAATAATCTTTCTGTAGATATTTCTGGCGGTTCAAATAATCTTCCAACAGCTTCCGAGAAAACAAATATAGCTATAACTACTAGAAATAAACCATTGATAAAACCTGATAACACTTCTACTCTATCATAGCTAAAATACAAAAAAAACATATACATTATACTTAAAATCAATCTGACTAAAATACAGATCTATATTTCGTTCGTTTTTTTTATACTTTCGATGGCCTACACTACATGTAGTGATAGGTTGCATCAGAGGTCATACAAGCAATTTTTGACCCTATGACGTCAGACATTTGATTAACAGACATTTTCATTGGTTAATCCCTCACATCATCCAGAACATGTCGATGATAACTCTTCCAGATCCTAGTGTAGTAAAGACAAGTAAAACGAAATTTTGAACTATAAAAAACGAAACGAAATAGGATCTGTGTTTTAATCAGATTGACTTAAAATTGGTACATTGATGCTATTCCTGACAATGTAAGAAACATTTTCCAAGCCATTAATATTTCCTAAACAGTGGTAATTGACTTCTAAAATCTATTTGACATATATGTATTCAATTTAATCTTTGTTCAAAATTTGTATTCTAGATTTCTCATTCCTGTGTTGGACTGATTTCACAGAACCATCTATTCACTTTTTAAACTGTAATTTTGAAGTAACTTTTCTATAATTATATTTTTAAAAAATCAAAGATGTCCTACCCAAAAGAGAAAATTCTTGTAGGCTTCCATCTAACCATTATAGAAGCATATAATCCCATTACGAGAGCTGAACAGTCAAATAACATATGAAAACCATCTGATATTAATCCTAAACTATTGGTCCACACACCATATGTCAGTTCAACAAATGTAAAACCCTGAAATTTATTTTAAAACTGAATTTCAAATATTTCATTTTCAAAAATTCAATATTTATAAACCAATGTCAAGTGTCAAAAGCAAGAGTGATACACATGTCCCTTAACCCTTTTTGTTGCCACATTGGAGCAGGAAGAAGGACCTGGCAAGAATATGTATCTGTTTATACCATTAGCAAAACAGTGGGAAACTGAAATAAGAGTAGGCCATAGCACCGAAACATTTTCCTCATAGCACACTGCATGGTGTATACCGTTCTTTAGAATAATACATAAAAAAATAAGACGTTGAAACACCATTTTATTTCATTTCTAAACATCTAGTTCTATCCTTGCATCCTTACACAATGAAAGTGTTCAACATTTAGGGTTACACTTTCTGTTCCAGCTATCAAAAATTGTTTTCTTTTAAGAAATCACATTAATGGTTTGAAGGCTGTTTATTTTTTTCATGATTTGAAAGAAACATATAACAATAAATATTACTTTTTGAGGAGGTTGGAACTCAATTTCCAAAATATGGTAAGTGTTAAATAAAAAATAAAGTTGTATAAATAAATTTCAATCACATATAGTTTTGTTACTACAGACTCTCAAAGTTGTCATCAAAAATTCTTACCAAATTAATGCATAGAAAATAGAATATTCTTCTAGAATCTGATTCTTCTAATATTTGACGTAGACCATTCTTCATGACTATTAAAACAGACTGTGATGTTCGATGTAAAGCATCACCAGCAAATGTATATAATGGAACACCAGCTGGTGAATAACCTATAAAACTACCTCGTGTTGATTTACTCTGTGATACCAATAATCTTGTAGCTGAAAAAAAACCCATCATATTTATTATATGCAGCAAATTAACTTTAAAAAGAATATAAGTAATGTAGAAATATAAACCAGCAGGAATGGGATCATGACCATCATTCACAGGAGTATCAAGGGTCCAACAGCTAGCAAGGGATCCAATTCAATTAGGCTGAACGGTTCAATTCTTTTGATTTCAAGAACAGTCAGTATGTGATTCCTTTCCCTTTGGATGTCCCTTAGTCATATAGGGTCACCTTCAATTCAACCCCAGTCTGACATTTTGTCTCACACAGGTTTAGTGGTTAACAACACTGGCATGTAATTTGCTTTCATTGTGCTGCATTATTCCCTAAGTCTATATTTTATTGAGCAATTGTCCTGCATTGTTTATTATTATTATTATTAGTTTTTTTTTAATATTCACTTTTCTGTTTATTAAGTACTTGTACATGTATTAAAGTTGATTTCCAGTCATTTACAGAGAAACTATGCTTTCTTCAAAGTCCCATACCCAATCTACTTAATTTTCTAAATACAGATTATATACATACCAAACATAAAAACAATGACACTAAACACCACACCTCCTGATAATACATGATCTTCTGTTATAATCTCTTTTAATTTATGCATAGTTGTGATGTGAGCTACGTATGGATGGTTCCAAGTAGTACTCAGAAATACGGCACTGATAAACATAATGATGGAACCATATAAGGCAGTCTTTGATTGATTTAAATGATTAATAGAGACAGCGTCTATATAATAGTCTAATATAAATACAAACAGTATGACTAACACAAAAGGAAATATTAAATATGTCGTTGATTGAATATCAGTCTGAAAATAGAAAATAATAAATATATCAATAGTAGAAATATCTGAAGGCTCATAATCATTTTTGTTATTTAAGAGTTCATTTGTTAATCTAAATAATTAAAACAAAAACTGTAAGGTTTGGCTTTGACATTTTGGAAAGAAATAAATTCTCATTTCAGGCATAGACAATCAATCTAAAATCTAATCTGGCAACTATCAAGATAAGAAAAGAACCAATGACAATGTTCTTTGACTGTAATATTCCTTTTTAAAGTAAACATTTCAGTTTTCTATTAAGATGCAAGCCGACACTCGGGCAGGTTTCCCAGTCAGATGTTTTCAGGATCTGGATGTGAAACTTGGATTTTAACTTTTACAAACCCATTTAGTTTAATAACTTAACAAATAATAATAATACATACCTCCCTGGTCAGATATATAAAGCCAGCCCATGGTAATAATAAAGCTGATGATACTAATGTAGACAATGAATGAAGTCTTTTAGCACCACCTATTTCTACCGAGAGCTTTTTCGAGGCTGTGTTAAATCCAACTTGTAGACATAATGTTATAAACATCAGAACTACACCACCCTGTTCAAAAATAGAAAATCAATTTCATTCAAGCACACTATACAATTTGATTGAAAAAAAAAACCACTTGTAAAATTGTCAGGAATAAAGCTGTGATCCCAAAAGTTGCTAAAAAATCATATCAATAAAAGTTCAGTAGTTCTACAAGCATGTACCCTGATTAGTAAGCGAGAAATGGATTTTCACATCCACTCAACACAAACTAGGTCATTATGGGACTAACATATGGTACAATTTTAGCAGTGGGAGAAAACCCGAGAAAACCCACGAGGCGGTCACATACAATTGTGGTCTCGAAACCACACCACTTGACTAAATGACAAATATTATGATCTAAAGCGCACATACCCACCCCACACCCTGATTAGCGAAAATGGATAATAGACATACCTTGTGATCTGACCAGCCAACTAGATTAACTAGATGATAAAATACATGTGATATAACTGTTCTGTGAATATCTTCATTAGCTAAGCTTAAATTAAGGAAAAATCTTAAATAAAGTTTATCAAAACCATTTTATTCTTTCAAAGAGAATGTAGACTTTGCAAAAGTTCTATGTGCACAACAAAGTATGTGGGTGCTTCAACAATATCCTCCAATCAATTGGCATTTATGGTCATGGTTATGACTGTTACTGATGTTATGACTGATACTGATGTTATGACTGATGACTGATGGTGCTAATTTATACTGATGTTACGACTAATACTGATGTTACAAATAATATTGATATTATGAATAATACTAATGTTATAGCTGATACTGATGTTACAACCAACACTGATGTCATGATTGATACTGATATTATGACTAATACTGATGTTATGATGGATACTGATGTTATGACGGATACTGACGTTATGACTTGACTGATGCTGATGTTATGACTTGACTGATACTGATGTTATGACTGATCTTTGGATTGATGTTTTACTGAAAGGATACCCTCATGATCAGACATAAGATCCAACTTTTCATCATGATCAAACAATAACAATGCTATTACAGCAATAATGAAAAATACTGCTCCTCTCAGCTGGAAATAAACAAAACAATAACATTCCGATTAATATTAATTATTTTTTGCAATATTAAGATGGTTTTTTTTTAATTTTGAAATGCTTTTTAAGTTTGAAAAAAAGCTTGTGTCCTTTTATAGAGATTGTCAGATAATGACATCTATCCAAGTCGCTAGTGTAAGCTTACTTATACGTAACCTACCTTAGCTGGTCCACCACTATTGCTAATAAACAGAGCAGTAGCTCCAGCAATAACAACCACATCACTATGTTCATATAGAAGAACTGTTCTAGAAAAAAACATATCATTAAGAATGAAATTTAGCAAAAGGCATTTACAAATACTGTATATTACTAACACATTAATGCAAAACAATAATGTCATTTTGGAACTAACATGGAAAATCTATTGCTTGCCTATCAGTATTTCACTTGTGCATTGGGATGATCATAGCAGCGGGATGAAAACACTTAAAGTTATTCAGACAATTCTTTAATTCATGCTGCATGTCAAGGGTGTTTTTGCAGTCATTTTATACATTATTGCTTCATACTGCTGAGCAATACCATCTCACCTAACAAAGACAGGATATTAATATAAAAATGTATGGCATTTGTCCTTTTATTAAAAAGAGAGTTAAAAGACTGTATAATTTGAATTTAAATCATACCTAAGTTTATACTAACCTTAATGGCCCACACAATGTTAAACCAAATAACCACAATAATCCTAAAATACTTCCAAATAGTGCATGCCTTCCAACTCGAAACCACTGGAAATAAAATCAATAACTTGTATATACTACATAGACTGTTTTCAATCTCATTATCTTTCTTAAATCCACTTGAAAAGAGACTCCTTATACAAAATACAATCAGTAAACTTTTTTAGCCTACATATTTGTAAATTTTACAATTCAGTCTATTAAATATCAATGATGATCTCTATTATTTTATATTATTTACCTGTGCTGCATTTAATCGTCTACCTGATCCAAATGGCTTCTGAAGGAAGAGTAATGGAACTGCAGTACTAGAAAACAAAAATGTAATTAAAATAAATTAATATTAGTATGATGTACATTACCGCTAGAACATATCAAGTCCATGTGGGCAACAAGAGTATTCTTGTCCATTTTCATTTGCCTCACTGTAAACCACTAAAACAAAAATGAAATTTGCATATCTTATTCTTGAGAGAGAGAGAGAGAGAGAGAGAGAGAGAGAGAGAGAGAGGGGGGTTTAAGTCCACTCAACACAAACTACGTAATTTCAGGACCCACATATGGTTCAATTTTATTTTAATAATTTGCTTCCGAAACTGGAGGACTCAGAGAAAACCAAGAGGTTGGACAGGCCTCCCTTCTCCTTGTCACCTACAACCGGGGAATCCAAACCATGCCATTTGACTCAATGACAGGCCTTATGAATACAGACCGTGTATTTTCCATTTACAGACAAACTTAGCATCGCCATTCGCCAGGCAACAAATATATGACCATTATCAGCAATTTGAAGCTGGCTTTTCAGTTTTCTGGGTCAGAGGCAAAAACTGTGCTTAAATGTGAATTTTGATACTAGGGTTCCTCTTCAGAATTAGCCAAACTATACAAATAACTTTGAACATTTTATCTCCAATACTCTAACCATTAGAGTGTATCTACTAGAATTGTGGATGGATGGATGGATGGATGGACTGGGATGACAACAATGTGATTACTCCCAAATGAAATGTATTTATGTAAGCATATCAAAACATATATCAAGATAGATTTGCTTAGAAAAACTTACCCTAATTTAACAAAGAACAGAAACTGTACAACTGGAACAAGTTTTAGCAGATCATAGGCAATAAACAAACCAACAGATCTCAGAAATTTTGACACAATCAACAAACCAAAATATAAACTCAAGCTGAAATAAATCAATCCATCTATGATTTAATAATACAAAAACAGATGTATATAGATCTTTCACAAAATATAATGTTAGCATATTGATCTACATGTTTTAGTTTTTACCAATAATCTATTATTTCAGTCAGCAGCTTGGCTTTCTTGTTTTCTTTTATCACATTAAAATTAAATTTCCTTTCATTAAAATTCATTTGACAATGAGAGAGAGAGAGAGAGAGAGAGAGAGAGAGAGAGAGAGGGGTTTAAGTCCACTCGACACAAACTAGGTCATTTCGGGACTAACAGTTCAATTTTATTTCAACACTTCCCTTGCGCGTAGGGGTCTTTAGCAGTGGGAGGAAGCCGGAGGACCCAGAGAAAACCCACGAGGTTGGACAGGCGACCCCACTCCTTGTCACGTACAACCGGCGAATCGAAACCACACCAGTTGGCTCAATGATAGACCTTATGATACAGCGTGCAAGTGCTAACCATACAGTCATCCAACCCCCCTGTAATAGACAGATTCTGGTATCTAGTTAATACAATAAAAGTTAACTATATTTCAGAATTGATTATACTTACTCAGATGACCTGTATATTGCTCTTCCTGGCAAAATGTTACCATTGTAGGCGTCAGACATCTTCTACTCTCCAGTTTAATCAGATAAAATTTGATTGTCTTTATCGATTCACCATTTAAAATGTATCTATAATAAGAAAGAATAACAGTATAACTGATAGCTATGATGTCAACATAACCGGTACTAATCTGTACTGGGCAACTGGAGTGGATCAATATTTTGAGTCAAATGCTAATGTAACTAGAAGTGAATTAATTTTAATGATGGAAAAAATAATTAGTGATCTATTAAACGACACCAGTAAATATAAATAGGACTAATAAAGACAATTGTTGATTTCGTTAGCACGAATGCCAGTCAAGTCGTCCACACGAAAAATCTGGTCATGTCGTCCCCAACCATTGGTGGAGTCGTCCACACTTGTTGGGGAGTCACCCGTGGACACACGTTGGTGGAGTGGTCCACACGACTTAGTTTAATTTCAGGATGTAGAAATATGTTGGTTAAGTCGTTCTGCTTTATCATTATTCCCCGCTGATTTTCAGACTATTGTGTACGATTCTACGAATCATGTTGTGGACGACATCACCAATAGTTGTGGACGACATCACCAATGCCTTGTGGACGACTCCATCAACAGTTGTGGACGACTTAACTATGGACGACTTTGCTTATGGACGACTTGGCACCCGTTAGCACAAGTTATAAGGCCTATCGACAAAGACGATGATTGATGAGCAGACGAAAACAATCAAGTAATATTGCTTTCAAGATGACATATGGTGTTTCTGCACTGGGGTCAAACATATCAACTATCAAATACAATTGTTTAAGCAATAATGAAAGTAGGAAACAAAATAATCAAAAGCGTTTGTTTGTCAACATTGCTAAATTAAGAATTTATCTGTCAAATATTCACCAGACCTTTTCCTTTTCAGTTGCGACGTGCACCGGAAATGCTGGAGGGGACGTTGCGCATGCACAAACTACGATATTTTTAACCCAGGCAAAATGTTATGAAACGAATAAGTTTATCCACTATTTTTACTAATTACAGTGTAAATATATTTACACAATTTACTTATATTCATAAATTACCATTATATGTGATATTTTTGTGGCACCTAAGTGTAAAAGTTACTGGTTGGTGATGGTGTCGGATTTTCGCTTCTTTTACACTGAGCCGATTATTTGCTCTAACCTAAAACATGGCTGACGACTTCAGGAATATTTTTTTTTAGGAAATCGTAAATTCCATTAGAAATCCCGCATTTCCAGTCATTAGAAGGACTTTCAATCTTAAATATTGCGATTTTGTAAATGTAGGTGCAATGTTAAAGTTATTATCTTTTCTGCCGAAGCAAACTTATGTTGTTAATTATTGTAATGATCTAAAAAATTCACATACCAATCCAATGCCAATGTTTACTGAATGAATTGAATGACTGACTGAATAACCCAATTTTTTTTTTTTTTTTTTTTTTTAAAAAGGGGCGATATCTTTTTGATTATCGGAATTGTCCTGGGTCATACCCAGCGAGTGCACTGAAAAACAATAAGTCAGCTATCTTTTGGCAGATGCCAATTCAATTGATGCTAAGTAGAGTAAGAGTCAAATTCAAAATTGCTCTTGTCTTGTAGCCTAATTTGAATGATGAGTATCTGTATTGAAGTACCTTACTAAAAATACTCTGGCCAACTTGAAATATTTCTGACACACACTAGACTGACATTTAATCAATTAATTCATTTCTTGCAGACGAAAATTAATACTTGTGTATATGAAACAATGGATTTAACATCTGATGAAACGTATGTGTTGGACACATTGGGTAAAGCCTGCAGTCAGAGTGCACAAACATTAAAACCTGCTGTGGAACAACTTCAACAGTGGGAGATACAACCAGGATTTTATTCAATACTTAGTGTTAGTGAAAAATCTTATACTTTCTTTATTATTATAAATTCATAATCTATTTAGCCTTTGGATTTGGAATGATGAATACTGATAATGATCACTACGGCAGATGAACTTTCTTTAGTAAAAGCTTAACCTCAGATAACAATGTCTAAAGTTATTACATAACTGATGTTGAAGCAATTAAACTAATCCTAAGAAATGAACCTATTAATCATCTTTTTTGTTCCAGAAAATATTTTCTAATCATAATATTGATGTAAATGTACGATGGTTGGCTGTGATGTATTGTAAAAATGGAGTTGATAAATATTGGAGAAAATCAGCACCCAAGTAAGGAATTTCTTCATACCATATTTTATGGAGTATATACATGTATATATATATATATATTGAACCCTGGTATTTTATAATTTTTCCTATCTTCATCCACAATTAAGTTGAAGTGGTGTATAAGACGATTGGTTCTCAAATCCATTGCAACAAGATTGTGTAATCAAAGTCCATTACTTGTCTTGTCTTAAGGAAGATTCTATTTTTATGACATTTTCTAGAGTTTATAATAACATGTATATAATTTTAGACAATGGGAAAAGGCTAAAGATGGGTTTTGACTTGCTGTCAGAGTGTTATTGGCTTTCAGTTTTGACTTACGGTACTTCGAGGACAAATTAATTTAGTGATTATAATTTGAATTTCATGATTTATCATTGTAGTTCGATAAATGAGGAGGAAAAAGAAACAATTAAAAGTCGATCCATTTCAAATTTTAATGAACCATCACCGCAGGTATGTCAACTTTGTATGCATAGTTAAGATGTGTAACCAGTTAAAAAAACAACAAAGAGATCAGATTATTTCTTTTTATGACTACCATTTAAGTAATAATAAGATTTTAATTTACAGTTTGATCAGATATGTTATTGTTCCTTATAACTTTAAAGTATGTTGATAGATAATTTCAAAGCCAATAAGAATGAGTATTTATTCATAAAGCCATCAAGTTAACATGTAACCTTTGTCTATGATAATATTCTCACTGCCAGCATTTTTTTTACTTTTAAGGTTACGCTCCAGTTAGCCGTTTTGATTGCTAAAATTGCCCGTCTGGATTGTCCAAGAAACTGGAATGATTTATTACCTACCTTGTTTCAAGCGATACGATGTAGTGATGGTTTTATACAAGAGAGAGCCTTATTGGTCTTCCATCATGTAACAAAAACACTAGCATCTAAACGCTTAGCGGTTGATAGAAAAATATTCGAAGAGGTACAGTAAAATAATTAGATGCCTTGAAATGTTTACTTTTCTTGGAATGTTAGCGGTTTATGATTGGAAGTAAACTCACAATATCTTTTACGAAGCTGATTATTATTAAGCAGAATGTTTAAGTTTTAGATACCCTTTCAAGTATTATTTTATGTTGTATTACAGCTTACTGCAGAAATATTTAGTTTTATCTTAAGTGTATGGAATACATATGTTGATCAGTTCTTTCAACTAGCTGCTAAACATGAAGAGGGTATGGCTGCTGCTATTGATAGGTGTAACCTCTCTTTGAAAAGTAAGTAATTAATATTTAATAGATGTTTGGATGTTAAAACCTGCAAAGTCTTGACTTTTATTGCATCCTAGGATTGTTTGATGTATTATGGTGTGAAGAGGGGTAAATAGAATAATATACTATATATCTGTCCCAAAATAACCTGGTTAATAATGTGTCAAACCTCATTCCATTATTTACGTCAAGAAATTTGCACTTCAAGCAAGTATATGTTGATATTTTTTTCATCTTGGGAGTTCAGCATCATGGAATGATGTTAACTGTAGTTCTACTGTATTTACTATTTCATTATGGATAATCATTAATTGCTTATGGGTATTTTTTTTCAGTTTTAAGAAAATTAATTGCTTTTGGATTTAAAGATTTAACAACATGCCCAGATGCTGTTAGTTTTATCAACTCTATATTTCAACGATTAGATCAAATGTTAGATTGCCGTAAGTTTTAGTTATTTTATATCACCATCCAAAAAATGGTCTTTTTGCCGTAAGTTTTAGTTATTTTATATCACCATCCAAAAAATGGTCTTTATTTTGAAATTTAATTAAACGAAATAACCCAACTATTTAAAGAAATTTAGAACACTGTTTCATTAAATGAAAGTTACATAGATCTATATTCTGTTCTATAGGTTTTTTTGTGGGGTAACGTTTCAGGTCTATTGATTTTGTTTTGTAATATTTCAGGTCGAACCATGTGGGGAAATCATTTAATGGTAGAAAAATGTGAAAAACTGGTTGTAACTTTGACAAAAGTGGTAAGATTTTGTTCATTTATCAAAATTATTATTCATATCAACATAATTTCAAAATGATTAATGATAAAGTCTCAAAGTAAGAGACATCATTTAACAGTTCAAACTGTTTACATACTTATTGTGAGTTAATAATTGATTAAGAAATATATCTTTCATTATAAAAATGATGATTGTGTTAATTTTATTATGTTTATTACAGTTGATTGATACACTTGAAATGCATCCTATAGCCTTTGTACAGTTTGTTAGAACTAGTTTAGAATTTGTTGTAAGATATAATTTTACAGCAAAAGGTAATTATCAATGTTTTTTTTTTATTCCTTCTTTTCAGCACTGACTGAGATAATAAAGCCGGGTATACGCGAGGCAGTGTACTATGGGTGCTAAAGCCCACTTTTATTTTGAATTCCAATTGTCACAGGATCTTTTATGTACACACCACTGTGAACACATGACTTCAGTTTTTTGTCTCATTATACCATACCAGGCCCTCTGTCCTACGCCACTGACAAGGGAGAAACCATGCCAGAAGTTCTTGAAGAACTTTCTCAACCAAGCACATCACCCACTGACCTACTGTGACTCCCTTGCGTTTCTATACCCTCCTGACAAAAACATATGTCTAGCTAGATTTCCTTTCAACTTCACTTATTTTACCATTATGTTGTGATCTATAGTGATAATATTCTTCATATATAGAAAGTCACGGAATGATATGTGTCTCAATACATTTATGTAAAGTTGATGAATATTTCAATGATTTTATTTACAGGTCTTCTATTTGAACGATTTGTTGTCAATTGTTTTAATTTGATGAAAGGAATTCTTTTCTGTGACGTCTACAAACCTCCAAAAAATCCACAAGGTATAAATTATCCATATTAGATGACTTACTGTAATATTCTTCAGACTGTTGTGTCTGTAACTTTGTTTAATTCAACATGTGAAAGCAAGGTTATGGAAACCAGTCTATATTGGTAGAGTATCCTATATTAGGAGGCATACATTTTCTGGAACTCCCTATACAAATTAACGTCTTCTTGTTTGTATGATCTGTTTTTGAACTCAAGGTTATAAAGACCAGCCTATATTTGTAGAGTATTCTATATTGGGGGGGGGGGGAGGAGGTATTTTCTGGAACACCCAAACCCATGTACAAATTAACGACTTGTTTGTGTGATCTGTTTTAGGGGATGTTTCCGAACCTTTTAACTTTTTGCGTAATAAAATTTTAATTATGTCAAGTTTTTATTTCAGATTCCAGTTCAATCAGCATGCAAGCACATAAAATACTGACAGAATTCTTCACTTACGATACTTTATCAGAAATTTGCAGACGCTTAGTTTCACAATACTTTCTACTAACATCTGATGATCTTCTAACCTGGGAGGCTGATCCAGAAGATTTTTGTAAGTATAATATATTGTATTAAAAATTCATCAAATTATAATAACAAAGGGCTAACCCTTTAATTTTGCTATGGACACTCTATTTCTAAATACTGCTGTCTCCATCAAAAATAACTATTAAAGCAAAGTAGTGAATTATCCAATGTATTTTTCAGGTCAAGAAGAAGTTGGAGATTCCTATAAATATTCATTGCGGGTAAGACAGAAATATATTAAAAACATTTAGCCTTTCAAACCTGACTATATTTCAGATGAAATATTGCAGATCGTCTGTAGTAATGTTTGTGGAGATGACAAAGACTTTTCTAGTCATATAGATAGTATAACCAATGATAACTATAATATTAATTAGAATATCAAAATATCGAAAAGTATGGCAATAATGTATCATTTCTAAAACACAATAAACATTTATGTGGAATACAACAATCACTGATTGAATACTTTTATGAAACATTGTGCTGTATGTATAACAACCAGTGATAGTTTTTATTGTACTAAATACTACTCAAGGATCATGCATCATTTCAGTAAAGTGTATGTTATATTTTCCAGCCATGTACAGAAGTGTTGTTTTTAACAGTGTTTAAAGAGTTTCGGTTGACATTAACATCAGTTTTATTACAAATGGTACAAGCTAATCAGGGTCCTTGTGATCCTGATAATTTAGAGGCTTTGCTCAAAAAAGATGCAGGTTTGTAGAATATTATTTATACATTGGCATTAATTTCTGTTCCTTTGCCCACGTTATCTGGTGTATATCTTATATCCCATGGCGAATGATGTTAAGGAAAGAGATATCATCGAACCAACTACTGGTACTTTAAAATTTGAATCTGATTCCTTACCTGGAAGAAGAAGATGTTGAAATGTGTGTTCGTCCATCCCAGTTTTGTTTTTGGAGCACATCTCAAGAAACACTTGAGATATCTTTACAAAATTTAGTGAAAATATCAACCTATTATCCCATACTAAACTGAGGCTGCCTGTCTACAGTTAGCTTCGCTTGAGAACAGACACTAAGCTAGTTGTCCAACATTTTAAGTCCTAAATCGACGATTTTAGTCGAAAACACTGAGTATGCTTCGAGAATTTAGAGAGTATTTATTCTGCTTTCATTTAATGAAAATGAATAGGTTTATTTAGTCTTTGTGTGTATGCTAGATGTGAAATGGAGTAGAACTGCGTTACAAAACAAAATACTAATTTTTGGATATGGCCGCTATTCAGGACAGATTTATGCTCGAATTATGAAGTCTCTGTGTGCAGAATGCCTATTACACTTGTTGTAACTTTTGTTAATTTGATTAATTTTTGTTGACTTAATTTTTGTGCAATGGGGCAGGATGTTGATGATCAAGTCATCTTGTTTCCAGTCAAAAGGCCAATGGGTGGTGCTTGTATTAATTATAAGTCAGATGTTATTTATATTTCAGTTTATAATGCAGTAGGTCTGGCATCATTTGATCTGTTTGATGATATCAATTTTGATCAGTGGTTTTTAACACATTTAGTACAAGAATTACAAATCAAACATTTTCAGTAAGTAATATCTACTTTTACTTATGTATCTATGCAAAATGTAGGCCACACAAAAAAATATTCTGGTTTTCACCAAGTCTTATGTGGAAGGAAAATTTTCATTTTTTTGTTTGTATTTTATCAAACAAATTCAAAACATCATATTTGAATGATCTACATTTATTTCTTTATGTGTTCAATCATGCTGTTTGCAAGAATTGGCTTACATTTTTTCTAATTCTGATTTCCCAGTACTAAAATTCACCTGTGTTATTATACACAAATCAGTTCAACTAAATACAAGTTCCTTTACTTAACGAACATGAAATAATTGTTGATTTGAATTTGTAAGAGCCAGGAATACAGTAGTACTACAGTAGAGGATTCCCAGCAGGCAACTAACTATACACAGATCAATTATAAACTGAATAAAATTGTATCTTGGCATTAATCATAATTGTGTAAATGATTACCATAGAGTACATAGTGAGCATAACATTTGGGGATGGATTGTTGCTTTACATATATACATTATTATTATTAATAAATAGCCATAAGTAAAACTTATATCCGAGAATATGAGATTTCTTTTATAATCATTATTTCCTTGAACAAAAATCAATCTCATGATATATTGTGGTACATGTACTGTGGTATGTACTCCTATAAATATTATGATTATTATTTATGTAAATGTTGTTATTTTAGATATCGTATTATCAGACGTAGAGTGATATGGTTGATTGGACAGTGGGTCGGAGTAAAGATGTCGGTTAATTTAAGACCTATGTTATATGAGATTATTTTATCGTTATTATCAAAAGATGAAGATTTAGCTGTTAGATTAGAAGCTGCACAATGTTTGAAGACTGATATCCTTTTATTTTAGTGATTTGTAACTTTTTTTTCCAGTGATAAGCAAAATAACGGAATAATCGTGAGAGATATGTTAAATTTTGTTTAATATTTTATTATCAAACAGAATAAATATTTCATTTTAAAATGAAAAATAACCATTCATCCATGTAATATGTTCAAAGTGATTTATTTTGTGGTTGCCTGTATTTATTATCCTTGACAACATTTACCTGTAGATGATTTTGAATTTAAAACAGAACAACTCCTTCCAGTAAGTATATATTTATTATATCATCAATGTAAAAAAACTTTCTCTAATAGAGAGAGGGAGAAATGGGGTTTAACGTCCACTTAAAACACAAACTAGGTCATTTCGGGACTAACACATGTTTCAATTTTATTTCAATAATTCACTTGCATGTAAGGTCTTTAGCAGTGGGAGGATACTGGAAGACATGGAGAAAACCCACAAGGTTGGACATGTGACCCTACACCTTGTCACATACAACTGGGGAATCAAAACCACTCCAGTTGACTCATTGACAGACCTTATGATACAACACGCACGCATAAACCATTTGCCCCCCCCTCCCCCCTTAGTAAAATGGCAGTTCTGTTCATATTTCAACAAATAAAACTTCTTTTTAATTCTTTTTCGTTTCAGTATTTGGAATCATTATTTGCTCTCCTGTTTGAACTTCTAAAAGAAGTCAGGGAATGTGATACAAAGGTAAATTAAAAAAAGGGATTCTTGCTTTATATCGTTAATTATTGAACATTTTTCTGGACACAATTTTTGCTCAGGAGATTTTGTCCAGACCTGACCTCTGATTCAGCCAATAAAGAGAAGCTTTTCATCTTTCCATTTGGCAACCAATCGTAATGGTTTAAATCAGGCTTCTAAACGATCACTGATTCTTCATTTCACTGATCTGGACAAATCATATGAAATTCAGATCAATTGATAACCTCTGTCATCTGAACTCTAGAAGCATTTAACAGAAATTATTGAAAAATAAATAGGTTGATGATCATACAGTATAGATCAGTAAATTATTTAAATCCTAGTTAAATATCTAATTTGAATGCGTTTGTTTTTTTTTTTCAGATGCATGTATTACATGTACTGTCATTTGTGATAGAAAGGGTTGGCTCTAAGATACAACCCTATACATCTGCTTTAGTTCAATATCTTCCACAATTATGGCACGAATCAGGTGAACATAATATGTTACGATGTGCTATATTAACTACTCTTATACATCTTGTACAGGTGAGTACTTTTATTACTCTTTCATGAAATTTTTTGTAGCGGAAGGTCAGATGTTGTTTTAAAAGTGATCAAATCAATTCAGTGATATCCCATGATTTTAAGCAGATATCAGTCATTGATTTGTTCAACCAATCTTTAGAAAGTTTTATAGAATTATGTTTTCAAACTTGCATAATTCATGATATATCGAGATCTGAGCTTATAAGTTGTGGTAATATGTAACTGAACTCAATTTATGTTTACTATAATAAGGTCTTGTAATTGGTATGCGTAATACTATTTACTATGCATCTTATAACATGTACAATAGTATTTGGTTGTTGATTACCAATAACACAGATTTTCTATCCCTGTACCTTCCAAAACATGTACAAGAGCACAGAATGTTGATGACCGAGTCTTGTTGTTGTAATTTAATTCAGAGTTTTGGTACAACATGTGTTAATTATAAATTATATGATTTTTCTAATGTTATAATTCAGGGTTTTGGTTCAAAATGTATTAAGTGATCAGATTTTTTATAATCTTATAATTCAGGGTTTTTGTAAACGTGTTTAGTTATATGACTTTTGTAATATTGTAATTCAAGGGTTTGGTATAACATGTGTTAAGTTCTGTGATTTTTATTTTATTGTAATTCAGGGTTTTGGTACAACATGTATTAAGTTATATGATTTTTTAATACCGGTGATAGAAATGAGTACAGATGTCAATCAAGATCAACATGTATATTTATTAGAAGATGGTCTAGAGTTGTGGGACGTTACTTTACAGAACTCTCCTCACTTAACTGACAAATTGTTAAAAATATTTAATCAAATGCCCGCTTTATTAGGTAAGAATGGTAAACACTTTCACTGCATTAATTCAAATTCTTGTAAACCAGATATTTGAGGGGATGGCCGAAGGGTTAGCACGTGCGCGCTGTATCATAAGGTCTGTCATTCAGTCAACTGGCATGGTTTTGATTCCCCAGTTGTATGTGACAAGGAGTAGGGTCGCCTGTCCAACCTCATGTGTTTTTTCCATGTCCTCCGGTTTCCTCCAACTGCTAAAGACCCCTACGTGCAAGCTAATAATTGGAATAAAATTGAACAATATGTTAGTCCCAAGATGACCTATTTTGTGTCAAGTGGACCTTAAATTTCATTTTTTTTTCTCTCTCTCTCTCCCTAAAAAAACACCCATGAGGCAAGCACTGGGCAAAAATGTCAGGGTATCACTAACTGGCAGCCTGACGGATTATTGTCTGCCAGCTTGACTAGATGATTTTGGGAACATTAAGGGGTTTAAACATACAGCAGAGTCTGCCATTAAATGACAGGAAAAGATGTTGGCAGAAGATAATCCATGGTAAAGGGACAGTAAGTAACGATAAATACATTCTAAAGATACGCCCTGAATCATCAATCATGTTAGCAGACAAACATGGCTTCTAAAAATAGATATTTTATATCTTGGGGTATTTCCTCGTGAATACAATGTTTTGAGAGGGATTTGAAGCAAATTTTTGATGGATTGATTAGTTTGAATATGATTTTAGTCCATATGTAATATCAAATCACCCAGTTTGTACATAGGAATGTATCTTTAAGGCATGTAAATTTACGGTCAGTCAGGACTGGCAGATTAACTCCAGGTTAATAGCTGTTTTCACATTTCAGAATTGGGTACAGAAAATTTGCGGATCTGTTTAAAAGTTATAGAAGCTTATGTTTTATTAGGACCTCACGAATTTATGCAGGTTAGTATATATAAAAATTACAGACTTATCCTGTTTTTAGTTCCTAAGACCACTGAGAATTGTAAAGAAAAATATGTAATTTGAAGACTTTTGTGTCTACACTGTAGAAACGTTTGAATTTTTATATTTTGATTTTCCAAATAAAAATATTGTTTTAGAATAATATATGGAAAGTTGAGAAAGGCAATCAGTCATTGATTCATCCGCATCCAAATGTCATGTTTCCATGTTAATTTGTTATGGAAATATTAGCAGTTTAAATATCTGTCATTTCTTATGGAATATGCTAGCCTTTCCATTTTATGTTTTTCAGGCATACTCTGCTGTTTTGGTGCCGTCTTTTTCTAGTTTGATGACTGATATTAGAGCAGAAGGTTTAGTGATGATTTTACGGGTAAAACTTATTTTCTATTTAAACCACAATATATGATTTGAACTCTAGTTATATGCATAGACATTTAGACAAGGGTTAGAGCATTTAACCTTGTGGTATTTTAACTTTTAGCTACATATGACCTTCGTGACATTTAATTTGGTATGAATTGAAATTATTTTAATAAATAAAAGGAAAATATTCCAGAATAAATGGCAAATATTGTGTTATAGACCATAGACATTAATAAATACCCTAGATAAAACCCATATTGGATAAAAAATTACTCTAAGCAGCCAATTTTAACAATTGATTTCATGTTGCAGTGTTTATGTGACTGTTGTAATACTGTTAAACTTATTATATTTATAACCTCTAATGTCAAGCCCATGATATTACAGAATCTGTAATTTTTGTTTTAATATTATCAAGTAATATCTAAAGAACGCCTTATGAACCTTATTTTTGTTAAATATAAATAAGGAAAAAAATAATTAAGAAAATGTACACATTAATTCATGGAGTAAGTTTTGGCTAAAAAAATAAACTGATATGACTTACGTCTTAATACTGTTATCATTCAAATTTCTTGATAGGCTTGAAATTTAAATCATGGAAGAGAAACATTTTTATACGCCCACATTGAAATGTGGTCGTATATTGTCGTCGCCCCCGTCCGTCCGTCTTGAGACGAGGAAGCCTATAGATTTTCAGGGATTTCCGATTATTACTGCCAGAGTTATGGCCCTTGATCGCTTCAAAAAATCTTGTGGACGCTCTAGAGGTCAGAGTTAATATCCGATTGACTTTAAATTTATACATAGTGTTTAAGGTCATGAGACGAAGAAGCCTATTGATTTTCAGCAATTTCCGATAATTACTTCCAGAGTTATGGTCCTTGATCAATTCAAAAAATCTTATGGATGCTCTAGAGGTCAAAGTTAATATCCGATTGACTTTAAATTTATACACAGTGTTTAAGGTCATGAGACGAAGAAGCCTATTGATTTTCAGCGATTTCCAATAATTACTGCCAGAGTTATGGCCCTTAATCACTTTGAAAAATCTTGTGGATGCTCTAGAGGCTAAAGTTAATATCCGATTGAGTTTAAATTTATACACAGTGTTAAAGGTTATGAGACGAAGATTTTCGATAATTACTGCCAGAGTTATGGCCCTTGATCACTTCAAAAAATCTTGTAAATGCTCTAGAGGCTAAAGTTAATATCCAATTGACTTTAAATTGATACAGAGTTTAAGGTCTTGAGACAAACAAGTTTTTTGATTTGCAATGAATTTTTATGACTTGAACAGCTAAAACCATGATGTTAAAAGTTTCCTATACTAAACGTTAGCATGGGGCAAAACTTTATAAAAACCAAACCAATTCTAATGGTTTTCTGATAGTTACTTAATGAGTTGTTACTCTTAATCAGATTTTAATGTATTATAAATGTTTCATTACCGAAAAAGTAAAAATATGTGACAATTCTTGTTGACTGCCCGGACGATTTAGCTGCTGTTGGCGTATGTTTCGTTGCCTGGCAACCTATCTTTAAAGTTAAGTAAATCAATTGTCTTATATTTTATTTTTTTTTATAGGTGATAGAAGTTGTATTTAAAACATTCCCTACAGAAGGTCCACAAGTCTTTCAACCAATTCTTAAAGGAATTGTTAGAACAGTTATAGATGGAGAGGTAAGTTAGTTTGCGTATATCGTATATCTCATAGAATGGTGGGCTATTTAAAGGAGATATGTGCCTGGATCGCTGTCATATTGAGTTTTTTGGAATGTGATTTTATTTCCGAGAGCCAGTGAATAAAGCACTGGAAGTCCTGGGTTCAACCTGTATTGTTCCTCTGGATGACCTGGCGCCTGGTACGTTCGGGCATTTTTCTGCGCGAACTCTTAGTTTTTTTTTTTTACTGGCATGCGCACAGGTACTATTTCTTTTTCTTTTAACAAGTACCCAAATCGGGGATTTCGTGCGGAGGTAGTTCGGAGGTAAACAGTCTGTGAAGTACAACACTTGCCACTGTACCTGTGTATCGCTAATTATAAACCGAATGTCTGAAGACAGTTCATACATATCACTCAAAAAATTTTCAGTACAAACTCAGTTGATTCACGCTCGATTTGCTACTAAACAAACCCATCGGTTTATTTTCTCAACAGTGTGACCCGAAGTGACCGCGGATTTATTGACCTTGTATGAACTTATCCATAGCTATATCCTTACACCGAGAGAAATTATCTAGTCTCGGTGAAAAGAACCATGGTCATCTGGTAGAAAATTACTTTTGTATTTTTTGGAACGGAAAACAGTGTTTTTAGAAGCAAACTAACCTGCCGCACATGAGGAAGTCATTATACTAATAATAAAAGGCGAGACCTCTTTTTGCGGCGCAGGCTTATCACTGAGTAGTAAACCGTCCACAAACAATAATATAGGAAGCCTAGTGACGAGTGTAGTAAGTAGGCTATAGACTATAGGTTTGAGTCGAGATTACTCGTATTCAGTTTACTCTGTTTTTGCGATAACCAATTATGTGAGAAATACCATACTGACATTCGGTTTTTAAAAGTTGTACGCGAACTAAATGCGTTTGTTAGATACTGACAGATCAGCCCCGAGTCCAACAATCGCCGCCCGAGCTGTCTTCGTCAGCTAGTTTCACAATATCGTGCAATAGGTGTATTAATGTGATTTTTAGGTTTAACCCCGCAAACAATGCCAAAATAGTGTTTTCACTGCTTACAGAAAACTGAAATTTAAAAAAAAAATTTTTTATGAGGGTGACCCTCCCACACACTCCCTATCGAGCTGCCGCTCGGTCTGCGCAGCCTCATGCCTGGCACATACTGTCAACATTGTATATTTTTCCGTTTCCGCCCTTCCCCCCCACAATATATATTTCACGGCTACGTTCCGACGGTACCAGCATACCCAGTTGTTGACACCCATTACATCACTCCTGTCTAACAAATCATAAAGCTGTGGTGTTACGGTGGCGGCATAGTATTTCACCGTAACACCACAGCCACTCTAACCATTCATAATACATCTAACTATCCCTTTACAGCACTTCACTCCCTACACATTTTCCCTCGTCCTACTTTCCCAAACGTCAACAACACATCTCATACATCCAGTTCGCTGATTAACCCTTGTACCACGTCTACTGGATTTTCTTGTGTGAATCCAGCTTGTCAGTGGTGCAGGAAGGAGGGCATGTCTAGTCATATGGGTAGTATAAAAAAAAACAAACTCCTGTGTACACATTGGCGTGCACATAAAAGAACCCCTAAAAGTTGGAATTTGAAATAAGATTTGGCCGTAGCGCCGCTGTTCGAGCCAAATTTCCCTCATATTGCACCGCATGGCATATGCCCGTCCTCATTATCTAGATGGAGCAGAATAGTATAATGACATTTTAACAGAAGTATATGATTCACCAACCTGTAGGAATGTAGAGAGAATTTATAATGAATGTAATGCTTGATAGTTCTTGTAATATAAGAATTTGATGGGATTATGAATATTTTTGTTACAGGAGAATCCAGTTGTTTTATCAATGTATCTAAGTCTTTGTGCCCGAGTGTTATTACAGAATCATGCTGTATTTTGGTCGATTTTAGAAACAGTTGCTGTCGATACACAACGAAATGTAAGTGATTGATACTTAATGGACAGTGTTTAAGAAATTCCATTCAATAATGTTCAATATGTCTGGTCTTAAGTTTACATTGTTGTTTGCTAATTTCAGTCATGTCTAGCAATCAAGATAACTATCTCAATTAACAATTTTTATACTGCAAGCTGAACAATGTATCAAACATTATTTACAACCTGTCTAGTGTGGTAATCTCGACAGATCTTCAGAATATCATAGTATGTTCTGTGTTATTAAACTAGGATTAAGAAATGTTGGTCACAGAAAGACTGTCCCAACTGGAGTCAAGTAAAAGGAAATTATGTTACTTCGATTTACTAGGATTAAGAAATGTTGGTCACAGAAAGACTGTCTAAACTGGAGTCAAAAAAAGGAAATTATGTTACTTTGATTGACCTGTTTGATTTTGCTACTGAGGAATAAAAGTATATTTAATGTTGTAATAAATTAGAATATTTGTATTTTATTATAGACTCAACAGTTATTACGTGGTATATTAGATACATGGGTAGAAAGAATAGATTCTATTACCCAGCCTGAAAGAAGAAAAATCTCTGCTTTAGCTATGGCATCACTTCTTTCAATAAACCATAGGTAGGTTTGATCAATGAAATTAGTAAATCTGTTCAATAAACCATAGGTAGATTTCATCAATGAAATCAATAAATCTGTTCAATAAACCATAGGTAGGTTTTGATCAATGAAATCAATAAATCTGTTCAATAAACCATAGGTAAATTTTGATCAATGAAATCAGTAAATCTGTTCAAAGGTAGATTTGATCAATGAAATCAATAAATCTGTTCAAAAAAACATAGGTAGGTTTGATCAATGAAATCAGTAAGTCTGTTCAATAAACCATGAGTAGGTTGGATCAATGAAATCAGTAAATCTATACAATAAATCATAGGTGGGTTTGTTCAATAAGATCAGTTAACTCTGTTCAATATACCATAGGTAAACGTTGATCAATGGAAATAGTAATTCTGATCAAATTATGCTTGCAGTTTTTTAATGGAGAATTTCTCCAGGACAGCAGTTAAATTCTGCTGACTAGGGATCTCCAATATAATTATATTACCAATGTGTATATGTACCAAGGATGCTATCTCAAAATTTCTGCTCGTCAGACATTTTTAGTTGAGGTTAATAAATGTCAGAATTAGGTCACCAGAAGTCGGTTGTCAGCTTCAGGAAATTCACGCCAGTTATATTCCTCTCAAATGACTTGTCTTCATTTATATGGCAGAAAATGAAAGCAAAACGTCTGATAAAAATAGTTCACGTTGTCGAAACATCATTTGTTTTCTTTATGAAACGGTATATGGGTGAAGTAGTATCCCTGATGTGTACACTGTACCTCGGTAATACAGAATGAGTCGAGCAATTAAATTATTTAATACCAGTTCAATGAATTATTTTTGGAGACAATTGTTTGTTGATTAATATTTGTATGTGTATTTTATTGTAGCATTGTAGTAGAGAAGTTTAATTGTATTATAAATTTATGTGTGGAAGTTCTACATGATGTTTGTCAAAGAGATGATAATGGTGCACAAACAGAGTAAGTTACATTTCATTTGATTTGTTCCTAGATAAAATACAAAATAGAACCCTTTGAATTATCTAAAATTCATTGGCCAAAAATTCTCATATACAGTCCACAACAACGTTACAGCTTCTAGGACACCCCAATTATTTTTCATATCATGGCTGATGCATTACATTGTTTCAAAAATACACAATCTTGCCATGGAATCTGTTTTTAGCCAACTGTTCTGCATCTCAGTAGATATTAATTTTACAGATCATGCTCTCCTGCTTTTTCTATTAACTTGCTAATTAGTCAAAATATTCACAGTGCAGTTCCCTTTATGGAATTTGTGGACGATTTAGCTTCTGTGAGCATACAGCAGCCTATCTTTGTACTTGAAATATATGCCATTGTGTTCAAGGAATAGAAGATGTTCCCTTCTTTACATATTTAGGATATCATAGCTCTAGTTAAATTTATGTATATTGAAAGTAAAGAATATTAATTTATATAATATAGTACTCTATAGCTAGTTATTAGTGAAGTAGTAAATATTAATGTATATTGTATATAATATAGTACTTTATAGTTATTAGTGAAGTAATAAGTATTTAATATATATTGTATAATATAGTACTCTAGTTATTAGTGAAGTAGTAAATATTATATTAATGTATATTGTATATAATATAGTACTCTAGTTATTGGTGAAGATGAAGTTATAGAAACTAGTTCCTATCCACCTGATGATAATTACTCTGATATACCTACAGAACATGATACACGCAGAAAAAATGTAAGTAGCATATGAATATTCATATACATCCAAATTTAAATGTGGACATAATATATTGGTTTCACCTTTGTAAGGCAGTCCGGCATCTGGCACATTACAGGACAAATGTTGAGATGGAATTTTATAAAAGTTGGTGGTATAATTCATTGGGCATAAGGAAATTGGGAAATTCTGATCACCTATCACAGAATTATTCCCCCTTATTTATGTTCCAATTCATGAAATCTTCTGAACTTGTGAAGCAGGATTTGACAAAGATTTCTTTTATTTTAGAAGATAAGAATGAATACCTCATGTAAGCCCCTATTATAAGACAACTCTCATTGGACTAATTTGATTTTTAATTCAAAATATGGAGAAAAGTGCAATTTTACAGTCCAATAATAATGTATACAATTAGCCATTTGCTTTTGATTTTCAGTTAAGTCGTAAGGATCCAGTGCATACAGTATCTTTAAAAGAATACGTAATGAGTCAGCTAACACAATGTCAACAAGTCCACGGTCAAATGACGTTCGACCGAATCATGGGTGAATTGGATCCAGAAATAATTCAACAATTACAAGAACTTTGTAGCTGACATTGTTAAAATAAGATCTTACATAAAGATATTGGTTTCTTTAACTCATTGCATCTTTCCATCAATGCTATAGAAATTATGCTAACTACAACTTACGTAGTTCTTGTAGGTAATCAAAAACCATACCATATAAACCAAAGACCAGTGATATTCAGCCCAGTCGGGCGTTTCCGTGTTCTGTGCTTTCAATTTTGGCGAGTCGACAGGGAGGTTGGTGAGCTACATGTGCGGCCAAGTTAGAAGAGGCAATGTGTTTGTCTGTAGATTTTTTTCTGTGATATGAAAAAAAGTGAGTCTTCAACAAGAGAAATTCTATTGTGCATTTATTATTTTGCAAAAACTATTTGATACACTAACTAAAATCTATTAAATTTGTGTGAAGAAATGTAGAGAAAGACAAACTGTTGGTGTGGAGTCGGAAATTTCTCTGTGAATTTGATAGACTGACTTGCTTCTTATAACATTTCCAACAAAAAGTGCTAAATCTTTTTAAGTGTCTTCAGTTTTGTGATAAAGCGAATGTAAAGGGCATTTTATTTTGTTTTTATACTTGTTAAAGGAAAATCTATAAATGTATAAAGGGACTGAAACCAGTGACCTCAAAACAGTAGACATTTAACACATATAATATGGGTATATATAATAGTATATACACTTAATACATATACAGGGGCCCACTTAATTTAAATATAGATAATGCTTTGTAACTATCTTAATACAAAAATACAATAGATTTTGATAGCTATGTAAATGTCCCAAATAAAGTTATGGAATATGGATGCTCTAGAATGAAATCTGGAGCAGAGTAAGTTACTAGGAAATAAATTATTTAAAAATGGTTGATATCAAAACTGCCTTGAAAATGAAACTGTTTTTTTTATTTTTGCCTTTAAACTCAAAAGTTTGGAGTAAATGTTCTGAGCCGTAGTGTTGGTCTTATGATTCAGGTTCTTTGCTGATGTGTATCGTTTGCTAAATCCAGTGAGCCAAATATTTGCTACATATTATGATAATAGAAAGTGTTATGCTATTTTCTCTATGATGGTTTTTATAGCGCTAATGGAGCATACAGCATTCAGCTTCTTTAATTATGAACAAATTGAGGCATCACTTTTGAAAAAAAGGCCCAACGTGGCTGAATAAAGGCTGAATATAGAGTTTAAAACGATACATAATCAGAAATACTTTTAATAAAAAAAATCATATTGGTAAAAAAAAATTATTCACATCATCATTCCTAACTTAAGTTATGGCCATCTGTGTTACAAATGATTTAACACCATAAAGTTATAAAAATTCTGCTATCTTTATGAGGGTCTTGCATATAATATTAGTACAAAAACAGCTGTCTTTACATTTTTTCAATATATGTATATGTGAATGATCTGCCTTGTGTCCTTCATGAAATTGTCAAATGATCACCTACATGTTCATCCAGCAACATGCAACCATAATGAAACACAGTAGGTATCTGTACTCTAGTCATTTGTTTATACCCATTCTAAAACCTAGAAGAATACCACTTTAAGTCCATTTACAGGATATAATTTCCTAATTACCGCCCATTAGTAGTACACTAGTACACAATTAGCTTTGTTCTTGCTTAAAAATGAATAGGGACTGTAGTATCTTATAACTGATACATGTTTGTCAAAGCATTAAGTTGGAACTGGTCACATGTACTGTGTTGTAGGTGTATGCAAGGCATATCTGATCAAGGATAACTTTATATCAACTGTTTCATTGTTCTTTAAAAGAAATGCACGTTTTATGTATTTTATTCTATTTACTGTGTATATGAAGATTATAAATCTGGATTATATATGCATTCAATTAATGGATATCTCATTTATTTTTCTAAATTTCAACTAAAAGGTGATTACAGCAACTATAAAATATTGAGGAAGAAATCTGGTAATTTGTTATAGCAATTATTATTCTAGCATATTCATTAACCATCAGTGTTTTCATTGATCTATCAAGTTCACTTGCAGACTAATCAGAATCTTGTGACAACAAAAGTACTCAACTGGGCAAGTGAATTCTGTAGATTGATAGAAATGATTGACAATAGTTGCTCTCTCATGTAACACTGTTGTTAAAATGCTTCAAGAATATGTTATTCTAGTTTATATAATTATTTATGTCTAATGAATTTAAGTATTTTTAATCAAATTTTCCAAAGTGATCAAAAGGTTTCTAACCATCTATTTTAATTTAATAGAAAGAATTAATCATACTACATTCAGAGAGTATCAATCCAAGCTCTCTATGTATAGAGAAATCTTTTTGATAATTATACAGATACTCAAACTGTCAGAATCACAAACAATCTGATTAAAACACAGATCCTATTTCATTTCGTTTTTTATAAAACAAAATTGCTTGTTTTACTACACTAGGATCTGGAAAGGTTGTTGTCATTGACAGGTTCTGGATGATGTGAGGGTTTAGCTAATGAAACCGTCTGTTACAGGGAACTTCATGTAGTCAGATCTTCATGTAGTGTAGGTCATTGAAAGTATAAAAAAAAAAACCCAAAAAACGAAATATAGATCTGTATTTTAATCAAATTGAATCACACAGGATACCCGATTGAACATTCCAAAATTAAATTCTATCAATCTCACAAGAAATTTGTGTGACAAAGCATGTTTCATGCAAGCCACCACAAGTGTTTGGTACCATTATCAATAAAGACAGAAACATCAATTCGATTGCAGTACTGTCGATTTGCAAATTATAAGTCAATTATAATTATAATTTCTTCTTATAATTGGGATTAATATTGGACACTTTATTGAAACTCTTGGAGTGTACTGTATAATTAATGATTTACTTAAGTTTCTAAATGTGCAAGGATTGTACATGAATAGGGTGTTAATCATGGTGCAGTCAATCCAGCTACAATTTCTAAATGTACTGTTATGACCTGGTGTCTCTGTAGTCAGTTGGGTTGTGTTATTATAAGTAATATTATTAAAGGGGAACTCCATTTGTTGTTATGTGTTTATAATTTATTCATTATCTAACATTAGAATAGTTTTTAATCCAGTAACTCTGCATATTCACACTGCCAAATGTTTAATAGAGAAACTGTTATTGCATGTGATGTGGGTTTTGTTCTTCCCTGCTGGCTGGCTGTCCATCTGTCACACAATAACTCTCCTTCTAACCGAGGTAGAATATTCAAATTTGGTTCATTAGGTCAATATCTTTTCTCTTTACCGAGTTGGATGATGAACTTTACTGCTTAGATTAAGCAGCTCTCTGTCTGTTTGTCACATCCTTTGGAACAATTACTCTGCTTTTAATTGAGATAGAATGTTCCACCTTGGTTTACATGCTCATTAGGTGAATGGCTTGACTGATTAGGATGATGCACATTTTAGCAGTTTGAGTGATCAATGTCTGAGTATGAGCATTTTCTGCTCAGGTTAAACAGAGTGAAAAAAAATTGATTATTCAAATTGCAAGTATTTTTTGAGATTGAGGCAGGGGACATCAGCATCACTACTGGCTAGTTTTATTTACAGTGACTGTCGGTTCCCCGCTAACGTCATACATAAAGTTTCTGTGTTAATTTGATATATACAGGTTGTGCATTCTTGAAAATATTTCAATATGATATATATAATAAATAAAATATTAAGAAACCTGCAACGACTGGAGTTCTCCTACAAAACCAGGTGTTCAGTAAATGAGGTTATATTAAAAGCAAATACAATGCATATGATAATGTATGAGGTGAATACTATGTATATTTGACCTTGCTGTATATTCAAATTATGTTTATAAGTTATGCTTTCTACAATATCAGCTTGTTATTACTGTATATGAGATGTAATTGCTACATCATGTAATGCCATAATAAAATCTATATTAAGAATGTTTCTTTGTGTTGTTCCAGTCTTAACCAGATTTTGCACTGCATAACAATAACAGTAAAATAGTGGAGTTTCTTGGTACCCTGTGCATAATAACTGTATAAGGTCTAGATTATAACAAATCTCAAGACAATAGAGAAGTAACAGATATATTTTAATAAATAAAATTGGTATATTTGGGGTCGAAGGTTCTTGCATACTAGATGTGTGTAACTATCTGAAGCTGTTTTAATACTTTTACGGAAAAAATACACTTACAGTGGTAAGTGTTCTTTGTGATCATGGAATTCCTTAACCATCTTATGCAAATCTAGCAGTAATTTCTTAAAAGGATCAATATTTTTATTTGATTTTTAATTTTCGGACGAAGTAAATAGGTTATTTCATTACATTTTGGTGTTGCATCTTGTGAAATCTGGGACTGAAGGGTGTATAAGAGATCAGGAACACCATTACAATCAAGGGTGACACCCACATGTAATTGACTTGCTGAAACAGAAAGACATGTGGCACACAAGGTATGTAAGGAATATACACAATCTTGACTATCACTACGGTTCTGCAGATGCATAATGTACATGTATACAAACTTGCCCCTCATATAGGATTTTACCAGGCTAATAATTTAAATATGACTTGCATGGTCACTTACGATTTTAGTTTAGTTTAAACCATCCATTTTGATTTTGATATGTTTATTATACTTGTCTTGTATGCAGACAGAGTAGGCTTGAGCTTTCAAGATCTCTCTTGATCAAAATTGAAATATTCTAATGTAATTGAACTAGCCTTAAAGGGTTTAATGGAGAAAAGAGAGAGAACAACTGTCATTTTAAGACATGGTATACTTTATTTCATTAATTCAGTTTCTGCAGTAATGGCTAGCAATGGGAGGAAACCAAGGCAAACACATAAGTTAGGTGGACAACTCAGTGGAATTGGACTCTCGACATCCATGAGCTATATCACTCAGCTACCCAACCCAACTTGGTTTTTTAAATGAAAGTGAAATGTGTTCATAGAAAGTTAGTCCTATACTTTAATATACAGTAAGACAATTGTCCTTACTCCTTACAATTATCAAATAATTTTCAAAACTAAACACTACCAACAGTGAGGTTTGATGTCCCACGCCTATATCATAAAATAAATAGATGACACATATTAAGTGAACATCTGTCCTTTAATAAATAATTGAGCAATCAAACAGACTATCTAAACATAACCTAATCAGAAATTATTTGTGACTGTACTTGGTCAACCGACAGATGAACTGACCCATTTTAATAATCCCCTGCTTTCTTTGAAAGATGGGGATGAATAAATGGTCAAAGTGAATTGCCGGTAATCAACAAATGTAATGGACAATTGAAAAACAACTGATTCAATCACTGACAACTACATATAATAAGTCTATACTAAATTAAATTTAATCTTACAACATCAGTTTTTTGCAATATTATTGATTATACCATTTTTAAACGTTATCTACTTATGCTAACAATTCATTAAATATTTCAAATTGTCTCATCATTATAATTTGAAGGAATGTCAATCAAAAACAATGAAATCTGATAATTCATCTAATTTCATTTTAGCCATTTTCCAAGATTTTACACCAGGAACTTTCCAAAACATATCTCATTGATGGTTTAATTAAATATAATATTCTTTTGATCAATAAATAGTGTCTCATGTTCATAGCTAAAATCGCACGATCACAGTATCCATTAAAAGCCATCAGAACTTAAAATAAATATCACAATCCATAACACTAACACTCCATTTCACACATACATAACAAATATTTTTCATCCATTTTCTAATTTAGAATTTCTCAAATAATCATTTCTTTTGTAGGTTTTCAAGTTTTCTAAGTTTTGCCATCTCACTTTTTGATCTCCATATTTTAATAGCCTGATCATCACTAACAGTAACAAAATATTCTTGATTGACAGGATTGAAAGCTACAGCATTAACAACACCTGGTCCATGTTGATATGTAGATAATAAACAACCATAAGATCGGTCCCACAGATAACCTCGACAATTTTCACTACCACTGAAAAAGTTAAAAAGAAATTAAATACATGAAACATGAAATTATGGGCAAGCATGAAAAAAAGGCAAAAGATCATTTTCCATTGGGTACCATACTGCTAAAAAGCATTGCCGACTTGCCTGTCTTTGTTATCTTTGAACAAATTGTTACAATGCCATTAAATTTCCAACATTTATCAAATTATTTTAGTCAAAAACATTTAAATCTATCAATTCTAATGAAGTTGACCCAAGTTTCTACTGATTTCATGTCGCTCTGTTTATCCTTTTCTATTTTAAATATCACTCTAGTCATCCCTTTCTATTTCAAATGTCATTCTAATTCTTGTGTGACAGAAGTCAATTACAACTATAATAGTCATTAGAGCTTCATTACACAAAGCTCACACAATTGAATAGTTTATAAAAGTACTCACCTTCCAACATAGTCATCACTTGTATTAAGAAATACAAAACAACACATAGTTGATGGAGAAAGACCTTGATGTCCTACATAACGCATACCAGTATCAGATAAATCCCATAAATCTATTACTCTAATTTCTATATCCCTTGATAAAACTGGTGTATTCCATGGATCATCTCTATTTACTTTACCAACCCATGGTCGACAATTTACAAATAAATATCTGTAATATAAACAAATCGGTTTTAATTAAAAGGGACAAAATGATGAAACTTAATTTCCATTTCACAGATACATGTTTGTCAATATTATGTCATTACTTGGGCTGAAATGATATACCATGAGACTTTATACTGCAGTATACAAGCCATGGTTCAGTTCAGGGTACTTTAAATTCCGTACCAGTGAGGTTCATGTACAGTGATATGTATCATATCGTGAGGTTAGTGTATCGTTGCAGCCCTGGCCATTACCAAGCCCCAACATGGCTGTGATCGCCAAAAATAGTTGTTTGTTTGACACTTAAATAACAAGGAAAAAATTAATATGTGGACCTAAAAAGCTTTGCACTCTTTTAAACTTGCTATCTGTGTGTATGCCGTCACCTATTAACTTAAAAAACCTGACAAGGCTACATGTATGTTTTAGCATTGGTCAAGTGTGCCAATCGTGCATATAATTGTACACATACATGTACAAATTTTATTTTTCTCAATAACTGCTGATTTAGTTCATTTAAATAAACAAGAAAATTCAGTATTATTATGTCCAAACAATATTGTCTTAAAACTGTTCTTTAGATCTAAACATTTAAAACAAAACAACATACCAGAGAGAGAGAGAGAGAGAAGGAAATGAGGTTTAACATCCACTGACACAAACTAGATCATTCTGGGACTAACATATGGTTCAATTTTATTTTAAAAATGAGCTTGCGCATACATGTGGGAGAAAACATGAAAAAAAACATGCTGCTGGACAGACTCCTTGTAACCTATAGAGAGAGAAATGGGGTTTAACGTCCACTAAAAACAAACTAGGTCATATTGGGACTAACATATGATTCAATTTTTATTTCAATAATTTGCTTGCGCGTAGGGGTCTTTAGCAGTGGGAGGAAACCGGAGGACCCGGAGAAAACCCACGAGGTTGGACAGGCGACCCTGCTCCTTGTCATGTACAACCCTTTGTAACCTATAAGCTGGAAATTAAAACCATGCCACTTGACTCAAAGACAGACCTTGAAAGTGTCAAATTAGACCATACTCACCTATCCAACCCACCCCCCAATCCCTCGTCCATTTGCATGATTCTAGGTCTGTAAATAGTAAATATATAAATACAAACCTGTTATCTTTAGATAAACATAATCCTGTCACATGACCATTTAAATCAATCATCTGATCTGATGAATCTGGTTTCCAATCTGGTCGAATGCCGATTTCATGATTACTAACATGCATGACCATATGAGTCTCAACATCATCCAAATCAGGTTTACTTAATATGTCTTTAGGAATTAATTTAACTCCCACTTGATGTAATGCAACCGCAAATTCACCCGTAACATAAATTAAACGACTATCACTATTATCACTTGAGGATGCTGCACACGCAGATATATTTTCATCAGATATTGTATCTCCATCTTTTAAATATGCTTGTGTTACTGCATCTAGCTGACAATTACAATTGCCAATACATAAATTAGAATCGTGCATAACATTTTGAACACTATTAGTTTTTGTCGATGAGTTTATTGGTCTATCACTGGACATGTCTTTGACAACAGTTAAGAATTTGATTAAGCTAGCAGTTTCACTACAAAATGTAAATAAAACTTTAGCATCGTCTGGTTCTCTTATAACATCATTTGAGTATTGGGTAAAATCCTGAGTACCTTTTGGTTCACTTGTTCCAACCTAACAAAAATTAATTTAAAATTAATACAGTGCAATAAATATCATTAGCCATATAGATGAATGAGAAGTGGTATCTGGTCTTCTATACATGTTGCTACTAATGGTTAAATGGAGATATGGACTCAGCCAATGGATAACACCCAGAGCTTGAAATTTCATAATCCAAAACCAATAAGGCAGAATTAAATGTTGCACATGTGAAATTCTACAGGAATACATACTGAATTTGCAATCTGGACACAATTCCAAGTTTTCTATGGAGATTAATGTTTAATTCACACATGACAGTAGAATCCTGTTTTTCCAGACCCTCTCCACTAACAGATCATTTAAAAATAAATGTTACCAACCCCTACACTAGATCATTTTAAATAGAATATCCTATATAAATATTTAAATATTGCATACTTACATTAAAAGCTTCAATATGCACTGAAACTAAAGCTCTTCCATCTAAGTTAATGTCTAAAGATCCACCGAGAAATGTTTCTATATTTAACCAAGCACCAAATAATTGTGATGGATCCATACAAACAATCTTTAACAAGTCAAAACCTAAAATAATAAAGTGTACACTGTATATTCATATCTATTATACATTAAAAGGGAAGTTCCATATTTCACTAAACACAACAAATAAAAGTTGATTTAAGTATGTCAATCAAACATAAAAATGTAACTATATAGCCAATTAACCCTGAGTGCAAATTCCAAATACATCTATTGAGCCGATCTGTAATGACCACTAGATTTGTTTAAAGGGGTTACGTAACTCATATAAGGAATTTCACTATCCACTATATGAGTGACTTGATGATCACAACGATTACTAACCACTATAACATAGTGTAAATTTGGTAAATATGGTAATCCAGACATTTACACAATACAGAATGTGGGGATATAGGCCAACCCCACACAGAAAATATAAGTTTGTATCAGGATAAAGGTTTGCATGTCTTCTTTCATCACAAAAAATCCAGTTTTATTTAACAAAAGATGACTGGGAAGACTCCTTTAACTTTAACAGAACAGTTTAAAAATACAATGTATATTGAAACCTGTCCTGTACTACATACATGTAGGTCTTAATGAATCTAGGTATTCTTTATGTTATTGGTGAATAATTACATCATTAACTTACTTTTTTCTACGGATAAAATAGCCACAAAACCACGTCTGTCTATATCACCACTCTTAACACTTGATACTAATAATCTGGTGTCATTACTATTAAAACATGAAAACTGGGTAAAACTCCATTTAAATTTCTTAGCAAAATCAAAATTATATTTTAGCTTGGTTGGATATCCAACTTCCCAAACCTGGAATAAAAACACAACAACTAAGAAAAATACAACACTATATACATGTACCTAGATGTAAGTTATGACCAAAAGTTTATAGAACCACATACATGTGAAAGGCCAAAAAAAAGTTATGTCCACAGCAGCTAAATATATCATATATTTATTCCTTAGTAGATAATGTGAGAATTACAAGTCACTAAAAACTAATAAATAATATTTATTTTATATTAAATCTGTAGGCTACCACAAATCAGATGATAACTTGTAATTACATTTAAGAAATTGTTTGAGTTACTGGGAATCTTCAAAAAGCAATAGGATTCTTCATCTCATGAACAGCCACAAGATTTTTCAAATTGATCAAGGGCAATACCTTTGACAGTAATTAGCAGAAATCATTGAGAATTAACATACTTTGTCTTATGAACATGACCACTATGCATAAACATACAGATGGGGATGACAAGATGATATGACCACATTTCAATTTACATCTATTTGGTTCCTTCTTTTTCTTCTATTGTTAGTGTTTAACATCTGCTTCCATTGATGGTGATATCGCAGACAAGTTTTCTTATTTTATTAATCTTAGTGAACGTGTAGGGATCTTTCCTGTGGGAGGAAACCGGAGTTGTATACCCTCTTGGTTGAGAAGGCAACCCTATCTCCAAGCCACATACGCTTACACCAGGGATTAAAATCATAACTGCAAGCTAGGGGTGACCGGCCAGCTAGAGCTCGAATTGCAACACTATAATAGACCCCTATGCCATCCCAACACCTCATTTGGTACCACATTTTGGTATGGTACATGTACCTATTTTATAAAAGTGGAGAACTGATTAATCTCATTGCTTCACTATTATTTACTGTAATTCTCTGTCACAGTGCTTTTTAATCAAGACCTGTCCATTATTAGCTTAAACCTTTGATTCGGTGCTACATTTGTTCTACATTTATACCCTTTTAATTATTATCAAATTATCATTAGACCTTCCAACTGAATATTGTATTGTATTGTATATTGAGTAAGCCTATCATTTTACTTGCATAAATGCCATGGACAAGATCACTCATTTTGTACAGAGTCAACCGAGTACCAAGTCAAACCACACTACCATTTATTTTTTACATTATACCTTAATTGTGCAGTCTTTAGAAGTTGTAGAAAATAAGTGTCCTTTATGAGAGAAACTGATGTGCAAGACCTCATCTGTGTGATCTGTCAATGTTTCACTGAGTTCTGTTGGAACATTATAAAATAACCTCTTGTATTCACTCCTCCAGCACTCCTTGCCTTTAGCCAGTCCATCTTTAACTTTTACTTTATACACAGTTTGTAACAGTGCCCTGTATAAACTGTCATCATAAGCAACATTTCTCCATCGGGAACAGACACAAGCACCTCGTGCAATATCTGGTCCATCCAAGAAGGAAAATATATGAAGTAAAATGGAGTCTGGTAAACTTTCAACCAAAGTTACAGATTTGAACATGGTAGATGGTACCAGTAAGTCAAATATCTAGTTTTACATCTATCTACAATTCAAAAATAAATCTATTAACATTTTGATATGTATTTTTTTTTCGTGTACGTTAATATATGATGTATCCCACTCAAATACCAATTTTGAGTTTCCAGTATTACATGCCTTTAAAACGACTATACCCTTTCCCCCCTGAAATCTCAAAGTGAAAAGACAAAATATTTATGCTAACTAACTTGGCCATTTTATTTTGGCATTAATTTACAAGCAACACTTGGGAGGCCTTTTAGTTTCTACATGTCTTAAAGAAGTAGCAGAGAGATCTATGATGCTAAATCTCTGACTGTCAAGTGTATATAACCATTGAAAATGCCAGAGAAAAAGACATAAATGTATGTAAATATGGATCCCCATTGACCCAATCTATCTTACATAGGATCTTCTGGGGGTGCAGGGGTTGGGTGGGGGGGGGAGAGCAGCAAATGGTCTGTCATTGAGTCCATTGATGTTGTCTCGATCCCATGTACGAGTAGGGTTTTCTGCATTAGGCCAGTCAGAGCAGAAAAGTATGATCCTAAAGCCTATATTTCATTTTTGAAGCCAATTGTTGAAATAAAATTTTATCATGTCATTCTCAGAATCACTGAGTTTGTGTAGAGCTGACGTTCAACTCACTCCCTCTCTCTCTCAGATCCAAAAATAAATTGAAAATGTCAAAAAAAATAAATAAATAAATAACGGACGCTAATGCACTTTCGTACACCTAGCACTTGCCGTGGTCCTAGAGACTTCAAATAGGTGTACGAAAGTGCATTAGCGCCCACTTAAAACTTCACCCCATACAAATATTATTATTTTACGGATAATTTTGTATGTGATAGATCACTGCTGGTCATGGGCATAAATCAAAAATATAGCCATTAATTTATTGTCAACATAAGTATTATCAGATCCAAGACCGTAAAACGACCAAAAAGTGATTCATTTCCTTTCATTCACCAACCCAATGCAATTACCTGTCAGGCACACCCGCATGCAAAGAAAAATTAATCTGATATTGAAATATAACAACTGTCAAGTGACTTGGCTATCTTTCATGATGCATACGCGCTATCGCACTTTACTTATTTGGTGTTTCAAACGTCGATGGGTTCAGACGTTGATCAACAACATACGACATTGAAATTACATGGTATTGTCGGATGGACTATGTAGAGTTATCAAGAAAGAAAATATTTTCTTCATAACCATAACAAGTTCATTGTTATTATTATTGGGATATGGAATTAATATTTTCTAAATTAGGAAATACTTTAACAATGGTGTATAAATTGTATCCAATAGTTCATATACGAAAAACATTACTGAATGATTTTCAAACATTTCTTCATCGCTGATTTGTAGTCCATAACCGCTCCGTATTTATGAAAAAATATTAGACTTGGATAACTAGACACTCATTATATCATGCAAATTAAAATGTCCACGGGGAGATCCTGCAAAAAATGATAAGGCTCAGATTGGGGATTCCACCGCACCTGGATTTTTGTTGTGTATATGACTGACAGAACTGTGAAAGGACCGAATTCCGTGTAATTATATCTCAATTCTTCCAATTAGTAACTATCCGTTGGCTCAGCAATCGAGTATCCTCGAGCATCCTCTTAGAAAATATTACACCCTAGTGGCAATTTTTGAACCGGAAGTAAACAATATTGCAACTTCCTTTTTAATTTCAACGCGTGTTGAAAAGGTTTCATGAAATAAGGTCCAGATTTTATCCAAGAAATTCGTCTTTATTGACGACTTTTCAAAATGGTAGTTTTTTTCTACATTGACACTATTCTACGTTTTATCATTTTTTTGTGAAGCCCCATTTACTTTAGACATGATAACACCAATGCCTGAGTAGGCCTAGAGCAAGTGGTTGTTCACTTTGTCAAATTATGAAGCCTTCATAATATTAATAATATAAATATGTAACAGGCATTGCCTGAGTAGATCGAAGCTGATGTGATTGTTGTTAAATATAAAACCTTCATAATTAAGTTTCTCAAGTGATACATAGAAATTGATTTTTAATCAAGATCTAAATTGTATGGTTTTAAAAAAAAAAGAACATAAAAGTGTGAGAATTGTTTTCATAGAAATATTTCTATTAGGCATAATCTCGCTTGGGCGAAATTTGGTAAGTTGCCATGCGCATGGCCAGTTTTGCCCAGTGTTTCTGGTTCTGATTTGAATTTTTTTTTTTAATCAACAGTCTGTGGGTGACAGTTTTAGTTACGCTGCTGTGTTACCGGAAAAGAGCTTTGCTCAAGCACCGCGCTTCATGCGATGCTTTAGAGCTTCGCTCTATAATAGGTATTGCCTGAGTAGAGCGAAGCTAATTGTTGTCAAATATAAAACCTTCATAATTAAGGTTCTCAAGTGATGCAAAAAATGTTTAATAATTTCTTTTTACTAAACTGATTTTAATTTAGATCTAAATTGTAAGGTAAGAGTGTTGAATAATATTGTTTATAAAAAGAACCAAAAAATGTGAGAATTATTTTCATTGACGTCATATGTGATGTCATTGATTAGAGATTTGATAGAGGGGAGATAACTATGTTGACATGTGCATTGCTAGTTTTCCCAGTTACGCTGCTGTGTTAGAATTAAAGAGTTTTGCGTGATGCTTTAGAGCTTCACTCTGTATTTTTTTTTGAGCAGTGCGAAAAATGTTAGATAATTTCTATTTTCAAAATTGATTTTAACATAGATCTAAATTGCATGAGTATTGGATAAATTAGCAATTAATTTTACGTCTAGAGGTATGACCCTTCTTTGAGTTTCTATTTGTTGAACCCTGTGAATGCTCTAACGACAAAAGTTATCATCCGATCTGTACGAAATTTTATTAAAATTAGTGAAACGAAGAAACCTATTGAATTTCATCAATTTCCTTAAATTATGTCAAGCGTTATGGGCCTTATTTCACTTTGTGGAACCCTGTAAACACTCTAACAACTAAATTCATCATCTGATCTGTAAGGTTTTCAATCCTTGTTGTTTATTTAGACATGTATACCAGAGTTGTGATTGTAACGCTTAGTTAATCTCTTTTCAAAGGGCATGTCACTGAATGAGCATCTCAAAAACTTTTTATGTTTTATTCTAAAAATGTATTATGTAATACAATTTTTTGTCCTTGTAGCCACAAAACGAACATATAGAGCTTCACAGGAAGCGACATGGTTACAGACTTGATTACCATGAAAGAAAGTAAGTTATGAATCAATTTTCAAATTGTCGTTACTGACTAATTTAATTTATTACATCCACTGAAAATCCACTGAAATCTTTACTACCCAACCAGCTCCCCCAACCTGGCGATTTTCATGTGGTGTATCATTTTCTTGCTCTTGGTTTGAAATTAGTCATACTAAACAAGTCTACTGACCATTGACAGGCTGATTGGAGGATTTGGATTATCAAGATGATTTTATATACAAATTTTACCAATCATCTAGATAATAATTTTTAAAATACCCTACTTGTTTCTCATAATGTTTTATATATGTCCAGTTGTAATAAGTGTCTTATTATTTTTAACAGACGAAAGAAGGAAGGCCGTATGGGCCACAAAATGGCAGAGAAGGCCAGAAAACTTAGAGGCATCAAGTAAGTGTCTTCTACTTTAATTGTCTTATGGTTTCTTATTGATATCAACATTTCGATGTGGTTGTATATTGTCATGACCCTGTTCATTGTCCACAATTTCATGTGAACACTCCACAGGCTGCATTTAAAAATTTTATATATATGCTGTTTATAGACTATTAGAGAGCTGAAAACAAAAAAGGCCATAACATTTCAATATTTTACATTAAACCTAATTTATGCAAGAGCTAAATCTGTCTATTGCAGGTCTTTCTTTAGGCCTGAAATGTTATCTAAATTATTGATTAGACATTAATTAACCTATCCAGACCATAATCAACTCTAGATGGCATCGCTAGCCTGCGATCTTTAGTAGATTATGAGCCAATTTACTGCATAACTTTCTGTCACGATTTAACGATTAAATGGATAATCAAGACTATGCTGTTTATCGTACTGACTTTAGTAATGATCATCGAGGCTAAGCGGAAATTTCAATCGCTTAGTTCTCGGTTCATAGTGGATCAATTTGAATGAAATATTCAGCAAATTGCCTTTACATTATCTAGTTTTGAACTATTATAGTGAGAACTGCCAACTGGTTATCGAATCTCCCATAATGTATCTTTAATTACTTTCTTTGGAGAGCGAATTTCGACTTTCGCAAATTAAGACAGCTTTCTTTTTTTCATGTCACTGCTGCACCATGAATTTAATTTTTTAATTTTTTTTTTTTCAGAGCTAAATTACACAATAAAAAGAGACATTCAGAGAAAGTTCAAATGAAGAAAACGTAAGTAAACTACACAAATATTTATTGAATATTAGTTTTCCTTTTGATACAAAAAAGGTTTTAGGAACGTACTGTCTATTGTTTTTAAGATTAATACAGTAAATGTTGCAGATGCTTGATGGGGAATAATGATTTAATTTTGGAACATATGTTAGTGAATAGAAGTTCCAACTCAGATTTTGTCATCATCAATATAACTTTTGCCATTTAATACATTCAATAAATGTTTTTCTTCGCTATCCAGGTTGAAGATGCATGAAGAAAGACAAACTAAACAGAAGACAGATGATAATGTACCGGAAGGTGCTGTACCAGCCTATTTATTAGACAGAGAGGGACAATCTCGTGCTAAAGTTCTCTCTAATATGATTAAACAAAAACGTAAAGAAAAAGCAGTAAGTATTTCACACCTACATATGTAAGTCTCTCTCTACATACGAACATGTCTAGTTGACAGTTAAAACAGTTTTCACAAAAATGAAAACATTCATGATAAGTGGGAGGCAACCCACAAAATTAGAACATTTCCCATTGTACTATTCTAGTATGTGTCAGGTTCGACTGTATACAAGATATCTAATTGTTAGAATACCAAAGAATATTTGTAGAAAAGATATAAGGGAAGTTATCCATGATAGGATTTAAAATATTATAGTAAAATACATGTTTGAAAAATATATGAATGTATTATTAGGGCACAAGTCAGAAAAGACAATAATAGATGCTAATTGATCTTGTTATGAATTTATATAAGAGCTATATTATATCGTGCAAAGTATTAAATCAGATTCCTTTCGTTACTTATTGTACATATTTTTACCAGGGAAAATGGGATGTGCCTTTACCAAAAGTGAAAGGAATGAGTGAAGCAGAAGTGTTTAAAGTTATTAAAACTGGTAAAACAAGAAGTAAGTATAAATTTTTAAATTAATTCAAGTCTAAATAATAAATTTTAGGCTCTAATTTAGAGTTCTCTGTTTATTTTATTTGAACACATAGTATTTGCTCTCTGGGATGACAGTAATTCAAAAATCCCAATTTCAGTAAATTTGTGTGTATTATTTTACCAAAATCATTGATCAATGAATATTATTTATGATTGTAAATATTATAAAGTATAATTAATTTTTTTATTTTAGGAAAGGGATGGAAACGTATGGTCACTAAAGTCACATTTGTTGGTGAAAATTTCACAAGAAAACCTCCAAAGTTTGAACGATTTATTCGACCCATGGTGAGAATTAACGTTGCTGCATATTTTATAATTAAAACTTAAAAAAATAAGTTAGTAATCTCCAATAACTCAATTCATAAAAACACAGATTCAGATGAAATTTAGTGCAAAGTCATTTCAGAGAATTGACCCCCTGTAGCATTGTCATACTGAAATGAAATGGAAAGTTCATCCCTCAGTTAATCATAGTATTATAATCCTATTTATCTTTTATTTTAGGGATTAAGATTTAAGAAAGCACATGTTACACATCCTGAATTAAAAGCTACATTTTGTTTACCTATTATTGGTGTTAAGAAAAATCCTAGTTCCACCATGTATACAGCTTTAGGTGTAATAACAAAGGGTACAGTTATAGAGGTGAGTTGCGAAGATGTATCATATAATGTTTATAAAGTCAGCTGTATGCTGATCTTACAACTCTGTTCAATCAACATTCAATATTGTGCTCATTAGCTATTCATCACAATTGTCACTGTCATAGATTAACATCTTTTAATCACTTAATATCGAATAAATGCAGAAAATACGTTCAAATCAGTCTTACCAGTCTTACCGTATGTCTTATTATGGCATCAGACTATAGAAGAAGTGAGAAAGTACAAAACTCACCAAATCCCTTTTGCTCCCCCAGGGTAACACAAGGTGTTATGGTAAAGAATACATATATAGAGGATGTAACTGCTATCATTGACCATTACTAACTGATATATTCTCTAGATGGTTGAAATGTTGATTTAAATATTGTCAGTGAGAAAAATATTCAAGTCCTGGTATCTGTAATTAGCTATACTATTTGTCTGAGTTGATCACCGATATTCTGTTAAAAATGCATCCATGTAAGAGAAAAAGAGTCTGTGTTGTCTGAAATTGACCAAATGTTGTTTGTATATTTACAGGTTAATATCAGTGAACTGGGTTTAGTCACACAAGGAGGAAAAGTTATTTGGGGTATGATTTCTTTTGTATTATTTGATGTATGGTACTCATAAGGAGTCTTTTAAGTATGGGTTGGATGACTGGGTTGTCTAACCTGTACACTTTATGCCACAGGATCAGTTATCAATGCAAGTGCTGTGTTTTGATGCTGTCTTATGTACAGGATAAGGAGTAGGGTCATCTGCAAGATCTTGTGGAGTCCGAAAATAACCAGCAAACCAGCGAATTCCTGACTATGATATACCATGTAGACTTTAAATAACCTAGTTTATGTTGATTGACACTAACAAGGTATTGTAATATCTTTCAAGGGCATTTAGTGAAAGGTATTATAACCTATTTACTAGCCCTAGTGAACATAAAAAACTAAATTACATGTAGATCATATTTAGATCATATTGAAGTACTAGTGGTTGACCTGGTGTAGCAGGTGTATAGCCATGAACCAGAAGTAATTTAACTCGGAAACCAGTGGTAGTCCATCGTCACCAGGCCTACATGTACGTTACTCCTGGGTCCGAGCTACCCCTATACACCAAATTTCAGCTTGGGGATAGCCCTAGTGTAGTCACCAACCCTGAACAGACAAACAAACAAACAAATGACAGTGTTACAAATATTACATGTAGTATAGATAAAGGAAATTTATATTATGTTTATTTCTTTACAGGTAAATATGCACAAGTAACCAATAATCCTGAAAATGATGGATGTATCAATGCAGTGCTTTTAGTTTAAACTGTATATTTCTTTTTAACAAAAACATACCTCAAAAACCTCTAAAAAAATAGAAAAACTTCAAAATTATAAAAAAAATGAAACGGAAAGTGGAAATCAAGTGTTGGACCGAGCTTAAAATCTGGATCTATTTAAATGTGATAATTTAATGATATCGCTGTATGTGAACTGGTTCACATGTATTCTCATCATTAAAGACATCATAACTTCATTTTCAGTTTGTTATTAATTTCTATATATATATTTAAACCATGTTGTGATTTAAATTTGCTACCGAACAGCTTCCATAAGCTGTTCCATAAGACGGAAGAAGGCTGCCATCAGCAAACACAGAGAACGGAGTGTTGACGCAGTACAGATGCCATGGGACCGCAAGGAGAACTACATGAGCATTTTGTGGATGTAGCTACAACGGATATAAGTGAGGTGGATGGATTAAGAACACAAACAAGGTGCATTGAAAACGGTGTATTGACACATTGCAGATGCCATGGGACCCTAAAGTGAAAAATAATGAGGATTAGAATGCAGTGTGGGCCTATTGCAAACACTGACATGGACGTATAAAGAGCACCATAGTCTCAGTGACAGTGGGGTGTGGACGTAAAATGAGCTGACATGATCCTATAAAGCATAGAAGTGGGGTAACACTGCAATCAGAATGGAAATGAGGGGTATATAGACCCCAATTATTGTACAGTAGCCGTACATCAATGGTGGGAACGATTTGTGCGACTCTATGAACCTTCTAAGCGTTCTTGCTACACCCGGGATATGCTCATGTAGTTCACTTTGCGCTGCAATGGCGAATGTATTGCTCGCTCTTGTCAGAGCGTCGACGAGCTTCGATTTTGTTGCGCATGGCGCCGATATTGGCACTCAAGGCAGCTCATGAATACATTCTCTTGGCCTGATAGCTTCCACTGAGTCACCACATTGTTCTCAGAAATCTAGATGCGCTTTCACAGGGGTTTAAAATATTTTTTAAAAAAACATAAAGAAAGTAGTATATTTTATAAAGTCAAAAATTTTATGATCTTATATTTAAAGTAATCCTGATGCAGGGGTGGCTCTGTGAGTAGGTTGTTTGCTATTTAAACTGAGGGTCCTGTGTTCGATCCCGGTATTGGCAGAGAAAGTTTATCAGTTTTGTCCCGGTGCTTCCTCCTGTCAGTGATGCAGGACAGATGTGACGAGAAGCGAGGTTCCGTGTGCACATTAATTAGTTGTGCAGCACCATGCAGTGCTATACGTCGCTGGTTAGAAGTGGAAAGTACACGGGGAAAACTCCCGACAGCCGACGTGTGGCGCTCTCTTCTGCTAAATACTTTAATAGCCTTGTGATCATCTAGTATTGTCTGGGGTTATATTTGTTTCTTGCTCTCTTCTTAGGTCTCACGTTGTGTATTTTCTTTTATCCGTTTACTCAATTTATGGCTACAGGAATAACAATACCACAGTTCGTTTCTACATTTTATATCAAGTACTGGATACATAGATTACAAGCTTAGGTTACATTACAATACTTAAAATTAACGTGTCTTTCTCTCCACCCGTAACTTGCAGATGAGTTTACTGATGGAACACACTACGTCATATGGCTCTACTACAAATCAATGTGGTCTGCTCATTCCAGATGGTATCTCTTGAACCTCAATGGGTTTCTACATGGTGTCTACCCAAGAGCGAACATTCTGTTTGTTATATACGCTCAGATTCACAGCTATTAATTATTCTATTGGCTAATTATGGTGTAATTAATCATGCAATTGGCCACTCATGCCAAAAATGGAATGGTAACTTTCCTATCATTAGTGATGAACATGATATTCTGGTTTCACCCAGAATCGGCTATGTTTATTAATAACAGCTTTTTTTATGTGTCAACCTATCACTCATTCGAATGCGTGAGATATGAATGCCTTGTCTATGAATATGGTACCAATAAGCACTTATGTATTAATTTTATGCTATTATTAATTTAAAGGCAAAAATTCTACTAATCGTATTACATTCCTCCCTTTCTTAAGATTTTTTGCTCAGTATTAGATAAAAGATCCCGAGTCCCTGAAATGTTATTTCCTGTACTTTGGTGGAAGATTTTGCAGAATGCTGATGGTCAAAAAACACTTATAACATGAGTAAGAACAAGTACATGGAATTCATGTTATTTATTAAGAATCTTGCAAGAACGTACAAAGGTACTGTGAATCTGTGACAACTTATGAAGTGATAATAATTACATCATTTACATGGACCCATATCTTCGATATATTGTTGTGGTGAATATATATAAATAAGCACAGATATGACATGTCCTCATATTATTTTCACCAAGCATCCGCTTGTAACGTTTTATGATATTAATTTTACTCTCATATAATTCCTTACATATTATTACTATGATTATATAATGATATTTTATATTATTAGATATTATCAATATGATGACGATGATGGTGATGATTATAATTACCAGATATTGGTAGCACAACATTAAGCTGCCTTGAATTAACAGGATCAAGAGTTTACAGACCGTCTGTAAAATTAACTTTAATGTCCAAAAACAAAGTTCTTTCGCTTTATATACTATTCAAAAAAAGTAGGGGATATTTGATTTTTAAGTGTTATTAAAGTCACCTAATGAAACTGACGAAGAAACAAATGACAAAATGAAATGAAGTTCACATTCATCGATTTATTCCAAATGATCGTTAGACTAAGTAAGGCACAGACTGACCATTATAAGGGTAAAATGATACCCGGGGTCAAACAGCAAAGTTACCACAGCATCACAACCAAGTCAGTAACGGGTAAATCCTCCTCTGTTTGCCAAACAAGCATTGATCCGACGTGGCATACTCCTAATGAGACGTCTAAGGTCATTTTGGTCCAGATTGTCCCATTTCTGTTGCAACGCAGCAGCAAGTTCTTTGACATTGGCAGGACGTTGTTGACGTTGACGTAACCTCTGTCCAAGCATGTCCCAGACATGCTCGATGGGGGAGAGGTCGGGACTCAGTGCTGGCCAAGGTAATGTGGTGATGTTCTGTTGTTGGAGGTAACCTGTGACATCTTGCGTTGTCATCCTGGAAGATGAAACGGCGGCCATGACGTCGTGCGAACGGCACAACATGGACTGCCAAGATGTTGTCCCGGTAGTACTGGCCTGTAACACGCCCTGCAACAACATGTAAAGCCGTTCTTCCAGCAACAGTGATGCCTCCCCACACCATAACAGAACCACCCCCAAATCGATCATGTCTGATGACGTTAACGTCTTGGAAGCGCTCGTTTCGACGACGCCACACCCTCCTACGTCTGTCCAAAAAATCAACAGTGAACCTTGACTCATCTGAAAACATCACATTGCTCCAGCGTCGATTATCCCAGTGTTGACGATCCCTACACCAACGACGTCTTGCCTGAATGTGATGATCTCTCAAACAAGGGATCACGCGAGGGCGTTGGGCGCGAAGGTGACCCCTATGCAGTCGATTCCGAATCGTCTGGCCACTCACTCTCACACCAGTGTCTGTTTGAAGACGAGCGCTGATCTGATTTGCTGTGATGACACGATTTCTCAAGGCCAAGGTACGGATAAATCGATCCTGGGCTTGAGTTGTCGCCCTTGGTCGACCTGAGCGTGGTCTGTCCTGTACAGATTGTGTATCACGGTATCTGGACCATAGCCTGCTTATGACAGACTGAGAAACATTCATCGTCCGCGCCACAACCGCCTGTGTTGTGCCGATCTGTAGCATGCCAAGGGCACGTAACCTTTCATTTTGGGTAAGCCGACGCATATTAAAATTTGTTTTCTGGTCACTAATGTTTCCACCCTGGAATTCAATGCCACAATGACTGTAACATTCAAAGTCAGAGTCGTGCAAATCTTGGGTTGGACCCCCATGATGATCCCAAGCATCACCTGCATTCCATGCGGTAGCTATTGGTGCGTTTGGGCGTCACATGTAACTGGAAATGTTTCTTCTGTTAGGTTCTATAGTGACTTTTTTCGTAGTCATTTGCATATTTTAGTATTATGCCCCCAAAATCAAATATCCCCTACTTTTTTTGAATAGTATATCTGTGGCGGTAGTTGCCACCCTTTTCTTTTCGTCACCACTACACTAGTGTTTGTGTTGCGATTCAGCTTTCTCATTGTATAATGCACTGTAGTAATATAGCAAGAGTACATATGACGGTAAACAGGAAAAACAACAACAAAAACAACCTGTCCATCACCATAGCAACACGCTGCCATTCTGAATTTAACCTCTCCTTTTTTTCTTGATCAGCGAATTCATTTTGAACTTTTTTCAAAATATTCAATTGTTCCGTCATTACACCTAAAATAGGATCCATCTGCCTCACTTCAGAATCTTGGTTTCTATGGATGCCATTTGTGCCATTGTGGTTATTAACATGGAATAAGACGCCATTTGTGTGAGGTTTCTGAAAAAGCAGAAAACATCCAATAAACGTGTGATGGTCAGACGAGTTTTCAACACAAGTTCATTAATTTGGAATAATTTCATCGTAGAAGCTTAAAAAGTATCATCTTGGATGAATTTGATCATACTCAACCAATTCCTATTTTTTAAATTCATCAATAAAGAATAATAGACTATGAAAAATATGAGTTGGACTCCGGAGGGCTGGGCCTGTTACAATTAACCAGTTATAGACCCATCAAGGAAGCCCTTAAATCGAAGAAAATATCCCTGTGTTAAAAGTATACTTTAGAAAAATCATTGTTTAAAATGAAAAAAACCGTTGATGATGAAATAAGAAAAAATGCGAGGAAGTATATTGTCGTCTTCCCGGTCTGTTAGTCGTTTCCTCTGTCAACAATTCTTGTAAACGTTCCGCAGGTCAGAGTTTTTGAAATATTTTTTTTTTCGCCAAATTTGCCAGGATTGTTCAGCTATCGTTCAAAGTAAGAGACACCATTTAAAAAAGCTGTAGGTGCGTGCATATTGGATGCCTGGTAAGTCTATGTTTATGGTTTGTCCTTTTGCTATATATCATAGAAGAGGTTGGATATGAAAGGGGTGATTTTTTTTAGTTGGGTTTCTATGGGTGGGATGCGACATACAGACCAAGGTGATTTAATTTTAATATCTTGGACACAAATATCACAGCGGTTACAAGAATTCAAGCGACTAATCGAGACACTGGATTTAATAAAAAAAAATCGGGAGGGACAAGGGAGAGTAACAGTACGTCAATTTAATAAAACAAAAACATGAGAAAAGGATGAGTGAACTGCAGGTTTTATACCTCATGCTCCTCCTGGTAGACATAGTATTTCTGAAATTAAAACACGTTAATTATACTAATAAGTTCAAAGAAACGCTGGCATGTTATAACTTTCTTTCTAATATGCTGCCTCCATTATTAGAAAACATTCATTACCTGTTTTTTGGAACATTCGGTTGGGGTAAAATCATCGACTTCTCTCTGTGGATGAACTGAAGCTTCATAGTCTTTTACCAGGAGTACCCTTGCCAGACCTCCCAGAAATACCTTTCTGATCCACCTAGGGACAGGTCGCCCATGCTGACCTTTAAAGTGGAAGTTGAGAACGAAGACTGTTAAAATTGTTGACACAGACACCATCACCATTGCACATGCGAAATATATTCCTGGAAGAAACATAGTTCAAATGCCATTGGTTAATTTTCTTTGTGATATTTATTTATTATTTTGAAAGTATAGCCGGGGAAAGCGAAAACCAAATGAATCCACAACAAGAAAATAGAGTACAGTTGAATTCTGTTATCTTGAACCAGAAGGGGCAACGCTATCGAAACTGATTTCTAAAAAATATGTGTATTATTTATACATAATTGTGAAAGTATAGCCGGCGGAAAGCAAATGAAGGAATCCACGCCAATAAAGAAAGTACAGTTGAATTCGTTATCTCGAACCAGATGAGACCCTTATTGAAACTGATTTCTAAGAATTATATATATATTATTTATTTAAAAAAAAACAAACACGGAAAGCTTTCAGAGAATGTTGATAGCGTTGCTAATACAACGAGTAAAATATGTATATCATTTACCTATGAATGGAAAGTTTTCAGAGGTTGGTGGTAGTGTTTCTGACACAACGAGTAAGAAAACCGCCAATGACAGTAAAACTGTAATTTCTAACGATACCTTCTCTCCGGCATCTGGTGGCAGCAGAAATCCCAACATTGCAACGGACGTAATCAGAATACATGGAAACAACAGATTCAGGACGTAAAATAGTGGTTTTCGTCTGAGTGTCACGTAAAACGTCACGTCGGGATAGGGTTCGGGACTGGAAGGATATAGCGTGACAGTTCTCTTTAAAGGTACACTCTCCAAAGTCCATTCAGTGTTTACTTTAAAACTACTAATATCCCCGGTCGCACTTTTATTCCAGATGTCTACTTCGGATCCAGTGTACGCCCACGACCCGAAAGTCAACGGGCATTTTTGTGTATCAAAAGGGAAATACGTGACATCAACCCGACACAGACTGTCAATAACAGTAGGGAACAAATACGTAACTTTTCCATCTGAATTTACGGATGGTCTATAATCCTTTAATCCTGTTAATTCATCAGCAGCACTGCAATAACAAAAGAAAAAACTCGCTGAAAAAGGGACTATTACTAGAAAGTAAGTACCGATTTTTAATAACAACCCGGTTGAGAAGAATTTTCAGGACACCCGCAGAACTTAAACGGGATGAGGGCGTGGAATGTTTATGGCCATTTTACACGTGACCTCTGGGTAACGAGCATTAAAGATAATTCGAGAGCTAAATTTGCCTATTGCAGGTCTTTCTTTGGGCCTTAAATATTACATAAATTATTAATTAGACATTTATTAACATGACACTACCATAATCAACTCTCGGTGCCATCGGATGCTCTAGATGTTAACTAGATTAGAAAGGTTCGGCCATTTGCTGATTCAATTTAAAAATGTCGAAGCGAGGCTAAGGCTCGAATATATCAGTATATTTGCCGTGGTTACGATAATAAACAACCAATGCACACATCTTGTCAAAACTACAATCAGTGATAACTTGGCTCAGAATAAAGTAAATTGAATGAAATTTTCAATATATTCATTTTGCATTATTTATTTTTGAACTATTATAGCAAAAATGTCCAGCTCTTTATCTAAATGTGACATAATGTATCTTTAGCAATTAGATCTGCGCAATTAACAGCATGGTGACAATGTGGTGACATAAACATTCAGACTTACTTATCATATAATGTAATATCAGGTGTCCAAATCTTTTGAAATGGTAAAACGAGATTATCTATACCACCATATTCACTGACATTCCATATTAACTGACAATCAAACCATGCCTACAACATAAAATCAAAAATCAAACGTTGGTTCCTTACACATTCTTTTTCTTATGCGTTATTTTAGGAAGGGTTTAGGGGTGCAATTATGAAAGTTCGTTCGCGAAACCGTCCCCAATAACATAAATTCAAAAATACATATTATTTAAGTGTTTTATTATTGAACTTTTGAACTCCTGATTGAAATCATTTGGGTTAGCAAACTACGAATCTCTAACAGGAATATCAGTTCAAAAATGGTTCAATTCCGTTCAGTATTTACAAAGATGTGTGGAATTGAAATGTGATCTATGTTATAATCCCGCTGACATTTTGTTGTCCACGAAAATTTTATTTTCTTAATTAAATATATTAAATTATCAATAGGAGTACATATTAGTGTTGATTAAGCCGTTTGAAATTTGATATTTTAGCGAAAAATGCAAATGTGCATCGTCACTTTAAAACATTTTCTGTTGGTTGGTATCTTTTGCTACTGAAAGCTGAAGTAAGTGGGGTGGGCCCTTTCTTGTATATCGCAACCATAACATAAGGTTGCTTTTGTGAATAACCTGGGAGAGCTTTTATTTTGGAGAGTTTAAGGATCCTTTCAGGAAGACGTAGATTGTGAACATAATCTTAGTTTGAGGTTAAGAAATTATGTTTAACTACCAACATGTGAATAATTATGAGCTGCTCCACCCCATAACAAAAAAATGTTGTAGTCTCACAATTTCACCATACCAGTATATCTAGAAGCACATCTTTTGATATGACAGAGTACTATGGCGACTAATTGCCGAACTTGGTGACATTTCTATACACGGTACTTACCAATCTCATCCAAGCGTTTAATGTTAAGATTTGTTTAGGTTCATTCTGAAAGAAAACATTAGATGGCTGTTAACAAAACGGATCAGTTAATTTTTTGTTTTGCTATTAAGTAAATAGAAGATATTCACCACTGACTAATTAACTATACATATTACTGGTAATGTCGTCATGCTCAGCACAGGGAGCAAGTTAAATTAAACTATACAAAAAATAACCCTTTACATCAAATCAAGCATTATTGATGTATGATAAGGCCGCCCAGTACATTCAAATCACATTTATTCGTGAAACAAAGAAATGTCGATACTATAGAAAAAATATCTCTGTAAATAAATTATTAGATTAGGCTTATAGAAATCATTAGTCTATATAGTGAAGATGATTTAGTCCATACGAAACTCATGCTGACTACAATTAGCTCCTCCTGGGAACAGACACGTAGTTAGTTAACCGACATTATAATTCCATTTTCGACGATTTAGTTCAATATACACTAGGTATACTTCGAGAATTTTGAGTAGTATTAATTTCACTTTCATTTTCAAAAGTAATCAAATTGAAAATGTTTATTTACGCTTTCCGTGTATGAAACGGATTAGAAAAATAGTAAACTGATTTTTCAATATAGCGGTCATTCAGGGCGGGGATCCTTCTTTCTTAAAGATAGTCTGCAGGTTAAGGTAAGGGGTAGCCAGTCTGCAGACATATACTATCAGCATAGTTCCTGGATCAGTCATTTAAAACAAAATCACAACAAAATTTGTTATTTATGCGAACTTCCAAAATAACAGGTTATAAAGACTATGCCTACCCTGTCCCGTGAACGACAACTGTCCCTGATGCGCCAGATGACAAAACTACTGAACAGAATAAGGTAACTTCGGAGCGACGATGATTTAAACATGAGAAGTCATATCGGGTTTTCTAGAAGCAGTGCCGGACTGGGTCCACCTGTCCACCTGTCCGTGACAGGTGGGCCTAAGCTCATTTAAAAAAGTGGGCCTAAGCCTATAAAGAAAAAAGAAAAGAAAGAGAAATAAAAAAAGAAAAAAAGAAAAAAAAGAAGAGAGAAAGAAAGGAGAGGGGGAGGAAAGAAAAGAAAGAAAGAAAAGAAAGAAGGAAGGAGAGGACAGGAGACAGGACAGGAGAAAGAAATGAAAGGAAAAAATGAAAAAAAAACCACAAAAAAATAAGTGTACTAGAATTCTCAAATTCATCTAATAATAGTGCTCTTAGGTCATTCTGTTATCTAATTGTATCAGGAAATCAAACATTTGCCTTCTACTGCTTTGGTCTGAAATGCTTGGAAAATGGGTTTGCTGTTGTCAATTTTTAAAATTTTCCTGGTGGGAGAGCCCCAAAGACCCCCCTCGGACCGCGCTCGTGACACGCCTTCGGCGGGTACTTGTGTGGGCCTTGGTAAATGACCTAACAGGTGGGCCTTCTACCCCCCAGTCCGGCACTGTCTAAAAGAAATGTTCCACTCGAATGACTATATAATATAAGCTAAAATCATTTACTTGGCATGTTATTCCGTATTATAAAATTCATCGCTGTACAGCCTGTGACAGTAATGTATATAAACAGGTTAATCATGTCCCCACAGATAAAGTTTTAATACGCATGTTAATTAGATTAACATTTAGCACTTAATTAATAATAAGGGTATATACACACTTGTGTTGGTGGTTACGTGGTTGGATGGCCATGGCCGAGTGGTTTACAACATGCGCTGTAGATCATAAGGTCTGTTATCGGTTTTACTTTACAAGGGTCAGTGTCGGCTGCCTAACCTCGTGGGTTTTATTTGGGTTATCTCGCTTCCTTCCACTTCCACGGTGGCTCTGTGGGTTAAATGCTTGGTCGCCAGGCTAAATCTATTCGTTAAGGGCAGCTCAATTTTTGTCAAGGTGCAGTCCCGTGTACGCGAAGGTTCATAATAGAACCATTGACCGTCTTAATTACTCCGGTCGCTACAGTAAAAGAGGACATTAAACCCCATTTCTTTTCCTCTCACTTCAAAAGACCTTAGCGGGTTACTGAATAATTTGAATATCATATGATTTAGTTAGTACCGAGTGAACGTTAACTTCTCTCCGTTATAATATACATCCAAGAAATCGATACCAAGGTAGGCGAAAACACGTCGCATTATTCCCACAAGGTAAATATTATATTTGTATAAAATTGTATATTAATGGCCAAGTGAATGCGCGGATATCTATTGTTATAAAGTACAATGATGTGATACTAATCTGTTACTCATCCCACTTACACACCATCTCGCTGACCAGTGACTCATTCATTTTAAATGAAATATCAATAGAAACTTTACAATTTATAATTTATAATGTGAATTTCTATTAAAACTTACAAAACGTGGGAAAAGCGGGATGTGCTTAATTGGCTCCGCAATGATTACTGGGTAAAATCAGTCTTTTTGGAAGAATAAACAAGTGTTAAGGAAACTAAAAAGGTTCACGTTTTTGAGTGCGTGGTACACGGATATAGGGCACCAATGGGGTTTAACGTCCAATCAATAATAACAAGATCATTTCAGATCTAAAATATAGTACAACCGGAGAAAACCATTTTGAAGTATTTTTCCAAATTGACTGATTAAAAATTTAAAGCAGTTAAATCTTTATATTTTGGCACCTCGAAATTCACACAAATAGGTAGCAACGCATAATAATATAATATGGATGTATATAATATATAGACTGGCATAATTCAATCGTTTCTGTTTTACTGTAATTGCTAATCAGTTATGTTCGGCGAAATATGCAAATTGAATGGCAGACTTTGGCGTCTGGTTATTCCAGTATACACCGGTGGTATTCTCTTATTTTTAGCCTCGTTCATCGATGGAAGTGAACATTAGTCAGAACCTGTCAGTGAATCCAAACATAAATATGTACGGAGAATACAGGTTTAATTTTGGCTCTTCGCGGTAAGAAAACATTATGCCTTTTAAAGTAATATTGTAGGTCTAGGTAAAATATAATAAAGTAACCAGCCGATCTGATAATACGGGTTATATATGAAACATACATTGTATATAAACAAATAAGAAAAATCAAGATCTATATTAATAATAAACAGAAAATCTCTAGCAGAGTGTTACATAAAAAACAATTTTTAATAAAATGAAGAAACGGGACAAAATCGATTCTTGGCTGTTATTAAAGTAGTAATATTGTTATTAATCTATTAAAAAAACAACTTGGTCCAGACTTGCATAGAGTTAAAACATGATCACCTATAAACTTATTGAATCTTACAAACCTCCGCATTTCTCAAATACGTTTTAAACCTTTAATTCTGAATAAAGCAGGCTACGCTTAATAACATTGTTTACAGTAAATATATACTATTCAAAAAAAGTAGGGGATATTTGATTTTGGGGGCATAATACTAAAATATGCAAATGACTACGAAAAAAGTCACTATAGAACCTAACAGAAGAAACATTTCCAGTTACATGTGACGCCCAAACGCACCAATAGCTACCGCATGGAATGCAGGTGATGCTTGGGATCATCATGGGGGTCCAACCCAAGATTTGCACGACTCTGACTTTGAATGTTACAGTCATTGTGGCATTGAATTCCAGGGTGGAAACATCAGCTTAATTGTTTTAGTGACCAGAAAACAAATTTTGATATGCGTCGGCTTACCCAAAATGAAAGGTTACGTGCCCTTGGCATGCTACAGATCGGCACAACACAGCCGGTTGTGGCGCGGACGATGAATGTTTCTCAGTCTGTCATAAGCAGGCTATGGTCCAGATACCGTGATACACAATCTGTACAGGACAGACCACGCTCAGGTCGACCAAGGGCGACAACTCAAGCCCAGGATCGATTTATCCGTACCTTGGCCTTGAGAAATCGTGTCATCACAGCAAATCAGATCAGCGCTCGTCTTCAAACAGACACTGGTGTGAGAGTGAGTGGCCAGACGATTCGGAATCGACTGCATAGGGGTCACCTTCGCGCCCGACGTCCTCGCGTGATCCCTTGTTTGAGAGATCATCACATTCAGGCAAGACGTCGTTGGTGTAGGGATCGTCAACACTGGGATAATCGACGCTGGTGCAATGTGATGTTTTCAGATGAGTCAAGGTTCACTGTTGATTTTTTGGACAGACGTAGGAGGGTGTGGCGTCGTCGAAACGAGCGCTTCCAAGACGTTAACGTCATGAGACATGATCGATTTGGGGGTGGTTCTGTTATGGTGTGGGGAGGCATCACTGTTGCTGAAAGAACGGCTTTACATGTTGTTGCAGGGCGTGTTACAGGCCAGTACTACCGGGACAACATCTTGGCAGTCCATGTTGTGCCGTTCGCACGACGTCATGGCCGCCGTTTCATCTTCCAGGATGACAACGCAAGATGTCACAGGGCCAGGATCGTTACAGGTTACCTCCAACAACAGAACATCACCACATTACCTTGGCCAGCACTGAGTCCCGACCTCTCCCCCATCGAGCATGTCTGGGACATGCTTGGACAGAGGTTACGTCAACGTCAACAACGTCCTGCCAATGTCCAAGAACTTGCTGCTGCGTTGCAACAGGAATGGGACAATCTGGACCAAAATGACCTTAGACGTCTCATTAGGAGTATGCCACGTCGGATCAATGCTTGTTTGGCAAACAGAGGAGGATTTACCCGTTACTGACTTGGTTGTGATGCTGTGGTAACTTTGCTGTTTGACCCCGGGTATCATTTTACCCTTATAATGGTCAGTCTGTGCCTTACTTAGTCTAACGATCATTTGGAATAAATCGATGAGTGTGAACTTCATTTCATTTTGTCATTTGTTTCTTCGTCAGTTTCATTAGGTGACTTTAATAACACTTAAAAATCAAATATCCCCTACTTTTTTTGAATAGTATATTACAAACATTATTTAAGAATATTGCAATTATAGGCGCTTAAAACTATTATAATTTCTAAAGTACAATTAATTATTCTGAATAACAATGCCGCTTAGACACTATGTGAAACCCGGAAACCAACTAGAAACAGTTCCTTATTACATCTTTCATCGTCCTTCTGAAATACCTATAGGGAGCATTAAGAACGCAAATGTTTCGCAAGCATAAATCTTTGATTAAGTGTTGTATTCCTTTTTTTACATTTTACATTTTTCCGTATTTTAAACTTAATTCTTAATATTAGGTCTGCTTAATTGTTTTTTAATCTAAAAGGAAATAGGGTACCAATCCTAACCGGATATAAAGTAAACTCTAAGGGGTGTGTAGTTTAAAACTTACCAATTCTATAACCTGTCTTACAGCAATACCAACATAGACATCTATGGGCCCTGGGCTACCTTCACAAAGAGGTATGACATCAGTATGATAGTTGCTAAATATTTTTTTTAATAAAGCAGATTGGTTCGTCGCTTCTATTGAATCTATAAAATACATGTAGAATACTATTATTTATTCAGGTATCAAGAGTAAGAATGTGGTGTACCATAGTTCAGGGCCACAGAAATAGAATATTTGGAATTAAAGCCAGAGTCGAAAAATGATTTCGTCCAAATCATAATATTAAGTTATTATTCACACATAGCTTGGATCTTTCTAATCGAAAATGTCTGAGTTTAGACGAAAAGTTAAGCGTAGAACAAAAAACGAAGTCCAACTATAACCAAATGTCTTTTTACTTTTATTTATACTTTTTCAGGCACGGCTGCATAATTTTGAAGACACGCCACGAATTTGTCACCGACGCTTCCGGTACTGGTATTATCTAAAATAAAATCCCGAAACAAACCTTTATACTATAAGTATATTAGTAAGTGCAGGGGGCTGCACCACACAACATTTACACAAAAACAAAATACACGGACAAGACATCATACTCAGGAAAACACAGACAGACAATTAAGTGAATGGATCCTGGGGCTAGCCGTAAGCGTCCACTGCGCTGTACAGTCCCGGGTCTGTAGTGACACAGACTTCACTCAAATTTGAAAACAATCAGGAATACAACCCAAAGAAACCATTGTGCAATGCCAGCATGAGTCATGATCTGCTATATGCTACACGAAATACGAATGTAAGCATATGTAGTAAAATTCAACTATACAAGTAACCACATCGGTGAAATGTATTAAAAAAAGTAGTCTAAACCTAAATGCTCTAAAAAAAATCAAGAAACGTTTCAGTACCTGTCCCTAAATACAATATTAACCATTCAAAGTGATTTATTTATTCCATATTGATTCATACAATCATTTTATTGTCTTTGCTACTAAAATAATATACGCGCACGATATTTAAAATATCTACCACCTTGAAAATCTAAAACTAACCCAAACCCCAAAGCACAGACAATGTCAGGTCTGTAAATGTTGTGGTATCTAACTAAACAACGAAGCCGAGTCATCCCTGTTGTCACAAAGTACAGAAAACATTCCAAGCCCTACTCCAAAATGATGTTATAGTGAATGCTATTCAATTTGATATCAGCGACGACAAAACCATTAGCGTACGTCGGGTTTTCATCCTTAATCTACTACGTAATAAACATAATGTAAGTAATTTACTCCAATTACAAGCAGATTACTAGAAAATATATATTATGTGAAATAAAAAAAAATCATTTCTTTTTAGAATGCTAATTATTTTTTCTTGCTAATTATTAACATATATTGGGGTATTCATCGGACGGAACAATTTCGGGTTTGTGCTTCATATGCGTGTTCCGCACATCTGAACCATTCGATTATTGGATCATGCGTCAAATTGTGGCCGCCGTAGGCCGTAGATACCAGAACGATTCTTCTAATTAACATTATTTATGACCCAATATCCATGACGAAAATGTCTAAGTCAATTCAACATTTGCGTTTCTAGAATTCCCAGAACTCTAATAATGTGTGAATTGTGTTAATGACATTTGGTGCCAAACAATTCATGATTTTATTCATTGTAAGTTATTTGTTTTAGACATTTCAATGAAATGTTTACACGCAGCATTATTGGCGCTCAAATCGTTGCTTTAAAACACATTAAAAAAATAGTGGAAACTTACCACAGAAACTAAATATAAGGATGAAGACGAAAACAGTTGATCTTCTCACATTTTTCTTCTGATCAGCCATCTTTTCAAGCCTGAATAAAAATAGATATTTGTATAAGAGTATTATGTAAACATCCAAGACAAAGAGCCATTAACTAAATAATTAATAGTTTTATGAATATTTTGATGCTTACATTAAAGAGTTACTGATGCTGGGTAGACCTATACGGGATGACGTAAAACATTACTTTGTATCGAATTATGACTAACTTTATAAGTTATAATAAAAATCCGCGACAGCCGTTTCCCTACATACAACTGATGTCAGACAACACAACACAATACTGAATATGAATCAGAATATAAAAATATAGTCAATTCCCAATTGTGTAAAATGTCTCTCTCTATATTCATAAATCACAAATATCGAGTGTCAACACAGACTAATGTCAGTTCCAATACACCTTTGACAGAATATCAATAACTACTTATGTTTAGTCTCAATAAAAATCTGTTTTAGTCTTGTATACATTTCGCCAATGCCACTTTTATGTAAACGTTAAGATCGAAATTCCAGTAAAACTTTCACGAGATTCATAGATAAATTTATGAGGCAGGTATGATAATGTAACTGATTAGTGATTGTAACCAAAGCTCGTTTAAACACGACATACATCCATTTGGTAACGGTAAAAATCGATAAGGTATAAACATGTAACCGGACTAGGCATTTTCCCGTTTCAATACACGCTTAAGATTACTATCAACTAGATTTAATATTCCACATCCGAATGCCCCCATCTACATCTCTGATTAATATGGAAAACATAAATTAATGTACATAGAAATGCACTTACCTGTCAGATACTAGTTATCGTGTTCAGATCAAATATGTTTTCGACAGTATGGACAATACACAGGTAACCTTGTACAATTGAAGCAGAAAAAAGTAAATTATCAGGGGACATCAGTTAAATAGATGTGTTGACAAGCTCCGTCAATTGTCTTCATCGTGCTTGCCCTCCCCTGGGGCCAAGGAAAAACAAGATGTGCAAATGTATGTAAAGCATACATCTTTACTGCGTACATCTAAATAATGGGCTGTTAATTTAACAAGAATGGTTATTAGACAATATTATTCATTGCGGGGAGGTACGTTAGCCCAGTGAGAAAGATGCGCTCGGTAACTAGGACGTCCCAGGTTCGCTTCCGCTGTTGGCCGAGACAGTACCTAGGTATTCTTTAGTGTAGTTTCCCCTTGTCATTGGCGCAGAACGAAGGTCCTGACAAGGAACGGTGTCTTCTGATGGGACGAAATACCGAGATCCCGTGTACACGTTGGCGTGCATGTAAAAGAATTCTTGACAGTTGGAATTCGAAATAACGGTAGACCCAGCTTAGCGTAGGCTATGTCCGTGGAAGCCGAACAATAGGACGCCGAACCCAATGTCATTGATTCCATTGTTATTTTATGACCGCGAATTAATGTGTCTGGGATCATAGAATAGCTTGTCAAAATAAACATCCATTATTTGTATTATCACCTTGTCAGGAGGGGGGGGGTGGTGGATTTCTGAGTGGTTAGCGTGCGCGCGCTGTATCATAAAGTCTGTCATTGAATCGACTGGCGTGGTTTCGAATCCCCGGTTGTACGTGACAAGGAGTAGGGTCGCCTGTCCAAACCCGTGGGTTTCCTCCGGGTCCTCCGGTTTCCTCCCACTGCTAAAGACCCCTTCGCGCAAGCGAATTATGTAAATAAAATTAAACCATATGTTAGTCCCGAAATGACCTAGTTTGTGTCGAGTGGACGTTAAACCCCATTTCCCTCTCTCTCTCTCTCTCTCTCTCTCTAGTCTCTCTCTCACCTTGTCTGGAAGCGGACATAAACACTAGTACTTTGCCTTGAAGAAAACCAACCCGAGATTTAATGTACTTTCTAGGTACGTGCGTTGGGCAGAAATGGTCCAAACTATTTATAGAACTATATCCAGGCGTCATAATCTAAACCGGTTCTTATTAATCAACTGCCATATCTAATCGTGCGTACTAAAAGTGGCCTTAAAAGTTTGAGCCTCCGTTTTCACAGGACACCGTAAACACAATTTGGTTGAAGTACAATGTAGGCTACCTGGACGCCAATTAAAGATGTTTATGATTTTGTTGTACATTGATTTCGCGAATGGATTTATTAAATTTTACCGCTTTTCGGTGCGTAAACGTTTAGGATGTTATAAAGTACACCTAGATAAACGCAAAAATGCAAACTTTTAGGGGTAAAATCATATAACTTGACTTGTCTATTACATGTAAGCCAAATATCGAATACACACGCCCAATGAAATTTTATTGCTTGTTCATTCATACGATTAGATTTTATTACATACTTCGAGAAGGTATTTGTTGGGTAATAAAACCTTCTAGTAATTTATCGAGGGCTCGCTGTCCTTACCGCACGGTACAAATATTATCACCACTAGAAGCAACAAATTCCAGAACAAGCCAGAACTCATACCAAAATGGCCGCTTTATACAAATGAGTATTTAGGGGAATACTAACCCGAACCCTAACCCTAACCCTTTTAAGAGAAGTAGAAACTAAAGTAGACCCAAGTTCAGTCTTTTAAAAAGGGTTAGGGTTAGGGTTAAGGTTCGGGTTAGTTATCCCCAAAATTCTCATTTATATAAAGCGGCCATTTTTGACTCCGGAAGCACCCGAACCTCGATAAACTACTAGAAGGTTTTATTTGTACCGTACAATAAGGACGGCCAGCCCTCGATAAACTACTAGAAGGTTTTATTACTCAACAAATACCTTCTCGAAGTATGTAATAAAATCTAATCGGGTGGTTCATTATCAATGTAACTCAATATGTAAACGGCTTCAGGTCGGGCTATTCCACCGAAACACAACTATTAGTAACAACAGAGAGTGAGAGAGAAATGGGGTTTAAAGGTCCACTCGACACAGACTAGGTCATTTCGGGACTAAAATATGATTTAATTTTATTTCAATAATTCGCTTGCGCGTAGGGGTCTTTAGCAGTGGGAGAAAACCGGGGGACCCGGAGAAAACTCACGAGGTTGGACAGGCGACCCTACTCCTTGTCACGTACAACCGGGGATTCGAAACCACGCCAGTTGACTCAATGGCAGGTCTTATGATACAGCTATGGCCAGTGGCGGACTGGGTCTGAAAATATTGGTTGCCAGAAGACAAAGGGACCCACCCACCAATACAATTCTATCATTTAATTTTTAAAATAAATAAATAAAATTTTCAAAAAAATATGTAAGCTAATATTTATTTTCTAATATTTATATATTTTTTGATATTTATATTTTAAATATATTGTCTAATGTCTAAGGGGGCCCACTTCCTCAGCCCAGGGGAATACTTGCCATGGCGCACGGGGTGAGAGTGCTATCTTCATTCTGTGAAAGAAAAAAGACATATACATGTACATGCAAAAATATATAAAGACTCAATACAATCAAATATCGTCGGAAAATACACCACCACCAATTCGGACTGTTATCAAATCAGAAGTGCTACAAACCAAAATTATAAAAACTCTTTCTTCATATAACAGTGCAGGACTGGAACACCTTCAGTGAAAGCATCGCGGCTGCAGATACAGGCGAGGGCTTCTTCAACAACGCCAACAAAAGCGACTGCACCATCAGCGTGTTATGCCAGAATTGGCCCTATAATGCTGTAAACCTGCAGATACAGATCAACCAATGATATCAAAGCAAATCAGTTTAATTAGCAGGCGTTCCCCCATTTCATTTCTACCTTTGTATAGGATATGTACAAAATTCAAGTTTACAATAAATTGTTATTTGCAGACTAAGTTTGACTAAATACTGATTACTACGGGGTTTCGAGAAATAGGTTCATCTGATATCGAACCGGTTAACGTAGGGATAGAACACACGTTTTAAAAATAACTAAGCGGAAAGAATTCATGATGTGCCATAAATTTTAATTTACATATTTTATACGATAGACTGGGAATAAACTATGATAAGTCAATGGAACTCATTCACAGTGTTAATGGACCCGTGGTAAGTTGATACATATCAGATGCCGCCGTACGTAGTGTTTGCGGCGTGGCTTTATGTACATATGCACATGTAGTCTTTTTGTGTGCTCTTTAATATAATCAATAATAAAATGATTATAACACTCATTTTAATCAAACTGACATGCAAGTTATATTTGTTTTAGTTTACAATATTATGATTCAGCATCTTGTGTAGTTTTAGATCGTTTGGGTGCGGATTTATCCACATGGGATAGAAGTTCGGTAAAGTTCTTCTAGATTTAGAAATAGGAATTCTGATCGTTCATCCAGTCTATCCTAACAAAACAAATCTGCTATCTTATTTTATTTCCAATATGACCACTTGTGCATCGTTCAAGTTTAAAATTTGGTATGATACTATGACAACTCTTTGCAATTTAGAAAAGATCTTAGAGATTATCGGCTGCAATACTTGAAAGTCACAGTTTCAAAATGGTCCGAAATAAAAAAAAGGGAATATATACCTCATTTATTTTTTCCCTGCTGTCAGATTATAAATAGAAAAACAATGTCGGTGATAAATGGACCAAAATGGACGTGATAAGAGTGCCAATAAAGCTTTTAATAATGTACTATAACATCAAAGCAACACTTTACTGGTAATTGAAAGCCATTGGCTTCTTAATCCGATAAAATATCCCAACCTCCCAGAATTCTAAATGATCCCATTAATATGAAATTATTTACATAATCGATTTGACTACTTCATTCAATTACTATAACATATAAAGTCACAAGAGAAATACTTTTAGCAAATAGAGTCATTTTATACCACTCCGATTTGAAATTAATTTGATTTCATATAGTAGATATACAATAGAACTATTTAGAGAACAAATATTGCATAGTTATATAGTAATAAGCTGATTAATATTGACCATTATACTAGCTAGTACTTATAGTAATCCATTACGTATCCCGATATAAAAAGCCATGATTAGAATTGGAATTGTTAACTCATCCAAGACATTATTCCAGATTAAACTATACCTTATTTTGCCATTTACCAGAGGCATTTTAGTCCTTGGGTTTGTTCAAGGGGGGATCAAATGACTAGTGTTTGTTTTACGGTGAAAATACACTGAACGATTACATTTTGGGGCACCGTCCAATACTTATTTATTTATCGCATGATTATAAATTGTCTGTTCTGGACAGAATCATGAATATGTGAACAGTCACAGAGTTATGGTGTATTACCAGTCGTTCTTGCTATAATAGTTAAATATAGTTAATTCAAAATGAATATATTGAACATTTGATTCAAATTACTTTATTCTGTGTGAAGTTAAGACTGTTTGAGACTGTAGCGTATATTGTTTATTATCGTAGCTATGGTACTTGACAACCTAGACTAAGTCTCGATTATCCATTTCACCGTTAAATTTTTAATGGGTGCTCTAA